TACTCCAAATTCAGAAGCAATCTCAACTTGATTGATATTATGGTAAGCCTCGAAAAACGCGAATTTGAGCGTGAGAATTTTACGGAAGATAGGGGCTGGACCGGGGCTCTGTCAGCATCCCACGCGAGGGTGTTCGCTGGACCGGGGTTCGTTGAGCACCCAGCCGGAGGGGTCGACCGGGGTTCTGAGAGCTCGGCTACGAACACCCTCTGGGGGAATAGTCAGGGGTCCTACACTGGGTCTGGCCACAGCGCTAAATGTGGGGGTTCTGGACCGTTCATCTCGTCATGAAGAGTCTCGGGGAGGAGACCCGAGACTCGTCGCCGCTTTGTATGGGAGTAGCGGGCCCACGTGAAATCCCGAGCTGACTTTCAAACCACTCGGCATCTCGGCTCTCGCACTCCCCTTTGGTTCCAAACGCCGGTGTCGCCTCACGCGCTCGAACTCTCCTCGTCCTCTTTCGTTTCTTCCAAGCCATGTCTACCGCTCACAGACCAACATGGGACCCCGCACAGGCGCGCGATGTCAAGGGCGGCTCGCGTCAGTTCTCGGTGCGCGACATGGCCGCACACACAAAACTCAAGTTTCGGTGAGCTCCTTGAACCACGTGCATTGGTTTGTCGGGGCTGAAGGCTAGTGTCATTTAGGCAGCCTGGGCAGACCTCAGTGAACGAGGTACAGAAGCGTGACTTGCGTGCGGAACTGCTGCTCGCGGAGGAGGAGGCGCAGAATAAGAAACGGAAGGCAGAGGGCAAACCTCCATTGGCTATAGCTGGCGGGGAGGACGAGGAGGCAAATAAGCGGCGGAAGCTGTTGCAGGAAACGTTAGAGATGGACAAGGATGATGAAGACGATGAAGATGAGGAGGAGGACGGTGACGAGAAGAAAGAGAATGGCAAGAACGAGGGCAAGAATGACGACGACGAGAGGTGTGTCGAATTATTATATCATTCACGTGCTGCCCTTTCTAACTTCACTTCCAGTGGAGAGGGTTCGGACGATGAAGACGACGATGAGGATGAGACTGCCGAACTCCTCCGCGAACTTGAGAAGATCAAGCGTGAGCGTGCCGAAGAGAAGGCACGCCAGGAGCTCGAGCAGTCCACTTCACAGCAGGCTTCGCGCGAGGCCGAAATTGCCACCGCGAACCCGCTTCTCAACCTTGCAGCAGCACTTGGCCAAGGTCCTGGCGTGGACACAACGGTGCCCGGCACATTCTCGGTCAAGAAACGGTGGGATGACGGTGAGCCCAACTTCGCTTGACCAAGGGCAGCCGATTGACTTGTGTTCATCGCTTGCTAGACTTGATCTTCAAGAACCAGGCTATGAGCCAGCGAGACAAGCCCCAAGGTCGATTCGTTAATGACCTCTTACGGACGGAGTTCCACAGGTACGTTGCCGTTGTTCCGGACGTGTAGGCCGTTTGCTGACAGGCGCTCTGAAAGAAAATTCATGTCTAAGTTCATCAAGGTAAGCCTGCCAGATGCATCGCCCAGCTATCGCCTGACCTATCTGCTTTCTTCCAGTAATCGACGGACTCTGTTCATAGACCAGTTGCATACCATACGAAATATATTACGCACGCTTTCTGTACGACTCTATCGGTACTGTAATTTATGCACTCGACACTGCCCCAAAACCCTCATGCGAAACCACCCCATCGCCACTGTTACGAACCCGATTGCTCCCACTCCCAGCCCTCTGCCGCCCACTCAGGCATCCCCGTTTCAAAGCTCCCTAAACTTGTCGTGTACTTCAGGGCGTGCAAGAAGATGTACAGGTTCTCTGGCTTGGGATCCGGGTGCAAGGGTAGGTAACACTCCGGGCAATAAAGCGTCCCGTTCTCCGTTGGTTGCTCGGCTGTCGAGCCCTCTTCCTTTGGAGGCTCTAGCTCCATGGATGGTAGCCGTGCAACGACGTTCTCTATCTCAAGCTGCGCTGGAGGCTCCGCGTCAGGGGTTCCGGCTGCAGGTGTACCATTTGTCGATGCAGTGGGTTGTTCAGTCGCCGTAGCCTCGATGAGAACCTCTACACTCATAGGACCACCACGCTTTCGCTGGTTTGAGCGCGGAGGCTGCTGTTTGCGTATGATGTATTTCGGAGGCGCGAGCGCCCCTCTGGTACGGAAGACGACGTCTCGCCAACGGCTCCAGTCTTCGCCTTCGTCCTGTCGGCTCGTTCACATCTTCCGCTCAATGAGATAGCAGCGAAAACGTACCTTCATGTTCCGTAAGCGCGTAATGACGCCTACCGCCTCCGAAGACAGCGGCACCGGCGAGCTCATCCCAATGTCATGACCGGTTTCTCGAGGTAGGACCTTCGTATCACCCTTAGTGCCATTGCTCAATGCTTCGGGACTGTCGTCACTTTGCAGGTGCTCAGGCGCGATTGGGGCCACTCGTTCCTCACTTGGCACAGTATCAATGCCATTTTTGCCGAGGTTTATACCCTGTATTTTCTTTAGTCACGAATCGGACCAGCCAAGCTCAAGACGCACCCATATTCGTTCTTCTGAGTAGATGGGATCATTTGCGATGGGATGACCAAGGAATTGAAGGTGGACGCGGATTTGGTGTGCTGATGTGGTTGTGAGCTAGGACAGAGCATGAAACCGGGCGAATGCTTACATCTACCGGTCATTGGTCGACCTAGAGCCAACAGTCAACGACTTGAGTGACAAATCAGGATATAGAGACCTTACAATGGAGGACACTGCTATCCGTGTTCGCGTCGTAATGGAGACGTTTGAAGATCGTAACAGCAGGCTTGACGGTCGTTAGCGAAGAGCACGGGAGAAATAGCGCGCATATACTCACTTTCCCGTCAGGATGTACGATGTTGAGACCCATCTGCCTGTCCACCGTCAGGAGCGGCTGGTCGCACGTTATCTCTTCTCTATGATTGATCAATAATATTGACTAATCAGGATGAAATTACTCACTCAGGGAATTCGCCTTTGGCTCGCGCGATGTACTCCTTGCGAATGGTCCCATTCTGGAACTCTGCTGTAAGGGAGCGGGCAAGGTCGGCTATTAAGGGTATAATCAGGAGGCCGGAGGTCAACCTATCCAAGCGATTGACGGCTGCATGACGTTGCTCATCAGGATACGGGTATCTCGGTGCTGAACACGATATACACACTGTAAATTTTCTCAAACCCAAAATCATCCTTGAGAATCTCGACGAGGCTGTGCTTGTAGTATCGTCCAGATGAATGAACAGGCTTTGATAACATGAGCGGCGAGGCAAAAACAGAAGTGTTGAACGCACTAACGATGCTCCCTGGCTTGTTAACCACGATGAAGCCTCGCTCCTTGTCATGGCTTATTATCTTTACCGGCGTAGATGTTACGGGTGGCTCATGCCGATGAACTACGTTCCTTGGGGCAAGATGAATTTTCCCTGAAAAAGGGTTGACGAGGATGCCTTACTCTATGCGATCTCCGTTTTGTACGACGGTGTCTGGCCTCGCAACTTCACCATTGATGGTGGTCACTCCGGATTCTAGCGCGTACCTCTATCGCTGCATATTCAGTCCCGCTCCCGTACACACAAGAAGCTTTGGGGCTCACATAGTACTCCATAGATCGATCCCGAAACTCCGTCGACACAATCTCCAGTATCTCCCGCCCGAGCCACCGCTCCTTCGCCATGGTATGGTACGGGAACCAGTATGGCGCAATCTTCTTCAGGCCTGGAGGAACTTGCGGAGGTACGAGGGGTGTCTCCGGCTGGCCAGACATGGCTGCCTGAATCATGCGTGCTATCGTGTGCCGAAACTGACCGAGAGCAGACGCACTGGTGAGCGGAAGGCGGGCGCGGGACTGGCGTTTGAACTCGGCGAGGTCGGCCACGTTAGAAAAGAGGTGGCGAAGGACAAAGGACCGTGCTGAGAACAGAAAGGATCTGTTTTGTGGACAGTTAAGATGAACCTGGTACCGCAGAAATGAAGACGCCTCTGGACAAACCTTGACATCTACCTAGAGCCATCCAGATTGGGAGGAAAAGAGCGTGGTGGCTGTGCCGTCTGGCGTCTGGCTTAAAAATAAATAGCCCCTGTTGATGAGCTCGGGCCGTCAAGAACATAGATGATGAGCCTTTCGTATTGCGGCCACACAAATGTGGGGTAAATCTTTACACCAGGCTAATGAACTAGAAGAATTGGATATATCTTGAAGAAATCCGTTGAAGGACCTTCGAGACCGCTTTTTTCCTTTTGCTATGTTAAAGGTCACCCGCAGGGAAAGAATGTCATAGGTACATATTTCCAGTAATAATCATTACACAGTCTCCGAAAGAGGCAACATATGTTCAGCACATTGACATTGGAAAACCCCATGAATAGTCAGTCCCTGCCTGTTGAGCGAAACAGGTTTTGTATGTCGCGCATTAAGGAGGAGATTTTTCTCGCAACGCTCCTACTGCTGCCAGACAGTCCAGTACGTCGTAGCGGCACCAGCGGTATTGATTCATAGGATGAAACCCCATGGCCTTGATCCAGAGAAACTTGCCCAAGGGAAGATAATGTCTGTCTTCGAGAAAGTGAGGGCGCTGTGACTGGAGGAGGAATGAAACTGTGAGCAAATGGCGAAGGAGTTAATAGGTTATGGTCTGGGTGCCCGCTGCTCGTACTCAGATCCGCCTGATGGGGGTTCCCGTGGGACACTCCGGCCCCGCCGCATTCAATGCAGGTATTCGCTGATATAAACATGTGAGCGTTGTCATGCGTAGAACTCTTGATGCGTAAGCACCTCCTGGACCGTTTCTGGCGACGGAAGACAATATCGCTGTGATTGCGCCCCACGCTGATCTGAATGGAGATGAATAAGCGTTCATTATGATTCATACCAGAAACGTACAAGAACATGGCCAGAGTAGCCGCAGCAACGCTCATGAACATGGACCCTCCTGTTTTCATTTGCCGAATCGTACATGTGTACTGCATCTGAGCCACGGAAGGTGGTGTTGAGACATCTACAGCTGGAGGAGAGGTAAAGTTGACATATGCGGGGGCTGTGTTGCTGTTGAGAGTACTGTCGGCAAAAGATTGGCCCGGTTGGATGACAGCATCGTACGCTAACTTATTCGTGAGTATCTGTTCAACGTCAATCCCTTGCAAAGAGCAGCACTCGAGGTTACCACCTACGTTATTGGCTGTCCAATGACCAAGATCCAAGCGGATGGATGCATATAGGGCCTGAGCTAAGTTCTGCAACGTCGACGTCCCAGCTGTCACTGTCTGCGCGTAGTTTCCCGTGTTCGCTACTATGCTCAGGTTGGTCAAGGAGATGCCATTATACCACGAGATGCTGAGGGACGGCTCCTCATTGTTGAGGCTATTATTCGATGGCGTGAACAGGGTAGTGACTCGGTAAAGGAGCTGCGTAGGGCTGGTGCCATTGAAGACATATTGACCGTAATAGATAGGCCAATAAGCATCACCTATAAAGCAGTTAGGCCTTCAGTAACGGCGCTTGAGCATGTGACGCACTCCCGAAACCGGTCAACACGTCCCATGTTGCTCGTGCCAGACTATTGTAGGCAAAGGTTGAAGGTGCTAAAGCGCCGACAGGTTGGTAATTCGTATAACCCCACGACGTACTGGCCTCAAACCCCAACTCGGGGCAGGAGATCGCTACCTTGGGACCGTTAAGTGCGACAACAGGTAAGAGCGAGCGTGACCTTGGCTTACGTTGGCTCCTACTGACCTATCTCCAGGCAGTACATTCAGCTCTATCGACGTCACATCACAGTTGGCGAGCGAGTTGTTGGCATAGGAGAAGCTGCCTTGTACGTTACCCGACCCTCCAGAAGAATTCGACGTCGACATCACATTGTATATGGAGTATGTAAATGCGGAGTTGTTGGTTCTGAACGAGTCTCCAAGTTGGTATATGTGAGTCTGACAGCCTTGAATCTGGTCATCCCATGACAAGGTCCAGGATGCGCTGTACGAGGCATTGAAGTTGTCCGAGATCACCGTGACTACATCGTAGCCTAGAACGCAATGAGATGTTTAGACGAAACCCTCATACGCGCACTCACCTACGAGGGCAACATTCAACGCAGCAAACCCGACAAGACTGATGCAGGCAAACACGAGCAGCACATGCGTAGTATATCTCCAACGCTGTCTGTATGGTCTGGTAAGGGGATATTGCTGGCTGCATAGTGAGTCAAACACGAAGAGATGGAAGCTTTGTTAGTACCTACAAAGTTCACGTAGTCCTCGATGCTAAACATTGTCTCAGCGGCGTCAAACCCTCATGATCAGCTAAGAAGCGAAGTAGTTAAGTTGGGCTGAAAGTGATGACTGGGATGGCGAAGCTCTCGAGCGATCGCATCGTCCACAGCAATTGCCCATACGGTCCGGTATCGGCGGCCTCTTGAGAATGAACCGGCGAGAAATACATCGGTGATCTACTGGGAAGCGATGGTAGGCGTGCGCCGCACAAGGTCCGAAGGTAGAGTAGTATCCGTGTAACAAGACTCAGACACATGACGAGCAGTTTGTGAGCAACTCTGTAACCACGTCTACCAGAAGTCTGCCAGTAAGAAGACGAATCAAGTGTAAATGGTTGATGATTTTGGGATCCTAGAGAAGGTCACAGGAGATCTATATCATTCCACTAGCTCCATCACGGGCAGTGACTTTAGCGCTTCAGCATTGATGCATGATGGAGAATGTCCCAACTTGAAGACCACAGGTACATACCGGGGCATGCTTGTACTACTAGTGTAGCCCTGAGGTTCAGCTTGGCTCTTTAGCCAGTTCCAGAATTCCAGGGGTGGGAAGCTCAAACGAGAATGCCAACCAATTGCAAAGGAGTCGAGGAACTGAATGAAAACATGGCGGTGGCTGCGCATCGTGCGGGGGTTTTCCCCCACCAAACCATTTTCCCATGGTGCCCGCGTCGCCTCGAGGCCGTGGTTTGACATTGACGCCAATGCGGCCTCAAACACTTGCTGGATTGAAGGCACTTCTTTGCATCGTCCATAGTGTATTTGGGGGGGGGGGAGAAAAGCGCCGCTATTCACTGTCAATGATGTCTTGACTATCCTGTCAACTCCGACGCATCGATCTTTCCCTCAACGTTGGACTTGCCAGCCTCACTCGAACAGTACTCAACATATCGTTGCTCGTGAACTACTCGTGTCGCTAGATTCGTTCTGGTCTCCCTTTTTCATTGCTTTCCCCGGCTCTCGTCTCTGCAAAGGGATCGCCGCCAGTCGCCGCTAATGCATCGCAACATCTAGTACCGTGACGTCTACTCCTAGTCCTTGAACACCACCCGAGGATTTGCGAAGCCCGATATCGGTGCCTATCCGCCACGCTGATGCATGCACCTATCCGCTTACATATGGAGCTTCTGATCTTGTAATGGACTACGCGTGTCACTTTCTTGGTCCTCTTTGGCCTCTTGCTACGAGCTACTTCCGTTTTCGCACCCAAGAATAACTGCAAGGTTCTGTCTACGCATTCGAAGTTTGACGTAACACTCATCTCATCCTGACGGCTGCTCGATTCTAAATTGTCATAAGTAGATGCTTACTCTCATGCTAGTTGGCCTTCTGAACGAGATGTTGCCCTTTTCTTGATTAACAATCTTGCAGCATATCTCCGACTTCTCACACTTGTCGACGCTCGAAGAGAGGTGTTTCTTGGTTCGCCGCGACATATCGCACTGCTAACACCATCTCCGAAAGAAACCTTCACTGCAACCGAACTTTCGCAGCGATGATGTCGGGCTGGAGAACGACCAAAAACGGCGACCTACTAAACGATGGGTGCTAGCAGATACTCGCGCTTATGGAGCACTACGTTTTGGGGTCTCGCTATATCATCGCCTCTGGTTGGCTCATCCGCCAATTGCACTGCTCGAGAATATCGGAAATCCAGAGTACAGCCTTTGACGTGAGGAGCAGCGATGAGGAGTAATCAGTTTCATCTTCAGGCCGGCGTGCTGCTTCTAGCCAGTTCCTAGGCACGTGCACGTGCACCACTTCATGCATTAAAAAAGGATGCGTCTGCCTATACTGCGATTCCTGGTCTGGGCTCACAAAGCATCTCCATCCATTCTACCACTATGGGCCACCGTCATTCCTCTCTCTGTACCAAGCGTGACATACCCCAGAGTGAGAAACAGTCCACTGCTCGCTTTGATCGAGTCATTTTCCACCCCCAGTCTACCTCACCTGCCTCGAAGAACAGGTGCTCGTCCTCTGGGGAGTATAGCGACGACGGAAGGAGCAAGCGAGTGGCAAAATATCAGAAACCGCCAACAAATTCTTATCTATCCTACGCGCCGGATCCATCGTCCAATCGTCCTCGATTTATTTCAGACACCCCATATAGCCAGTTCCTACGCGAGTTCCCCCTGTACCGCAACACTTGGCTCCTTGATGCGCTTCGCAAATCCGATTACTCGCGGCTGGAATTGCAAGGTGAAACATATGTCGATTATATGGGTGGTGCATTATTCCCAGAGAGTCTGGTGCATGTGCATGCGGAGTTTCTAGTGCAGAATGTGCTCGGAAATACGCATTCAGTCAGTAACAGGTGTGTATATATGCACTGCCAAGTGCCGCAACTGACCGCTTTGACAGTTCGAGACTCTCGGCCGACCATGCTGTGGAGGCTCGGGCCGCTGTCCTTGCATTCTTTGACGCACCACCCGGCTACACAGTCGTATTCACTCCGAACGCCACCGGCGCTATGAAGCTCGTCGGAGAGTCTTTCCCGTTCCGTCAAGGAGGTAGCTATGTCTTAGGTGCAGATTCCCATAACAGCTTGCATGGAATCCGCGAATATGCTCGTCGCCATGGGTCGGATGTGTACTACATCCCGTCGACGACTACTGGGGGCTTCAGCGAGTCCGAGGCCGAGGTGAGGTTGGCGCATATAGCCATCTTTCTTCGCTAATCCAAGTAAAAACACGTAGAAAATACTCCACCAGCGACCATCCACATCTTGCCCCTCTCTCTTCGCGATGACCGGTCAATCAAACATTTCGAACGCCAAAAATCCTCTATCTATGCTAACATTTGCCACTTCACTCGGATACCACACACTTCTGGACGCTGCTGCTCTGGCTCCAACGTCGCAGATTTCCCTGCGATCAATACCCGTGGATGCGATGGCTGTCAGTTTCTACAAGATGTTTGGATACCCAACTGGCGTCGGAGCACTCGTGGTGAAAGAGACTTTTCTGGCCACCCTCAGTCGTCCGTGGTTCGCAGGCGGGAACGTTGACATTGTACAGGTTCCCGGAACCATAGTCACGAGAAGCCCATTCCTATACGAGCAATTTGAGGTGCGATACACTTTACCTGACGTCTTTACCGTTGCTTACTTGAATGCAGGACGGCACGATCAACTACCTAAACCTCGGTGCTGTCACGGACGGTCTACGATTCCTCTCCGGCTACCTTCCATTTTTACCTCTCCGTCTCTCTTGCCTAACAAACTACCTTGCGAACTCTCTAGCCAAGCTTCGTCATGACTCTACAGGAAACCCTGTAGTTCGAATCCTGTCGCGAGTACCTTCTCGGAGAGTTCGCTCTCCGGGAGAGCAAGCCGATACTGGGTCGACCGTTTCTCTCATATTTCTATCTGTAAGTTAGTTTCGCATCTCTCTATATGAGCGTGCTCAAACTTCATGGTGGCAGCCAAATGGAACACTCCTACCAAACTCCTTCATCGAGAACGCTGCAGTCTCAGAGCATATATCCCTACGGACAGGTTGCATGTGCAACCCTGGTGGAGCAGCTGCCATCCTTGGTATTCAGGGGGGCATGGAAGCACTGTACGAAGGTGTCACACTCTCAGATTTTGAGGCGCACGTAGGCCACGAACTCGGCGTGGTCCGCATTAGCCTCGGGCTCGCAAGCAACTTCCAAGACGTCTGGCGTGTCCTCAACTTCGCGGCGATGATCGGTACCGAGAAGGATCGTCTTGCGCTCTGGGAGGCTTATTCCGACAATTTGACACCGCACAGGGCTAGTCAGCCTTTCGGTTAACGATCATCATCTAACATGAATATCTCTCCCTGACTTCTCATCCTCATATCCGTACTTCTGACCATCCGATTCACTCACTTGTACTCAACCCGTCGCTACGCTGACCCGCCTCACTTCAATTGTTACTGTACTCGTCACTGCACTGACCCACCACAGGATCTCTTGCTTTTTGTTATTTGTCATCAGATTTGCTCTCATTCATCTTGTGTTCCTGTTGTAGGACTTACGCCGATTTATGGTCCTCTTAATACTCGCCTCAGCTCTGTCCGTGCGTGTCACTGAAGCCATTACGCGATATTCTGTCATAGTTTACACATTGTGTAGCATGCTAACTGATCGCTCGCGTACGTATGTCTACAAGACTTCCATTACACACGCCTGTAGAGCGATGTTCATTGCACAGGACGGACTCCTTGTTCCATGGGTACCCATAAGACAAAACTACTCCTCGTCCTCGTCCTCATCCTCGTCACTATCGTCGTCATCGTCGTCATCGTCATCATCCTCTGCTTCGTCCTCAGATACCTCCAAACCCTTCTCTGCCATCCTTGCCTTGTCTCGCTTTCTCTTTGTCGACATCTCGTCAAGAAGCACGAGCAGATCTTCCTGTTCCTTCTCGGTATCTTTCTGCTTCTGAGTCGCTTCCACAACTTTGGCTTCGAGCTCCGTGATTTTGCTCTGTGCAGAGGCGCTCTCTGCAACTTTGACCTCGAGTTCGGCAACCTTGCCCTGCGCGGAGGATGCATCCAAGAGCTGAGCTTCAAGCGCGGCGATCTTCGATTGCATCTCAGTAACCTGAACATTTCAATGTTAGCCTATCAAGAGAGTTCGGGAGATGAACGCGGTACTTTGGCCTCCTGAGACGACGCTGCCTTCAGCTTCTCCTTGAGGTCATCAATCTCGGTTGCTTGTGATCGGATCACGTCACGAAGGGAGCTGATCAGCATCGACGACTCAGCGTCGGGGCCCACTGAGTCCTAAGTCAGCCGGATGAAGAGTCGAACAATCATACCGAACACATACCTGAGGCGGAGAGCGTCTTGGGATCCATTCCAAGGCCTCTCTGTACGGTGTCTGAATCGCCCAAAGGGGTCAACAAGAGTCATGCAATATGTGTACAGCCAACCCTCACAGTAGTTCGATTTCCAGAAGTCCACAAATGCCCAGTCAAACCACATTTCGCCCTCCGGTTCTCCGGCATTCTCGACATCATGGGGCACGGGCGTCGGGAAAACCATGCTGTCTGGCCCGACGGACTTGAACCGCTCGTCCTCGCGCAGACGCGTCATCTGCCCTGTAATCGCGTCCACACTAAGGCGGTTGATTATAGGACTGATGGTCGATCTGTCAAGGGACCGTAAGAGAGATGGCAACAGGACGCATATAACACTGGTAGGCTACCTCGTAATCTCGCCCGGCTCGCGGTTGAACTCGTAGCAGACACCGAGGAGGAATGCGCAAAGCCCAGGGACGAGGCTGTCGCCTTCCGTATTTTGGTTGATTGGCTCCACCAACTTTACCATGCATCCCTTTTAGCATCATTCTCTCGCGAAAGTATGCGCATATACTCACCGAACTGAGGCTTCCCGCGTCTAAAAAGTCCCTGACCGACTTAGGATCTTCCCATAGCCACCTCGACAACAAACACAGGTACCCCACAATTAACCGATCCCACTCCCTCGCCTGCCGTTCATCCTCCTGCGCAGCACGTGACCGCGAGAGGAAGCACAAGCTTAGATTTTCGCTCAATAGCTGCAGAACCGTCTCGGGTCCGTCATCGCCGTCATCGTCAGCCTCTGGTTGGTGGGGAGGCGTACTTCCATCGGCGGGGACGAAGAACTGATCGCCCTGTGAGGGTGTCTGGAGGACGGCTGGGCTGGGCTTGATCGAGCGTGCGAGAGACTTTGACCGGAGAGAGGAGGTAAGGAGATGCGAAAAGAGGATGGACGCAATGTACGTGGTGGTTACATCGGCGAGATTTGGCGGGGTAGAAGGGGGGAGGCAGAGGGCGTGAAGCAGGGGTGAGATGGTCGATGCCTGAACCGGCGCTGCGGACCGTGAGTTTTGGTTGGACAGAAGATATAGGGGCTTACGTTCTGGTGGGATCATGCCTTGCACGATGGCTTGCTTGATCTCGTCCTTTCGTACGAAGTTCTGAGCCCCATTGTCAGACGGTCAACCGAAATGCAATGTATGCGTATCATACCTCGAAAACCACCATAGCGACACTGCGAAGCTCGAGGGCAGAGACCGTCCGTCTCCCCCCATTTTGACCATTGTACTCACCATGCAGGGCAAGTTCCACGAGGACGTCGAGGGCGGAGGCAGGCTCTAAGCGATCCCACTCTTCGCCGTTGGTGTCCGGAACAGGGATGTATGGCGTGAGTACAACCTCTGCAAGGGGAAAATTCAAGTTGATGGGCAAGAGACGAAGTGCCTATCAGCATAATGGTGAGCAGCAGCCTGGCAGCGAGCTGCGGATGACATACTTGCGTTTTCAGTTGCGTGGGGGCGTTAGAGGCGAGGGCGAGCTCGATAAAGCACCGTATGAATGCGCCGGTTTCTGGTCCCTGAGAACAAGCTTAGCCAGAGGACGAGGCGAACTCAACTAGATAGCTCACACCACTACCCTTGGATCCTACTAACATGCCCATGATGCCGAGAACGGTGGATACATTGGCAGACTTCTGCTGATCCCAAAACTGAAGAGCAAACTCTTGCGGTGGGACCTCGTTCATTCGCAATTGCGGAGGGAAGATCAGAAGGGAACATAACAGCGCAGGAAGGGATGTCTCTCGGAAGTAACTCTGGTGCGCGCCGTCCGTTAAATGAGCACCAATAAGTCATACGAAGCACACACCTGATTGGAGGTATTGAATCGCAAGAGGCCATCTGCACACTGGAGTGCATCCGCCGAAATGACTCCGCCCTCCACCCCGTTCTCTTGGGATACAATGTTGAAAAGCTTTTCAAAGGCTCCCTCAAAAGCGAAGACCTTCTGGATGTCGGGACTTTGTACGATGAGAGCTTGAATCATGGCGATGGCCTCTGCACAAGACAATTAGGTGTACATTGATACTTGAAAGGCATACGCACCATTGCGTATGATCTCGCGCTTGTCGTCCAGGATAGCAATAATATTCGTAGCACCCGATGGAGCCTTTAAGAAGTATCCCTGAACAACCTGACGTCTGTTCTGGAGAAGTGCCGTTAAGAGTTGAAGAGTGGCGTATCGGGTGTAGAATGTCGTGTCGGCGAGCAAAGCAAAGAGCATGTTGACAGCCTGCTCGTTCGCAAGGACCGCATCCGTGTGCTTGAGGGCGAGTTCCTTGGGCCCATCCTCCACGTCGCACAGTTGCTTCAACGTCTCCAAGACTGCTTTTGCGATGTCTGCGTCGATCTCTGCGTCATTTTGAAGGACACTGAGGAGTACGGGGAGCGCCGTTTGGCCAACGTCTTGCTTCCAGTCGCGTGCTAATCCCTTCAAGGAAAGTACAGCAGCGCGTCGGTCTGCGAGGAGCGTGGATGGTTGCAGGCGATCGCTAAGCCTTGAAATGGTATCAGTTGCAGATTGAGGAGCGCCGGTAGGCCCACGAAGGGCGATGTAGGTTTGCGAGAAGAACTCCATTCACTGCGGTGCCTCTTGAGCAGCCCACAAGATAAGTCGAGATTTGACACGTACCTCCACGCCCGTCTGTCAATGATGAAAGCCCTAAGATCCCAGCTTCGCGCGTCGTCTATCGAGAGCCAATGTAGACTGATTTCAGCGGTGGTAGGGATCTAAGTCGGAGGCCTTTGACCGCCTAACAGTGTAGAACTGGCCGAACACGTTGGAACGCTGCGCGCAGACCGGAGAATCCGGAGACGTGAGCCCATCCCGACTCCCACGCGACTTGGAGGCACGCCCCTATCCAATCTTTCCCTCACCTCCAACTCCGCACTTCCGCTCATGGGCTACACGCGGAAAGCAACCCTCGACACATGACAAATCAGCAAGCGAAGTTTGGCAAGGGATTGATTGCTTCTTGATAACAATGTGTCCTTATGGCATATAAGCTACTGGAGGACCTCTAGAGCTGATTCTTGCAGTGGCAGTTGCCCTCTTGATTCTGGCCTCTGTGCATGGTGCCCATTTTTTCGATTTCGTGACCGGGTAAGGTCGAGGAAGCTCTCCGTGTATCAAGCAATCTCATGACTAATGCGGTGATTGCTTTGAATAGGTCGGCTAATTTGTGGTCACCCAAACTTACGATGTGATCAAACGGGTCCATACTGACAAGACTCTGCTAACGAAACGCCAAAACTGGATCCGACCTTTTGGCTCAGTCCGTGCGAGTATGACCCATTTTTATGGTGTGGATTAGGGGAAGGACCGACCAAATTCTCGCACAGGTAATTCTTAACTACGGAGAAGTATGAATAGTAACTTAGGTTTCTTGAAAAAGGGGCCTTGTTTTGTCATTGTGAAGAGACTCTTGCCTGCGATTATGACATCCTCGAAGACATCATCACCAGACGGCTAGCCGCAAAACCTCCGCTGACCCTGGTTATTTCACGCTTCTCTAGGCACCTTCAAAGGGTTCACGCGATCCAGGCGGTGTCTTTCTCGCTAGTATTGGCGTACAACGCTACCATGTTTAGGTCAGAGAAGGCTATCGTCAACGAGCGATTGTCATCGACCACTAATCGCATATATATGGCTGCCTGTTTCGCTGGCTAATTTCCGCAGCCATCATGGGTCTTCCCACTGCCCTCGCAGGCCTCTCCTTCCTCGTCTATGTGGTCTACCGCTACTTCACTCGACTTAGGCTTACTCCCTTGCAAGGCCCGCCTTCTTCCTCATTCCTAATGGGTGAGTGTTCTGCTGTCGACGTGCTGGAATTTTTCGCACGGCCACTCACACACGACTGGGCAGGCAACCTCCCCGAGCTTTATCGGAGTTTGGTTGGCGAAATAGACTTCAAGTGGCAGCAGCAATACGGGAACGCGGTTCGGTTCAAGAGCATTGTCGGAGTGCGTCCATTATATCACTGCTAGACGTAGTCTAGGCCGCTAAGGCCGCTAACGGGGGAAACAGAATGACGCCTTATGGATCGCGGACCCCAAGGCATTGCAATACATCTTCCAAACATCGGGCTACCATTTCCCCAAGCAGAAGGAGCGTCTGGTTGTGACGAGGTTGATGCACGGAAAAGGCCTCGTGTGGGCAGAGGGCAAGTGTTCAATCCCACCTAGGCCACTTCATGTCATTGGTCGCTCATACCTTATCTTGCGCGCTAGGTGATATTCACAAGCGGCAACGCAAGGTCATGCTTCCAGCATTTGGCGGCCCGGAGTCCAAGGCGCTTCTATCACTCTTTTCGAATAGCGTGCAGTCTGTGAGCGATATGAGACTGTGATGATGTGTCTTAGTCTGACCCTAGTTGCAGCTGACATCGAAGTGGGCCGAGAAACTTGACGGAAGTAAAGATGGATCGCTGGTTCTAGACATGCCCAGTTGGTTATCCCGCGCAACGATGGACGCACTTGGTCACGGTAATTATCGAATATCCTCCACTACTTTGGATGATGCACCTAAGCCGCCATGCAGCCGCATTTGACTACGACTTTGGTGCTCTTTCCAACGACGAAAACGAGCTCACCAAAGCATACAACGGTTTGATGTCAGTTAGCGCCCTGCGCTCCATCGATGTAAAACTGATTGGTTGCGTTCAGGGTTGACGTCTTCGGCTTTCCATCGCTCCGTCTCATTTTCACCCAAGCTGTGGCCAGATATGTGCCGAAGAGTGTGCTTCATTACCTCGCTTTCAACAGCTCTTCGCCTCGTACACAAAAGATACATTCCACTACCTCGCTCGCGGACAAGGTTTCGAAGCAGCTGGTTGAGGAAAAGGCTGAAATGATACTGGCGGGCAACTCCGGCCGCGACGTGCTAAGCATCTTAGGTACGTGTTGCACTGTTCCTCGCTTGTGTTTTTTGTATGGTATTAATCCGTTCCTTGTAGTCAAATCTAACATGGACGCATCCGCAAAGACGAAATTGGAAGAAGATGAAATGTATTCTCAGATGCGGTATGTGCACTTTGGCGTCTGCAGCTACCGTAGCTAATGATGATGCTGGTTGGCCAGGACCTTGCTGGTCGCGGGACACGAAACTACGGCCAACAGCTTGAGCTGGGTGCTTTACGAGCTCGCCAAACTCCCTCACGTTCAAGACAGGCTTCGCGCGGAGATCCGCGACATGGAGGCCAAAATCCATGCTCGGGGCGACGACACGTTCACCACGGCCGATCTTGAGGCAATGCCTTACACTGTCGCCGTTATGAAGGTATCTGTATGGTTACGTCCTTGATAAGATCTGCTAGCTCAATGATCACGCAGGAGGGACTTCGCTTCGACCCGGTTGTGTATCATATTCACCGAGTGGCCGGCAGAGACGACGTGATTCCCCTCTCGAAGCCCGTGACGACTACCAACGGCAAACTTGTGGGCGAGATCGCCATTCCGGAGGGCACTCGGGTGGTGGCTTCGATTGCTGCTTACAACAGGTGCGTCTATCTGTCGCGGATATTCAGACTAACTGTTGCTAATTTTCATGTAGGATCCCGGAGATTTGGGGAGAGGACGCTCATCTGTTCAATCCTGATCGCTGGCTGAATAAGTCACCAGTCGCCGAGAAGTTCCCCACCGTCGGCGTGTACGGTAATATGTACGACTGTTCACCTCCACCTTCAATATGCGATGCTGACTGAACATGCAGGATGACTTTCATTGGGGGCACACGTGCCTGCATTGGCTGGCGATTCGCGTAAGTTTGTTCGAGCTCGCCTGGACGTCGAAGCATTCTAATCGGGTAATCAGGGTGATCGAGATGCAAGCGTTCCTCGTCGAACTCGTCAACAAGTTTGAGTTCTCCCTCGCAGATGAGACGAAGCGCGTCAGGCGCGAGCCTTGCCTGGTGATGTCTCCGACCTTGGAGGGCGAGGCAGGGAAAGGGCCCCAGCTTCCGTTGATGGTCACTTGGGCCCCCCGTGGTGCTATATAAAGGGGGCCACTACAGAAAGGGCATTTACACATATGAATTCCGCTGCGGGCAAGAATATGCTTATCTCACCAGCTAAATGTAAGACGTACGTCTCAAGTCACGGGAAATGATATAAATGCAATATTGCAATGGAAAGTGTTCAAGTTGTGCTCGTTTCTGTTCAGCCACGGTGACGGTGCAGTGTCCATTGGGGGAATGTTGAATCAACGAGAGATAAGCTTGAAAGTAAAATTTCCGAGTGTTTTAATTTGAACCAAACCAACGATGACCGACGATATGGGGTGAGGCATGCAGAACGGGAATTTGACCCCGAGAACATCGGCACCGACAGCGTGAGAATTCATCGGGCCCCCGGCCCTGCCCGGCCGCAATGTTCGCGCCCATCTCCGGAAACCGACTAATTCCTCTGAACCTGCCAGCCGTACCCAGCCAAAAGGCTTTGCACTTCATACGATACCTCAGAGTGCGACAATGTTTTAGCAACAGCTTCTCTGCAAGCCTCCTTTCAAAGTCGCTCCACCCATTTCACCCCGATATACCTCGTATATCGATAAGGCAGTCGGGCTTGCTTCCATGCGCTGATGCACGGGTCGGCTGACAGCATGCTTGGTATGTTTTCGGTGCGTTCATTCACGCTCAGCAGTTCTATAAGTAAAGCTGTAGCTCACATATCTATGTTCTGCCATCTAAATCGTTATGGACGTCTCTAACACCCAAATTGCAGTCGCCCTAGGCGCAGTCATCGTTGCCTACGGGCTGTACCGCCGTGCATCGCGCATCTCAGTCTCAGACCTCGCCGGACCAAGCCCCAGCTCTTTCTTACTCGGTAAGCGCCCTATTACGTCTCGCTCATCACGCTTATGAACTGGCGGCAACAGGTAATCTCAAGGAACTTTATCAAGGGCTGGTTGGAGACGCCGACTTGGAATGGACCAAGCTCTATGGAGGCATTGTGCGGTTTAAGGGAGCCGTTGGCGTGAGTCTCGATCACTTGGGCGGGATTTGACGATATCCTAAACGCTTATACGACGATCAGGAGGACATGCTTCTCGTGTCCGATCCCAAAGCACTACAGTATATTATCTCAAGCGCGGGCTACAACTTCCCAAAGATGAACGATGGCCGTGTCATTTCTAGAATGATTAGTGGGAGAGGCATCCTATGGGCAGAAGGTATGTATCGTACCATGGTACTGCCTACATTCTCATTGTTTGCATAGGTGACAGCCACAAGAGACAAAGGAAAGTTATGTCGCCGGGGTTCGGCGCGAAGGAGTCGAAGGCCTTCTTGCCTACTTTCCTAGACTCCGCCGAATTGGTAAGTTTTGCGCCATCCTATGCCGTTTCTCCCGCTCAACGGAGGTGAAGATGTCGTCGAAGTGGATGGAAGAGTTGGGCTCCGCCAGTACTTCCTCGGTGGAGCTCAATGTGCAGGAGTGGGTATCGAGAGCCACGCTAGATGCTATGGGCGAAGGTACGTCCTCATCTAGGATTAAGATCCTTCCGCCACTGATGCGTCGTGTAGCTGCTTTTGACTACAAGTTCAATACGCTACATGGTGACGAAAATCCCCTCGCCAAGGCTTACAGTAACTTCTTGTATGCAGCTCATTCTCTATCCTGCCATCTACTCACCCCGGGACGCTAGGAAGGAAGCTTTCGGTTTTCCATCTGACTCTCACCTCTTGTCGCAAGCCTTGTCAAGATATCTTCCTTTCGAGGCCCTTGAGTGGTTGAGCGACCACATGTCCAGCGACAAGCTTGTCCGCATGCGCCAGACCAAGGAGGTATCTGTGGGCGTCGCAAAGGGTCTAGTCAAGGACAAGGCGGAAATGATCACAAAGGGCGCTGGAAGCAAGGACGTGTTCAGTCTCCTCCGTATGTCCTAGACTGGCTTTGAGAAGGAAACTTAGCTAAGTAATCATCTCATCGACAGTGAAAGCGAATATGGATACGGAAGCAAGAGCGAAGCTGACAGAGGAAGAACTGTACTCTGCTATGCAGTGAGTATAGCTGACGAGATCACGTGTATCACGATGCTGATAGAAGTGAATGGCAGCGCACTGATGACGGCCGGTCACGAGACGACAGCAGCGACGATCTCCTGGCTTCTTTGGAGAATGGCTAAACACCCTGAGGTCCAAAAGAAGGTTCGTGCTGAAATCCGACAAGTCGAAGCCACGACCCGTGCGCGCGGAGACTCTCAATTCAGCATGGCCGACCTAGAGTCTATGACGTATACCCTGGATGTGATGAAGGTGAGCGTCAATGGGAACCCTCGAGGCGCTCGTTATCTGAACTATCGCCCAGGAATCTCTGCGCATCGACAACGTCGACTTCCACGTCCACCGATGTGCCGGCCAGGATGAAGTAATCCCTCTCTCAAAGCCACTGACAACGCGCTCTGGAAAGGTCATCACGGAGGTTCCGGTCCCGAAGGGCACTGGGATCATAGCATCTGCCATCGCTTACCACAGGTTTGGATCATGCTCGTGTATGACTACATTCTGCTGACAATAATCTGCAGGAATCCTGAGATATGGGGCGAGGACGCGAATGAGTTCAACCCGGACCGATGGGAAACCATCGGCGAACGTGCGCAGCGCGGCCCCACCGTTGGCGTCTACGCGAACCTGATGACCTTCCTCGGTGGGGTGCGGTCCTGTATCGGCTGGCGCTTCGCGTGAGTCCCCCTCGTGTTGTGTACTTGTGATTGGTTATCGTGAAGGGAGCGCTGACGTTCCTCGCATGGCCGGAAAATAGCTTGATCGAGATTCAAGCGTTCTTCGTGCATACCGTGAACAACTTCGAGCTCTCGCTCACGGACAAAGCCGATCGTATTCGGCGTTCGCCGTGCCTCATCATGGTGCCGACTGTCGAGGGCGAGGAGGAGAAGGGCGCTTACCTGCCGTTGCAAGTCAAGGTTGCTCCTCGTGAGGACAACTGATTGGTGACCGAGAAGTGTCAAATGTTGTCTCTTTCAGCAGAGATGACTGTACATCCATCCGCCTTGTTCGCACCACATATACGTTGTTGACGTCCTTCTACTATGCTTGCTGCGTTTCAAGACTGTACTACACCTCCCTATCTTAAAATTGCGACTGTCCTGAAGCACCATGTATCTCAGTTGACACGTCCTCGTCAGGTCTCTACATATGGTACCCCGAGAACCGAAGAGGTGAACTGTGCGCCGCACAGGATGTCCTGGGTTCACTCGCCTGAGCCAACGGAATTATAGAATGCCATACGCGAGACAACAGAGATATGAACGAGCTCTCGTCCGTATCTGGCTCTGTACGCTGAACTATCACAGACTGCTGTTAATGAATTCGATGCCGAGTCCCTTTTAGACCTCATAAGAATTGTATCGTGCTCCCACTTGGAGCCGACAGGCAGTGCATGAGCCTTGTCATAGACATGGAGCTAGATATCCCCGAGTAATGTCACGGACCCTAGAACGTGTGCCATGGAGGCGTCATAAGAGAACCCTACGACCCATCTATGATCCGCCCGAAATCATTCACGAAGCCTCCTCGAGGTGATGGGAACAAGCGCATGCGCTGATATCGAACCCATGAGAGAAATAAAAATAAAAATAAACTTACATGAACACCTTTAACTTCACGTCTGAATCTCGGTAGACTCACGTTAAAGTTAGTGGTGGACAGGTGTGAGAGAAGTAATAAGCGTTAGCACATACATACATATGCACCCATATCTACGGAAGCATTCTTCCGAGTCTGTGCCAGACGTGTGGCTCGTTCCTCGATGTCACGGTGATGATTGATCGATGACAATGAAGTCCAACGCACGGACTCACCTACGGCGGGGGCTGCAACATGAATGGATGTCAAAACATGATGCTATAGTACGTTACGTTGTCAAATTGGCAAGAACCCTTGAAAACAAGTTTTGGCGTCGAATCGTTATTTCAGTAAAACGCCGCTAAGTAGTAGTCACGTTCGGAAGGAAGCCCAAGGCCGAAATGACCGAGTCGGCGCCTCCGAGGTCGATGCTGTAGATTTACATTAAACCTTGTTGTTAAGATTTGTTGTTATGATCAGTAGACTCAGGAGGTGGAGGATGGCTTCCTGAGACTGATCGGCGTTCAATATAGGACTTTTTTCTTTGGTAAATATTAATTCCTTACGGTATGTTACAGCGAGGCAGGCGTAAATCGCGTTGCTTCAGATAGAAGCGGATATATAGAACATTCGAAAATCGATCGCCGAGGCGTTGGATACCTGCCGTAAATTCAAGGAGCCACTCACTGGCAACATTAATCTCGGAATCTTTATAATTGATTCTGCTGCAACCCATCTTCCGTGTCACACTTGTGTCCACCACTGCTTCCGGCAGTTTGGCCATTGTCCGCGAACACTCCGCGCGGCACTCGGGATGTTCGAGGGCTCCGGCGGAGACTCGGATGCTCGTGCATCGTAGTATTATTCTAATGTCGACGGTTGAGAGAGGCGCCCACAATGTATACGGTACTCTACCCGATCCTGTCGCAGCCGTAATCCAACCAGATCTAAGCCCGTCCAAACTCAAAAGTAGCAAATAAGGCCTAGGGATTGGCGTCTGTCCTCACGGTCCCCGACGCCCGACAGATCGTCCCTGCCCGAGTTCTCCGAGCCATAGGGCCATGTGTCCGAGCTTCAGCTTCAGCACTTCAGCGAATCACGATTCACCATGCCAAGATGCCCTGCAGTAAAGCGGCGTCCTCGCCTTCATCAGAACTCACCCTGCCATGACGGTTAGCGAAGACGAAGTCCGCCGCATACAGCCTGTAGAGAACGCAGTGGTTTGGATCTAAAAATGAGCATATGTGCGTGGCGAGCGGCTTGGCTGTGGGTCGGCCTGTGATCTATTTACTAGTTCTAGAGCTCGTTAAACCCTTTGTGAGGGGCGCCTCATGGTAAAATTCCGAGAAGGACGTCGGGAAGTTTGTGCCGTTTCGGTCCTGAACTAAGAATTGTACGTGATATGGAGACTTGTTGTTGCCACGATTGCGACGGGCAAAGCTGGGAAGCGACGTAAGGACAAGGTTACAATGAGCACTTAGGAGGTGTGAATGTAGACTACCTGGTGCCTGGAGCTATCGGCAGCCTTGCTAGTGGCGAGTTCAGAATAAAAGGGGGTGCTTGTATGAACAACCCTGCCTCGTGAATCTGGAGCTAGGAGACTTGAGTTACCGACCGTGAGTTGTTTTTGGAACGAGAATGTTCCGTCGTTCTAGACTCCATGTAGAGCTTCTGTGAATTCTAAAGGAGTGCGAATAAAAGGAAAAGAAAGAGAACACCTGGAGTATCGCTCCAATAGAATAACCGACAAATGTCTGCGAGCGTCTAACACCCAACCGTGAGCAAGCCCTCAAGCGCCCAAATTCAGTCGTGCACAGATGGTCCTGCCGATAGAGAGGTTTCGCTAGCTATACACACCGGTAAGCCTAGCTTGTACTCCGAGATGTTAGCAACCCCAAAACGTTGAGACGCGGGTAATCCAGTAGTATAGCCGCTGGTCACGGTGGTGGTGTGGCGGCGAAGTGTGGAGCCGTCATCCTTGCTGATCCGTGTGGATGATTGTATTGGGACGGGGATTTACGCACAAGCCTCCCGATACACAGCATCAAGAATGATCAGCGCGACCGGATATGCATATATGCAAAAGAACATAGGAGAGCTGCCAGGGCGGGCGACGATAGGTCTGGACACATGTCGTGAGGGCGGAGGTGTGGGAAACAGGAGGGGAGTAAGTGTTGTGGGGCCTCGGCCTTAGCCGAGCGGGGCCATAATGAGTGCCGACGGAGCGGTGACGCGCTAAGTCGAGCTTCACTGACGCCCTCGCGTACTGGTGCGTAAATATGCGACTTGTTCCTGAAGCCTGAGCAGTTAGCGCAATGGAAGGTTCTCAGATCTTGGTACTGATCTCGCTTATTCGCGTGCTGGTCTCCGCCTGCCTGCACCGTGAAAACAGCACTGTTCCGAAGTTCACCCTCAGACTTCCATTCATTTTCTCCACTTTCTGCACAAAACAAGTCCGCATCCACCATCACCGCAAGAAAATTGCAAATCCGAGACGATTGTATATATAAAGCCTTAGTATTAGCAGAGCATCCGACAAGCTACGCCCTCGTTCGCTTCTAGCCCCTATTCCTCACTCTCGCTCTTAGTCAGAGCCCACAGTTTTCGTCCCGATCCCCTCCTCTCCATCTCCCCTTCATGATGTCTGAGAATGTTGATGTGACTGCCCAAGCCACTCTCGATGCCTTGCCCACGCATATACGGAATGAACTAGCGTCCCTCCTCGAAGGAGATGTCTACTTCAAACCCAGTCCAGAGTGCGTTGCCATCACCCCATCATCCTCACTCGCACTCACATGTCGTCCAGTTTCGAGGACTTCTCGCGGATGTTCAACGGCAACGTCATCAGTCACGCAAAGGCTGTCGTCTGCCCCCTGCATGCTCAGGATATCAGCAGGTGCGCTCTTCCTCTTGTCGTATCACTATGAATCCCTTCTCACTCCTACCCTATGCAGAGTCATCAAGTTTTGCAACAAGCACAAGCTCTTTCCCTCAATCAAGGCAGGCGGCTACGGCACCGCAGGCTGGGCGATAGGCGGTGATATAATCGTCGACCTCTGCAAGATTATCGACCTCGACCTCCAGATACCTGGTGAGGGTGGCGCCTATACGAGCATACGTGATATGCCACCGCGTGGTAGCAAGGGAAAGACTCCTCTCGATGCTTCGGCGCTGTTGTATACTGGTATATCAAGCGGCAAGCGGCGTAGAGAGGAAGACAATCGATTACGCGTCTCCGACGCTGCATCCCCAGTCGTAGCCGAGTTCCTGCGAAGCCAACCGCGTTTCTCCGTAGACGGTCGGAACCTACCAGAGGATCAGCCGCCTCCCAGCAACCGTCGTAGACTCCACACTTCACCGCCGGCACTAATTACACCTCAGTTGTCGTCTAGCTCCGGCATCTCGAGCGGAAGTTCGGTCCACTACACCTCGAGCTCGCCGTCCGCAGGAAGCTCCGTGCAGACTGGATCTCCACAGCCGGATGACTCGTCGACGTCGCTTACTACCCCATCGTCCTCTTCTGGACCATCGTCTCGCGCCAAGTCGAGCGACCCGTTCAGTTACCTTGAAGACGACACATTTCCACCGGCGCACACCTCTTCACCCTCGCCATATCTTTCCTTTGGCACCAGCTCTGGCGCCCTCTTCACCAGCCCAAGCTTGCTTGAATCCCACCATAACCTCATCACTCACGCTACGCCAGTGCATCCCCACGCGTACCTTACATTCGGTGGTGGGCTACGACAAAAGGAAGTGGATCGTTATTCATCGGAGAATCCTCTCCCGGCTACCTCCCTCTCTGGTGGTCAGGCTACGATTCCCTACTATATTCCGTTGTGAGTGTTTATAGATGCCTCATGTTTCTCCTTCATCAGTGATTTTGACATCATTTTAGTGCTGCGCATCCAGCTGGGTCCGGTGTCATGCTCCACGGCGGATTTGGGTTCTTGTCACGCATGCACGGTCTCAGTATCGATAACCTCGTCGAAGCCGAGGTTGTCCTCGCTGATGGCCAGATAGTCATGGCCAGCGAGGCCGAAAATCCAGGTGAGAGCCGTTTCCATTTCTTTCTACCGCGTCAGCGCTCACGCTTTCCAGACTTATGGTGGGCTTTGCGCGGTGCGGGCTCAGCCTTTGGTATTGTCACGCGCTACAAGGCCAAAGCGTTTCCCGTTCCCGTGGTATACGCGGGAAACCTGATATAGTATGCGGCATTTCTCTACGCGTTTCATTATAGGGCCTTAACGAGCGTGTCCCCATTCGCAGCCGTTTTGATCGTGCGACTGCTCCTTCCCTCATGAAGCACTTCCGCGATTGCATCAAGGGTGCACCCAGAGAACTCTATGCCAACCTAATTCTGACGGCCGGGCCCGAGGGCCAGGACTCGCTTGTTGTCATCCAAATGAGCTACGTAGGGCCTCGTGCTAAGGGCCAAGAGTTCCTGCAGACGATATCGTCGTGGGATGGTGGACCATGCCTGCTTAACGAGGTCGACGAGAAGTCCTTCTTCCATCATCAAGATAGCGTTGCACAGGTTCTCCGTGCAAGAGGTGCGTGCTCGCCTCTCCCTCTCTCGTTCCTGTCACGCCGCCACTCCCCCTTTTGGCTTGTCGCTGATCGCCCGTTTCTGGTGTCCACAGCGGGAAACAAGTGGTTCATCCGTTCCACGCTCATCAACTCGCTTCCAGACGACATTATTGGAAACACCGTCTTACAATTTGCTGATGCGCCTGTAGGATGCAGTAAGTGCCCCTTCTTGAATTCTTCATTCTCGGGCGCTCAATTAATTTAATTCTCTTTTTTCTTTTTTTCTTTTTCGCTTCGCTAAACAGCTTGGCTGTTTGAGCTGGTTGGTGGAGCGATGGTCGACGTCCAGGACGGATGTATTCCGCTGAACCAGCGCAAGGATGCCGCATTTACCGTAGCTGCGTTGCACCAGTGGGACATTACCTTTGACGACCCGCGCTGCGTGACGTCCGCGGAGCAGGTAGGCTGATCCGTTGTCTCAAAGGAACAGGGGCACCAAAGGCTAAATTCACACCCCCAAAGTGGATAGCGCAGACCCTCAAACCTGTCAGTCTAGCCGGACCCATTCCCAGTGTGCGCATTTTCTCCCCTCTCGATATTCTCAGGATTTTTCCAACGCCTTACTTTGCAGTTCTTGGGCCGTCTGGAAAGCCCAGAACGCGTCCTCGGGTGCTACGGGGAGACCTGGAGCCGCCTCTGCGAGATCAAGCGCAAGTACGACCCAACCAACGTGTTCCGGAGCTCGTTCTGGCCACTCAATGAGAAGGGCGAGATCGTCCCGCCGCAAGTGCACGAGCCAGAGCATATCGCCCACTGAAGGTGCATCTACATTCCTTCCTGACCGAAAACGCGATCAAACACGCCCATAGATGTATGTACATAATATACTGGCATATATCCGCACCTTTTTTTTGACTTTGGCGCAAGCTTTCTCCTTTCTCATCATCCTCCGGCCCGCTCGTTTTTTGTGTCGCAATGCTGTCGATAGTCTTTTTTCTTCCTTTCGTATAGTTTTTCTTCTGGGTTATCGGTTCTCCTGGGTGTGAGGCCTTTGAGGGCCGCTTGCTAGAACGTGGTTGCCTTTCGACTACTTGGAAGGCGGTGCCGGTTGAAGTCGATACCTGAACCGGGCGGACGTGGTAGAGTGGTGTGGATTTAAGGGTGGGCCTGGATGGGGTCGACGCCGCAAATGCGTAGCATCGGATATTAGGTAGTTCCTTGTTCCGTCGCTAGGCGGTGTACTTAGTTTCTTGTTATTAATTGTGCTTCTCCCAATGTTTCTGACGAGCAGTGTATTCGTGGCATACCGGCAGCTGGTCAACGGATACGGGAACAGACAGACGCGGTGAACATGTGGTATGCGGGCGGATGGATAAGCAGTGGGTGGGTAAAATGCAAGCAAGCGAACAAACAAACGGAGATGCAAAATGGGTGGCGTTCGGAATACACTAGGTACAACAATGGACAGAACGGACTCGGCCTTTCTTGATGGTGACAAACTCAAAGCAGTGGAAAAAAAGAAATTAATACATCTAAGGCTATGTAACGAGTGAGTTTAAGAGCTGTCGCATAAAGCAGATACTATCGACGAACAGAAGAAGAAAAAACAGATGTGCGCATAAAACATAAGATGAGATAAATGGGAGGGGCAAAATGAGCGGCTAAAAATGTATATAGCAAATGAAAAACGGAACTAAGCATTGTATGGTGCTACCATAGGCATCTGACATATGGTCTAGAGAAGTGCGGCGAGGTACGTCGCGTGTCTCGCCCAGAAAGAAGGGGTGGCGGACGGCTCCACCGCGGTGGGGCGCACGCTGTTCTCGTACCCGCCAATGAACGCGCCCAAATTAATTTTGGGAGCCAGGGGCGACACACGCATGTGTCAAAGTCCACGTCCCCCCGCTCTGGGCGTGTGCACGAGAAAAAAGAGCGGATCGCTCAGCGTAGCGACACGAACTCAGTGGGATAGGAGCCGCGTGCGCGTCCGGCACACTGTTTCCCGCGTAGCTGGGTGGCCACTGTCCACCCACCTCCCTCCTTTGCGCTCCTCGAGGTCTCGTCACCGCCAGCCAGCCAGCCATACAGCCATACTCGGCCTCGCCCATCTAACGATCAATCAAAGGGTATCAAGAAACTCGCGAGCGCCCAGCCAACTTCCGTGCCGGTCACCTTGTCGCGCACGAGCAAGAGGCAGTCTTCGCCGTCGTCGACGTACAGCGGAAGATGGGGATGCGTCGAGGGATGCCCATACTCGCGCAGGACATCGAACGTCGCGTCGACATCGAGCCGGAAGAACGGGAGCCCGCGGTACGACACGCCCGGTGGCGGGACGCACGGGTGGACGACCCGGCATCCATACAATGCCCGGGCCTTACATAACTCCTGCGCTACCCGGTGAGACGACGAAGACCCAGACGCTGTGGTGGCGACAGAGGAATTTGGACGATGGGTGTACTTTGGCAGTGGTGTGTCGGTCGTGTGGTATGAGGGGGCTATGGTTGAAGGTGCGCCAAGTGATTTCACGCTCGAGGATCGCTTTCGGTTGTGCCCGGGACGTAATGAGTCGGTGATCTTCGTTTTCAGCGACGGGCGGCGTTCGTCACGTCCTCTCTGCTCTCGTTCGTCAGCCGGGACGTTAGTGGGATCGAAGTCGATAGACAGTGGGCTGGGAGGGAAAGGCGATTCGGGCCCGCCGTTCAAGTCGCCACGTGATGGTGTCCGCAAAGGGCCCAGCATTGGCGTGCTCTTCATCCGTGCAGGCTTCGACTTCATCGCTGACTTGGGCATACCCGGAGCTTGCGAAGGTACGGGAAGTGGAGGTGCGTTAGGGTCGTTAAACTCTTGTGTATTTCGAGTCTTTCCCGAATTTGATCTCGCCATCTTGCTTGACTTCCCCGAGGTGAGACTTTCGGTGGACCGGTTGCGACCAATGGCAGTACCGGAACCGCTGCCACTACGATGGCGCGAGGTTGCAGAGGAAGACGAATGCTTGGATGTTGGTGAGGTCGCGTTGACGTAAGGGTCCAGAGAGGCCAGGGTCGCGGTGATATTAGCCATGCCTGCGCCCTTCGTGTTGCCGCGGTCAATGTCGCCCGTCGACTTCCTTGTTCGCTCCTTATCCCGCTGACTCTCCTTATCCCTCTCTCGTTGCAGCTCCCGCAGAATCTCTCTTTCCCGCTCCCTTTCCCGCTCCTTCTCCCGCAGCCGCTCCCTCTCCATGTCGGCGAAGGCCTTCCACGGGCTGGTGATCATCAAGTTCCGCAGGACCTTCTCCGCGTCTCCCCACCGCTCCCACCAGACTCGCAACGTCTCCTCTGCGCCCGCGTTCCGTTCCCCTTCCACCCGGAGAGCATCCCACAAGTCTCCCCACCGCAACCACACCTCGTGCCAGAAGCGCTCCATTATCCCAGACACCCTCAGAATCGTCCGTGCCACGCCAGCATTCAGCAGGTCGACATAAGCTGGAAGCTCCATAGCCAATTGCCCGCGAAGAGCCACGTAGCTCTGTGACGCCTCGAGCATCGCAGCGCTTGGCCTCTGTTTGGCGAAATTGAGGTTGAGCAAGTACTGATGCAGCGGCGCCAAGTCATGCATCGCGTCAATGAGCTTGATCGGGTTCTGCGTGCTCTCCCGGAGCCGCCCGAGGTCGGCGAGCACGCCGGTCCGGAGCTCCTCCTCGAGCGCGGTCGCGCGGCCCAGGAACTCGTCGTACACGACGACGAGGAACGCGTCGAACGCCTCGCTCTTCATGTCCGGCGTAAGCCCAATAACGCGCCCAAACGACTGCGCCCAGTCGCGCAGGCGCAATATGACCGCGTGCAGGTGCTCGTGCACCCCCAACACCTGGCGCCCGAGCGCCGGGAGGAACTCGCCGTGCCGCTTGATCGTGTCCGCGAGACTGTCAATCAGCTCCGTCTCCTCGTGGTCCTCCCGCTCCTGCGCCGTCTCCTCGCGCTCGCCCCGGTCCTTGGGCTTATTCGTCCGGAACGTCTTCATCCGCCCGAGGTTCACGCCCGCAGGGACGGCGACGCCCGACTTTTTCTTCCCGCCTTTGCCGCTGCTGTCTGGTTTGCTGCCGCCGAGGACGTCGCGGACGACTTCCCAGCGCCGCCGGCCCTCGTTGACGCTCCGCGCGACATCCTCCATGCGTTCTTTGGCCTGGCGAAGGCGTGGGAGATCTGGGTGACCCGCTGGCGTGGCATCGAGGATGGCTTGGATTAATAGGGGGTATTTGAGCAGACGTTGCACGGGCTTGATGAGGAGAGATGGGAGGTCCCAGGCGTGTGTGAGGCTGGAGGCTAGTTCACGGGTGCGAGCTAGATACTCGGCGAGAGCGGGAGTAGGGTTGGTGGAGAGAGAGGTGAGGTGGGCGAGTGCGGTAGGGTGCTTCGTGATGTATTGTTTGTACGGAGGCTCGAGAGAAGGGATCTGTATTCGCGACATGGGATGGATGCGCGCATATAGCCATGGTGTAGGGGGTGGGGGCGAATGTGAGCTCGACCAGACGCATATAAGCAGAAAGACACGCACGATTTCCAAGAACAGCTCCCCAACGGTATCGTCCGTACCCTCCCACATCCCCCCACTCGACCTGCTGCTCCCCACTCCCGAGTCTTCTCCACTCGATCTACCTCCGTTCATGCTGACTCCAGCGCTAGAAGGTGGGTTCGCGTAAAGCGCCCCGCCAAGCGCACGCTCTAGGCGCTCGCAGAAATGATCCGCAAACACCGCAAGCTCCGCGACATTGCCAAACACGATTCGCGTGTCGTCTCGGCTCATTGGTGGACCGAGCTCTGAGGACGCGGCGGACGTTGAGGATGCGGTGCTCACTGTTCGCGAGGACGATGCGGACTGCTGGGAGCCCCGCAACATGGCGGTCTGTGCTTGAGCTGTGGCGAACGCAAATTGTGAGTTTGAGGTAGACGAAGGAAAGGATGAAGGCGAGAGGGCAGGGGGTGATGTCGGGTTGGGAGGTGCGAAAGGAGTCGGTTGACCTGTTAGACCAGGAACATGTTTGGAATTGTGTATTGTATAAGATCCAGTCAGAACGCACCTAGAGCCAGTGGTATATGCACATCTCTTATCAATGCGAGATCACTCGCATATGCTCTCTCCGATGTCAGGAGTTCCAAAAGTGCGTGCGTGCGCTTCTTGACGAAAGTATTTGCGGATGGTGGTGGGTTGTTCGTTGCTTCGGTTTGCGTGAGCTCGCTGGCGGCATCTCCATTCTCGCCAAAGGCTGCAGTGAGGTTCGACAAGACGGATTCGCGTGCGGAGCGCAGTCTTTCTCTGTGGCCGGCATTCGTCGGGTACAGACTGGCGCTATCTCGGTCCTTCTCCAGTTCTATCGTGACGTCCGGTTCGAAGTCACAGTAGTCGAAGCCGAGCTCGATAGAGCTACCGCTCATGACGGAGTCTTCGGCGTGCATCCCGTTGACCTCTGCTTCAAGGGTGTCCAGCAGGACGGAAAGGGAGGTATACGACGACCCATTGGTGAACCGCGAGGGAAGAAGTGGTACGGGCATGGATAGGTCGGAGCTGACTGACGGTGATGAGGATAAGATGGAGTCGGAGTAGGAGTCTACCCTGCGGCGGGCGTAGTTGTGGATAGGTGGAGGCGCAGAAGGAGCGGAGTACGCTGCGAGTGGGAAATGGTTTGTCGGTGTATCTTCGCTAAGTATGGTTATGGGTGACGGGGGCAGCGCACGGGCAGCGGGCCGAAGTGGGGATCGAACCGGGAGCGGCGGAGAATTGATGGAGGCCTGTCGCTGAGAGAGACCGGGTGCTGAGGCAGGGGTAGTGGGTGTAAGTGTAGGAGGGGCGTTCTGCTCCTGTTTCCGAGTGCTATTAGCCGTTCTCTCCGATTGGTCCGTCGGAGTGCTAGTACTTGCGGAGACTGGACCAGTGGTGGTGTGAGGGCTTGCTGTGGGTTCGAGACCGAAGTGGGGGTCGATGTAGTCACTGAGTGGACGAGTGGTGTGGATGTGCTGGAGAGAGGGTGGGCGCTTGAATTCGTGTGGAACCCCTGTGATGCCCACGCGGCGTGAGCGAGGCGGGGAAGACGGGAAGAGGAGGTTGTTGTCGTCTGACGAAGAGGCGATAGAGGGACCCGCGTTCTTCTCTTCTTCCGTGTCTTCCTGGAGGTGGGCCTGCTCGAACCGGTTCGCTGAGATCGTACGATTCAGCCCTAATGGATGAGCAGTCATTCGACAGCAGCCTTACCTCGGTCGAGCTCGGACAAAATGGAGGTTGCTGGGAGTGGATCGTCGTGGGCGCGTTCGAGGATATGTTCAGGTGTAGTCGGAGATGCACCAGGTAGGATAATGACGGGGTTGGATGACGAGGCACAGTTTTGGTCAGTTGTCGCCTCGAGGCCGGCGGACATGGAGTCACCATGCTCGAGATCTCCGTCGCCCTGGTCTGCATTTAGCCCACCACACGCTCCCGGTGCATTGCCATCCCTAATAATCCCACCAACATCCTCTTCCTCGAGCTTGGTAGCACGTCCACTCCCCTCGCAACTCTCGCCAATTGTTACCCCAGACTTCTCCGCGTCAAGCATCCCGTCCATAAGCAGTGCCTCCCGGAGCCTGTCTTGACTGACGGTCCGCAACGTTTCACCAATGGACCACAGCTGCTCCACACAGCCTATCTATGCCTGTTTGATTGAGCCAATAGCTGAAAGAAAGCGAGACCTGGCAGGCTACATACACGTTGTCGCAACGAGGGTGAACCCTCTTCCTTTCCCTCCTTCTCCCTTGAGGTTGATGTCTCGAATGTACGATTCAATGGGTATCGATGTCGGGGAAACTTGTGGGCAGAGCAAAGAGGCAGAATGGATCGAATGATGTTGGGAAAATACTGAAGGGAACGAAGCGATATTATGCTCAACTGATGGACGGTCGGGTGTGTTACCCGATGCGTGGGCGGCTCGCTTATTACGCGCTTACTGAGCGCTTACCCTCCCGCCTTCGTCATTCGTCCTCGCTCGCATGTCTGAAGATGTCTGACAGGCCCTGACAGGTCCTGACCTGACCTGACCCACCGACAGGCACCAAGTACTGGCGCCCAGTTCGCGCCCCCAGGCCCGAGCTCAGACCTGAGCAGACCCAGCCCGCGGAATATTACGGTCACAGTAGGCCATTTCGGTCTCGTGTCTAAATCGCTCTACCTTGAGACCGCGTGTTTCAATGATCCTCAACTGGCCGTGTCATGCGCAAGGCCAGGGACTCTGGTCACATGCACATTCGAGCTCAAGTTCGCATGCCCATTCATAGGCCAATGCGCGGGGGAATCGCCTCCGCAAGCGCGATATGGTAGCCGTTCGAAGTGGACATGCTACGCGCGCCCGGATCTACCTCGCATAACCACGGTAAATATTTGAGGACAAGCCACGTCCGTTCGGACGCTAATGTTCTTGATTGTTATTGGCGACACGCATCACAGGTGGGGCCGAAGCGCGAAGTCTGAGGTGAAGCGAGATGGAGCAGGCAAGATGCGGCTGCAAAACAGAAGCAGGTATGCTCGAGAAGAGATAAGATATGGACTAGTCCGTCGAATTCTGTGCAAGACAGAGGCATACAGATATCTAGCAAGAGGAAAATCAATGCTCAGCTGGTGCTTTGCGGGGAAAATTGAGGAGAGCCTTTAGAAGGTCCGTGCTCGTCCGTACCAACGAACAAGCGGAAGCGGATCGGCATCTCCTGTCCATGTCATTAGGGTCACTCCGCGTCGATCTGCGTCCGGCTTAATCGATATCCCGAAAGCCGGAAGTACATAGTACAGACGTTCGAATTCACGATTTATGGAGGATCGGGTTTAAGCTTCAAGTTCACATAAAGTGACTGGATCGCCCTGAAGGCAACGATCACTTTAAATAAGCCCCAAAGTACTACGATTGTCTCTGTGTGCATACATGCAAATAATAAAGCTACACCGTCGGTGCTCACATCCCGTCGAACGGGTGGTGAGAACCTTTTAACTGTTAGCGTGTACCTCTGCAGGCCGTCAAGGCCAATTGCGCGGATGACAGCCACGAGAGCGCTGAAAACGCCCTTGGGAAGGGGCGGACTGTCGGGGAATCTGCTCCTCGGCAGCCCAGAAGCGGGAACGTGTAAAGGTGGAGGCTTACATGGACCTAGTCAAGTTACATTTACGTAGTATTGTCCGACATGGGGCGTCACGGTGCTGCCTCGCCGGACAGAAAAATGAGTCCAAAAGAGAGAGAGAGAAAACTACTAAATATGACACCTTCCAATCTAAATCTCACAAGATATTCTCGTCAACACCTCTCACATCACCTTTCATATCGCATGTACGAGTCCATATGGTTTGTTTGCTTCGATTGAAGCTTGCCCTGGATACCTCCACGTCGCCCGTCCAAAGAATCCAACTCCATCTGCCTTCCTGGTAGACCGTATGCATTTCCACCCATGTCCTCCCAGCGTCCGTGCTGACTTCAATGTGAGATGAGGGCGCACGGGAAACAGTATACCCTTTGATACGCAGCCAGGCGTTGCCTCTGTCATTTGTTATGCTGTCAACGGTAACGATGACCGACGCCATTGATATCTCCTGTAAAATCTTTGTTCGACGTTAGTAACCAGAACCAGTATGGTAGAACGAGCAGTAAGCTTGAGGGTACTCACTGGCGTCTTTACATGCGAAACCGTGATAGTGTCAAGCCACTTGACCCAGCCGTCTGAATAGTGACCAGGGATGACAACACGCAGAGGAAACCCATGCTCGGGTTTTAGTGGTTCATCATTCATCTGCCGTCGGTCATCACGAGTAAGAACCAAGCGCACCAGAACAGGCGCAGAGGACCCGCTCACCCCGTAAGCCACGAGGACATCCCCGTACAAATCCATCGCTTTCTTCAAGGGAATAGACACGGTGATCGGATCGCTGTACTTGGTATTCGGATGACGGGAAGAGAAATTTACTTTCCAGTCGCCGCCCACCGACTCCGGCACGCCAGTGGCGAGCAGCAGTTTACGCAGGGGAACTCCCTCCCACGATACGTTGGCGACTACGCCCTCTCTCCGTCGGAGGCCGACGTCGAGGTCTCTACCACCTTCTTCCCTCACCTTTGAGCCGGCACTGGGCGACTCCTGCCGATAAATGAGCATGCTCCGAACCGAAACCCCACAAGGAGCAACTGGATCTAGCACTCACGCACATGGCCGTCACTATCCTCCTCGGTGCAAAGTTGTTGATGATATCCCGAACAGTGAACGGCTTCTGGTGCATGCCTGGATAGTCCCCTGTAATTGCGATCCGATACCGTACGACGTTGACGGCAGGGGTATTGGTGTAGTTTCTGACAAGTTCTATGATGGAGGGCATAGTATTGTTAACGCAACACAGGTCACGGACTACTCATCCGAACACGCTTACCATGGTCCCCAAGGTGATCATGAATGAACCTTGTCGGCGTAACCGTATACTCGATGAGCTCTTCGAGCGTCTGCGGATCGACCGGGACCGGTGCTTCGAGAAGGGATTGAAAATCTTCAACGCAGTGATCCATGCGATACCGATGATGAACGTATGTACGCAAGATTGAGGTTCCATACAGTAGAATAGGATAGGGGTATAAATGGAGGTCAGCCTCAATGGCTTGGAGGTGGGACGGATTCGCTAAACGCAGCATGCGTCGGGATCGGCGGGGAGTCTGACGCCATAGGTAGTGTCATTATGATATACGTGGGGACGATAATGGTCGATGCCGATCGTTTTGATCGCTTGTTTGAGACGTCCGTCGGGCAGCTGAGAAGGGTCACATAGCGGTCTCCCGCTTTCGCATGATTAGCATACCACAGTGGAGTCGCTGGTCGTGCACCAACAGAGCGAGCTTTAGATGATAATGGTAGTATCTTGAAGCAGTTCTGGCAGGCGACTTCCGTCGCAGATGGCTCTGGTCAACCACCGAAGCTTGCGCCGATCCAAGTATATGCTGAGGTGGTGTGACAAGAGTATGGCGGCGCAGCATTAATTGACAAGTTGGTTAGATTCTCGACTCGAGCAACTAGAATCTAGTATATACTATGCCCTCCGCATCACGTCGGCGTTATAGTGTAGTGGTTATCACTCGGGATTTTGAAACAGGCTTTCCCGTAACCCAGGTTCGAACCCTGGTAACGCCTTACACAGTCTTTTTGTCCATAGCCTATGGATTGCTGTACTAAGGCTCAATACAAATCAGTATTCTTCATGTCTGCAGTACCTTCAATCATACCTTCTAGCTTCAGACATCAGATCTTCAGAACGCGATCAATCTTGTGTAATAAGTAGGTGATATACGGTACACAATCGGGGGTACTGTCTTAGCCGCTACCAGTGGACAATTCCGCCATAGATGGCCTTGACTTGACATGCATCAGATCAATAAGCTATATTTTCACCCTGCACATGCTCATGTGTGCAAGAACACTGCGCGAATTGAATCAGATACGAATATTGACCATTGCTACAACCTACAACCAGAGTTCTCAAAATATTAAGAGGTTCGCGAGTGGTTTGCATCTTCACAGGCCAGAGAAACGCCTCGCTTCGAGATGTTTCCGGTCAATATAAGACGCACGTTTACTTGGCAGAATTGTATTGTAAAGATCCGATGTTAACGATCGTATGAATGACGATCTCCAAATTCCTGTTACGCATGAAACATCAGTGTTTCAATGCCGCCGGAATGAACTCACACAAACAGATAAACAACGAGGTTTCAAAGTAGGGTGAGGATATCGATGGCTGATTGCTGCACACCGGAGGGCATCGCGACTCCTGCCGTCCACGACACTTGATGTGCCAGCTGATGCCGCTTCAGACGGTGGTGAACGAGAACTTGAAGTGTTACCGCCGATATTCCAACTGTCATGACGCACTCACCACTGTGATCATCGTCATAATCATTCTGCACTTCCTAACTGCAGCTGGGGTGAACATATCTGATGAAATTTGGCTATTCGAAGTCAGTATTCATGAACCTGATTACGGGGATTTGGACGCACCAAGAATGTCAACCTTAAAAGGATTGTTCCTCCCCTGGTGACGATCCTATCCGAGTCCTGCTTCCTGAGAGATAACTCCTAGACAGCAAGGACAAGTATAGGATGGCCGAAATGTAGATGTGTAAAATCTGATGCTGGTTTTTATCGTGCTCGACCAGTCATGGCAGGGAGAGCAAAGATGCCATAGGACTAAGTGGTGAGGGTGGATAAGCTCAAAAGGCGACCTATGAGGAGGGACGGCTGGAAATATATGTTGGTTCTCGGTACTCATTGCATGCAATTTTGTTGCAAAGTTGCGCGAAATGGCGTTTGAAGGTATATGCCCAGTGCAAGGTACAGGGGCTGCAAGTTGTTCATAGATCAATTATCAGCTCGCACGAATAAAGGAGACCTGAAATCCCCTGGCGAGTAAGGGCATGTCTTCAGCCTATGTCAAGTCTAGAGCAAGTTATGATGCATGAATGACCTGCTATGATGCGAGGCGAAGGCAAGTGTTGCTATTCGCACAGACTCGGATTGGATGGATTTGATCGGAGAAAGTTCGCTCGGCAGTCTCGGCTAAAATCAATAGGCGCTGACCTCCGCCGCCGCCGCCGTCCTCTAACTTTCTCCAGAGCATCCAAACAGCATCGTCCGTCGACTGGCATTGCCAAGTCCATTACAAGATATGCATATTTTTGAGTCCCATGGCACCGGATGTTGCAGCAAGCTCAGCTAGATCACGCACTCGCTCGTCGGGCATCGGCACTCGGGGCGGACCACAACGTGCACCTACAACTGGAGAGAAGAAGAAGAGAGGGCGTCCCCGGAAGATACGACCGGGTACTGAAGCGAGGAGTGGGGTTGATGGAGATGACGATTTGACGGCTGACGCTGGTGGGTCGACTGCGGATGCGCCTGCCGACGCTTCAGGCAATGTTGGGCAACTACATGGCATGGACGTCGATGGAAATACAGAAGAGGCATCATTTCCAGAGAATCAAATACAGTTACATGCTAATGAAGAGGACATGGTCCAACCAGGAGCACGCAATATCACTCAAACGCAAGCGTATCTCTCCATCTTCGCGGACCATCTAGCCTCAACCAAAGCCCACCTCTCGGGCTCGTCTCAGGCTCATGAACAGCCTCCCTTCAACGATTTTGACGAGATCTCGGACGTTGCGTGGACTTCGAGCACGCACCCCTGGTCCCGCACCGAGCTCGACGCTTTCTTTCACGCGCTCTCCATCCACTCCCGCTGGCGGCCCGACCTCGTTGCCGAGGACGTCAGCCATGCCGCGCGCTCCGAACTCGCTCAAGGCCTCAGCGTCGCTGGTACGAACGTGGGCGGGAAGAGCATCGCACAGGTTATCGAGCTGCTCGATGTCATGGAACAGGCTTCCGCCGAGCTCGCCGCCCGCGAGGCTTTCAGCAGCAGCAGCAGCAGCAGCACATCAGTTTCCGGCGGACGCGGCACGCGATACACGCACGAACCCGCGATGGAGGTCTCGGATGACTGGATCGTGGCGGAGGAGCGTATGGCGCTGGAGATCATCCGGACGGAGGAAGAACGTGATGCTGATGCGGCCGCTGCATTTTTGCAGGAGGCGAATCCGGATCGGAGGCGGAGGAGGTACGAGTGGGAGGATGCGAGGGCGGGGAAGCGGCGGAAGTCTGAGGTGGCTGGTGGGCTGGATGCGCTGCCGTCGTTGGGGAGTGGGCATTTGCAGGTGTTGGACTCGATTTTGAGGGCTACAGAGGGGCAGAGGAGTGAAGGTGAGGAGGAGGAGCAGATGGAGGACCCGAAGGATGCTTCCCAGCCTCCAGAAGCTGGGCACGCGGAGGATGAAGTGGACGAGGAGGATGCAGCGCCTTCGAGGCGAGGCTTGGGCTCTTCTGGGGACGATGCCGGGGTACAGGAGGCTGAACCTTCCGTGCATGCGCAGGCTGTCATTACCGACGATATGATTGACCCTGCTTTGCTGGGCGAAGAGCATTATCAAGGTGAGTTATCAATACAAATCGCTATGCTATAAAGCAATGCTGAACCATTGATATGACTAGCTCCGTCTCGGCGTGGATCATCACCTCCAACTCCTGCATTACCACCTCTAGCTGCTCCTTCAGCGCCATCCCGTGCACAAACACCACCTACCCCTGTTTCCCCAGCTACACAATCCCCTCTACCTACCGCCGCGGCTGTTTCGGCCGTTGACGATCCCGATCAAGATGACGGCGTCGATCCTGCCAGACTCTCACCAGCATCTCGCAGACGGTACCAGAAACGTCTGTATATGCGTCGCAAACGCGCTAGTGGAAGCCGGAGTGTGAATACTTCGCTGAGCGTATTGAAGCCTGGCCGGAAGAAATCGTCTCTTAGCGTTGCCCAAGACGCGTCTCGGCGCGGAGGCAGGCCAAAGACGAAGGAAAAGCGCAGGGAAAGGACAAGAACGCCGGCGGCATCTGTTTCTCGCCCAGGGACGCCTGTGGCTGGTGAGGAGGGAGCGGACGGAGGGGAAGGCGAGCAGTCGGCGAGGTTGAAGTTCAAGGGTCGCGGGTTGAAAACACGTTATAAGCTTCGTGCTGCGTTCGCTAATGCTGGGGTTGATGCTACCTGGTTGCAGGAGAATGGGATGGACTTGTTTAACCTCGGCTCCCTTGGGCGTCTTTCTGGGTAAGCGGTTGTCAGTTGCTTTGGCTCGCCATTTCGCTCACCTTGAATGCACGACAGGTTAGCGAGCTCTCCGTTCAATGAAGAAGAAACCGCGACGCATGCGATCTCACCTGCGCTCGTACGGTTCCTTCAGGCTGCGATCACTGCGTATGTTGGTGATGTGGCGCGTGAGGCGATCGTTCTCAGGGAGCAGGAGCGGAAGATCAAGGAGCGTTCCAGATTTTGGAAGTTTCAAGAGCACTCTGTAAGTGTCCTGGCTAGATTGTATTATTGTCAGCCTAATCTATCATGCGGTCAGATCCCTACAAGTACCGTTGAAGAAGCGATCCAGATTACAAGCATCCGCCACATGAACGGCAAAGTAGCAAGTGAAGACGTGGGGCAACGAGGCGTGTCTATCCATGGCGACGAACACGAGGACGGCGGCGATGCCGAGGACGAAGAAGAGGTTCAATATGAAAATAGCCATGACAAAGACGACGTTTGTGGACGCGATCCTCGCATGGCCGTCTTCTATCCCCCTCCATCTTTTGGACTGAGCAGCTTCGCCTGTCTGACGCCATCCCTTTACGAGGATCGCCGACGCAAGTTTATCAAGCGCCAATTACCGTCGTCTAGGTCTTCTTCCCCGTCGCCGATGCAGGGTGTTCTGCACCTGTCACCGGCCTATGTTGTCCCTCCCTCTCGGGCGCTAGGATGGGAGGATGACGTCATGCCCTCGGATACAGACGAAGAAGCTCTACAAGGAGAATTAAACTCGGAGGAAGCAGTGAACGCGGTGGACGAAGACGCGGCGCGGGAGCATGAGAGGCGCTTGCGAGAAGCTGTGGGTCTGATCGGACATGCGGAGGATTCAGAAGGCTCGTGTTGATGTGATGATAGCAAAAGTACTTGTACATATCTGCTCGTATTTACCGTATACCATCATAGTTATTTACATGCTTATATAGTTCGATCGACACTCACAATAACATGCGCAGGTTGCCGTCCCTGAGACTCGAGAACCAGATAGTATTTGCTCGAGAGATCCGATCTGCGAGACGCCCACTGGGGGAAGGTTGCTCCAATCGCATGTACCCCCCGGTGCACGCGAGCAGAGAATCTCCGGTGGAGGCGGGACGCGAGGGATGCTTGAGCGCGCCGACATCGTCCCTGGCGTTGTCCCAAGCTCGAGCCTCGACCATAATCGACTTTTAATTGTTCGTCGACATCGCCGCTATGGGAGCCGAGCATGAGTCGACCGACGTTGTTCGGCTGCGGGAGGGAATTTCAATGGCGGGGTCCGTGCGCATTCATGGGTGGGAACCTTGGTAGGGAGGGAACGCGGGTGCAGATCGGATTCGCTCTCGTCTTGTTTCGACGCTTCCTCTTTTCCGTCTGTCGCGCCTGACCCCGTCTCTTTTCCTCCCACCGCCGCCGCCCTTCTCGTCGTCGTCGTCGTTCCCCTCCAGTCCTTTTCGTTCGCCTCTTTTCATCTTTATTTGTTTGGCGAGCTTCTTGGGTCAGACGACAGCGATAAGAATCGTCCCCGGTTTTTTATTTGCTGTTCCAGGTCGTCGTTACAGTTTAGAGGACACCCTCCACTTCGTCCTTCCTTGACTTGACACCTATATAACATCGCACTTTAACTTGTTATCCCGTTTTTTGTGCGTGTTCTTTCTTTCCCAACTCCACCACACTCGTTACCACCCACCAAAGGGCCTTTCCCCACCACGGTCGCTACACATCGCGTTTTCTAACCTTCACTTGTTTCCTTCTCTCCTCCTTTCCGCCGTTGGCTTCACATCATACCTATCCCACATTCACATCCACGTAACATTCTCTCCTCCCCTATGGACGAATCTCAGGCTACCTTCAACAACCAGTACACTGCTTACGGTTCCTTCGAACTGGATATGATGAAGGTCAGCCCCTTTGACATTTCTCTTCACGTCCCAACTTCTTACGTGTTTTCTTTTCCTCTTACGCGTCTTCAGAGATCCATGGATACCGCTGGTGGTCCTGACGCTAAAAAGGCTCGCTGGTCTCCCCCCAACGGAAACCTTTCCGCTTCCAACTCGGGCAACCGCGACGCTTTCGCCAACTACGGCTACGGACCCCAGGCCAACATCAACCAGGCCTACGCCAATTCGTCCCCGCAATATTCTTCGTCCGCTCTTTACTCGACCCCCTCCCTGACGATCAACACCGGAGTCAACGGCAACATGAGCCAGATGAGCCCTTCGACACCCTACATGCAGAGCGCCTCTTTGCAGACCCCCCAGACGCAGCACCCCAATGGCCAGATGAACGGCGGTGCCTATGGTGCTGCTTTCGGCTACAACATGTTGGGCATGGGTATTCCGAACATGAGCATGCTCAGCGCGTTCCCTTACAACGGACAGATGGCCAACTTCGGGCAGGTGCGTATTATTCACTATACTATCCTTTCTTGACGCTTCATCTGATGGTCAGAACGCGAATCAACAACAGCGCGTTCCTTCGCTCAATGTCAATATCCCCTCCGCGCCCCAGCCTTACTCTCCCGCTGCTCTTAGCGCTGCGCTTTCCATCAACACCAATGCAACTGGGCGTACTGTTTACGTTGGCAATCTCCCTGCCACTGCTTCCGTCGACGAACTTCTCAATCTCGTTCATTTCGGTCCCCTGGAGTCTGTCCGTGTTCTCCCCGAGAAGTCATGCGTCTTCCTCTCCTTCCTGGATGGCAACACCGCATCCGCTTTCCACGCCGACGCTACCATCAAGAAGCTCTCCCTGCACGGACAGGAGCTCAAGATAGGCTGGGGAAAGCCTTCGCCCGTCCCTGCCCAGGTTGCTCTTGCCATTACGCAGAGCAATGCAAGCCGCAACGTGTATCTCGGTGGCCTCGACGAGGGCACCACAGAAGAGCAGCTTCGCGATGATCTGAGCCGCTTCGGCCTGATTGACCAGGTGAAGATTGTCCGTGACAAGAACATAGGCTTCGTCCACTTCTTGAGTATCGCCGTTGCCACCAAGGTACGCTGCCACCCACAAAAATGATATCTTATTTTTAACTTATCTTTTCTCAGGTCGTTAACACACTTCCCACTGAGCCAGCTTGGGCAGGCAAGCGCGTTAATTATGGCAAGGACCGCTGCGCATACATTCCGAAGTCGCAACAGGCTGCCGCTCAAGCTGCTCAGGCAGCGGCTGCGCAGTCGCTCGTCGCTCAGTCGGCCACGATGTCCCCGGGTGCCGGCCCGTCGCCATTTAACCCTTTCACTGGTTACGCGCCATTTGGCGCCGAGGCCATGCAGGGTATGGCTGGTCAGAGCCTCAACCGCACAGTTTACCTTGGCAACATTCACCCCGAGACGAACACCGAGGACCTTTGCAACGCTATCCGTGGCGGTGTTCTCCAGAGCATACGGTACATGCAAGATAAGCACATTGCTGTAAGATACCTTTATATTCCTTTTTGATCGGCACATCTGACGCGCATATAGTTTGTTACCTTCGTTGATCCCGCCGCCGCGTTCACTTTCTTCCAAGTTGCCTCCTACCAGGGCTTGACCCTCAACAACCGCCGTCTCAAGGTCGGTTGGGGCAAGAACTCTGGCCCTCTCGCTCCGAGTCTCGCGCTCTCCGTTCACTCCGGTGCTACGCGCAACGTTTACGTTGGCAACATTGAAGACTTTGAGACGTTCAATGAGGAGAAGCTCAAGAAGGATTTCGGGGAGTTCGGAGACGTTGAGCTAGTCAACTTCCTCAAGGAGAAGAACTGTGCATTCGTGAACTTCACGAACATCTCGAACGCGATCAAGGCCATCGACGGGATCAAGAACAAGCCCGACTACGCCAACCTGCGTGTTGCGCACGGTAAGGACCGCTGTGCTAACCCACCGCGGTCCGGTCCTCAGGGCGGCGCCTCGCGTCGTGTTGCAAGCGGCAATGGCCCCAGCAACGCTGGTGACAGCGATGGCAAGAACGAGGACGTCTCGGACGCCATCCTTTTGGGCGACGACTCTGTTGCTGCTACAAACCCTGGACTGGAGGCCGACATCATGATGGAGGGCGGAGTCGAGAACGGTGTCGATGGGTCCAGTTAATTCTGGATACGCTGCGCACCGTCTCCTCTTCGGCATTAGTTTCTCAAGGGAAAAAATCGCCTGCGCCAGTCACTGTTGCTTTCGTGCATGCCTGTCCTTGTGCTTGTGATGTACAAACTCGATGATACCCAACGCTCTCTGCGTCCTCTGTCTCTGCACCTCGTTTTTGCTCAGCTGTGAATACTCCGCTCTCTCTCTCTATCGTCATAGACCGACCGAACGAAAATTGTGAATGCGCAAGAGGAGTCTTTTGTCCAGGTGGATGGATGGATAGGATTGATGATCGATTTCCTTCGGCGTGTCGTGCCCCTCTTGCTTTCCTTTTCTTTGTCGCCTTGCGCGGTCCCGAGAGATGCAAGTACGGGCTTGGCACCTTGGGCTATTGGTTGTCTTTCGATGGTTATAATGTTTTTAAGCGAACACTTCGTTTCGTTTCGTTCGCTGATCACGCTATATTCACCTTCATCTCTACTAAAGATGTCTTCCTTCATCGCCTTTTTCTCTCTCCTTTTATTATGAAATTTCAAATTACCTTTTACCATTCTTTGCCCTTTCTTCTCTTATCGTACCCATATGCGTCTTCTTTTGCCTTTACCCTGCAGTCCCCACCACACCTTAGTAGCACGGCGCTGCTGCCGCTTACCCGCTCTCGCATCACCCTCCGTACTCTCGACCTGCCTCGCGATGACTGTATACAATTACCGACGCCTGATGTGCTTTAATCTCTCAATCTCTTTTTTCTGCCTCGTCTGTCATCATACAATCACCTGTCACCCCCGCGCTCGAAGTACAACTAGCCTCTATTCCCCGAGTGCACTTAGTATTCCCCCCCACCAATTAAATCAATACCATTATACTCTCGTTCTGTGTGCCTATACCTTTTGGTGATTGCGACTTGTGAGAGCTATTGTGAGTGTGGCGGCGGTGAATAATGACCATCGTGTAATGGGCATCTCCGAGTCGGCACTGCACTGGTGCTGTCTCTTGAGTGGTTGTACATCTGGTTAGTACCAGTGTTCCTCGAAGGTGATTTCATTGTTTTCATGCGCCGATTTCTGTGGTTTACTGAGCTCGTTTCCAAATATGCAAGATGATGTACTCAGCACAGGCCTAGGAGCAGAGGCGACCATCTGTACTATCGCTTAGCTCTGCGGGCAATGCTATTATTTTTTCGAGTTCGAGTTCGTGTCGGTGTCCGTGGATAACGCCGGGCATGCTCATGTGCGCGATGCTTACTATGTGCATAGTATACTTCGGACTTCACGCTCATTCTTTCCCGGTACGTGCTCCCTGAGCGCATCAAACTGGCATTGCATTGAACGATTAACATCAGACCACGACCCCATCAGAAGGTACTGTACTTTTTCCTACCAAATACAGCGTGTCCCGCTTTTTAGTTTGTTGGTGGTGGTGGTGCGGGACATAAGTTCGTTTCGAGTTTGTTTTATAGGAAAATAAGTGCGTGGTGGGTATCATCGCCTCATTCCGTACGCTGTGGTATAATTAATGAGCTGCTGGGATGACCGTATTGGTTGTGCACAAGTGAAAGATTGACACCCATTTTAGCCCCTATTTACGACGTGTCCCGCATTTCAGTTCGCAGGCTCTACTAAAGCGGGACAAACCGACTTGTCCACGAACCAGGTGCATGAAAGTGCGCTAAGGACGTAGACGGCGTTTCGTCCATTCAAGGGATATCCATGCCAGCATGAGGTGTGCAGTGTCACCTCATACCCTCCCAAAAGTTAGGTAGTCTTACAATACTCCCTTGACCCCGGTTCTATCTCGAACACTTTACTTAATCGCCGTTCTTAAAAGGTCATCTAGAAGTTGGTAGAAAGAGAACCGTGATGGCCGACTCGACATATGCTTGCCATTGTGATGGTGCACAGTTGTTTCTTCCACAATCATCAAAGAATATCAATGTCGCTCACAAGCTTGGCAAAAACAACTTGAAGGGCAGAACTAAGACAGAACACCGCTCGATTCACTGGCAAGTTCCTAGTTAAAGTCTACGGTACTCAGTCTCGTTAGACTCGCGAAAGTGAGATTATTTTACTGAGACTGTCTAGTCTTCCTCTGATCCTATCATGTCGCGCTGATGACGCAGTTGAAGCTGAATGCACGACCATTTTCTCTGCGAAACACGGAAACAAACTTCCCAGCCGGCGGCTTGCTCCCTCGGGATATATTGAATCCCACGATCACATGTAGCGGACCTGGGCTCAGAGCTGCTCCCACGCGCTCCCACACTGCACAGGCAAGCCCGGCGCTGGTGGGCGACGTTGTACTCCACCCCCCACTATGATGAAAGGCCTTTTGACTTTGCTTTCCTTCATCGCTGCCTTCTCGTCCGTCGTCTTGGGACAGACAGATTCGGAGCCCATCCAGTACACACCAACACACAACATCACCACCATCGTCGGCACATGGTCGTCGGGAAGCCAGGCCGTAGTAACTGGTCCAGTGCGTCTCCAATAATCCCGCATGCGCCACCTTTGGAGGACGCTAATGCATGACCGCCTCTCAGGGCTTCGCATCTCCCAACAATCTGTCGTTCTTCCTCCCTGAGAATACGGGTGTCTCATACTCATTGTGAGTCTTCTTTTGCTCCACTTGCCGTCTTTTTGCCTATCATCCGAACCTTGTAGCACCGACGATGGTTTCTACGAAGTCGCCCAGTTCCGGCTGAATGGCAATGGTGAGTCGATCTCACCCTCGGTGTCCCAGCCCGCCAATACCCAAGCTCTTCACGAATCGTAGGGTCCGCTCCCAACTGCGCCACCGCTGTCCTACTCTGGGCGCACGGCCAGTACACTCTGCAGCCCAACGGCTCCATCACCGGCGTCCTGTTTGGAGATGGCTATCAGCAAATCCAAGATCCCTGCACGGCCGTGTCGAGTTTCGTACAGGCCTACAATACAACGGAGCTGTATCAGTCGTGGGGGATCTCGCAGGACCCGACGCTCGGGTATACACTGCAGCTTTACCAGTACAACGGCGAGCCCCTGCCGCCGCAGTATCAGATCACGACAAGTCCCATTATGCTGCCCACGCAGCCGCTTCGCAATGTCACTCCTGCGAGCACTCCGGCTCCGGCGGATAACATCGTGATCAGAAAGAGGAGTGATGCGAGTACGAGATGGGGATGGAACTTGGGTCTGTGGTGATTGGTGCTATAACGTTCATCTGCTTTTGACGTCGTTCTGGATGCGATTGCTTTTCCCTCTTTCATTCTTTCGGACAGATCAGCAATGTTGCTGTATGATACTCGTATATCTTCATTCGTGATATATCTAGTAATGAGGACACTTTGCTAGCTAACTACCCCAATAACGATCCTGTTTCGCCCACAGTGTCATCCTCCTCTGTGTCTCTATTGTGAGCCTGGAATGCCCTTGCTATGGACATCGCCAAAGCTGAAACCACGGTGGCTATCTTCCTCACAATCCAGTTTCGGGCTCGCCAAAGCACGTACTCGTGGTCGTGGATTCTATCAATGCGAATACGATGGTCACTGTCGACGACGACACATAGCGCGACTACGGTCGCAGCAATAGAGGAAAGTGCCGTCGCAGCGGAGATCATGAACATGATGATCATCTGCAGCTTCGCAGCCTGCTCTACAGACGAGCCGCCCAGGATGGCACCCGTCATTGTGCCGGGTATCGAGATCATTCCGATGATGCTGGTGAGATCATCAGTAACGAGAAGACGGTGGCAAAGAGAGGAAACGTACCTCATCTGGCTGATGGTCGGCATGAGTGCGAGACGCAGAGCGTCCCGCGCAATCGGGGTGCATGCTTCGAATCGCGAGGCTCCGAAGGCAAGATACGTCTCGACCTTGTCTCTATCGGTGCTAGTATCCAGTTAGCCGAGTCGGAGGGAATAGGCGCGGCCAGTCGACCGTTGACTCACTATAGTTGTTGGAGGACGGATGAGACCGCTATCACGACGCCGGATATAGCGTTGCCAGCGAGCATGCCAACGATGAGGACTGTGGCAGTTATGCGAAGGAAGATGAAGGCAAAGACTAGCTGAACGCACTATATTGATCGGGCTTCCAGAAAGGTTGTGTCGACATGGCCCAACGAGAGCCGACGATTGAGATGGGTATCGTTGAGCATAGCATGCTCATTAGCACCGAGATGAACTAGGGTAGAGTTTGGTACGCGTTCATTCGCACGTAGACGAGGAGAAGAAGGGTCTCAGACCATGAATGTATGTCGGATCTTCGACTTGTTTGCAACTGGCGTTTGTAAAGGTCAGTCACATCGCATTCCTCTGCAGAAGAGGACATTTGGAACACACCCGCTTCAAACGTCCCCAACAAGTTAAGCAACACTTGCAGCACGTCAGTCCTCTGAAGCCTGTTGACGACATAGCACTATACAAGGCTCACCAGCGATACCCGCAACTGCCCACGGGCTGTCCGTCTCAATGATCCTCTGCAGAACGAGGCCCATGACCGAGAGCTGTACCACACATCTTATCGCAGCCGTGAGGAACGCCGAGCCCTCGCCGAGGCGGAGTGTGGCAGACACGAGCACGTTGAAGACGATGAACGCGAAGCCGACGCCAACGTTTGCCCATGTCAGCGTCGGCGGGCCTGAAACTCGTTCAAGAGTGTTCATGATGAGCTAGTCTGGGGCTGGTCAGTTCCTGGGGAGCGCCGGCATAAAGGTGTGAGAAGGGCGAATGCATGTATAACTGGTTCGAGGTCGTGCCAGTGCCAAATAGACAAGGCGGCATTGGACCCCGTACTATTTGGGTGCCGAAAGTCTCCGAACGCAAACAGGGGCTTTCCTGAGTTTTTGGTGTTGCAATACACCGTCAAGTCGTACATGGAGGCCTTTGCAAGCATACGGTACGTACTAAAAGCTATGCTTATTGGGTACCACTGGCAACCTCAGGCTCTCGTGGAGTGCTCAGCGTTGTATAGGAACTATCATCTAGTGGTGTCCCCTTATTTACCTGTTCAAGCTCTCTTATTCTGAATCCTCTGATACTACTTCAACACATGTAGTTGAATACAGCGGTCACCAAATCTGGGAGTAGGCATGAACATGAATGAAAGTAATGGGAGCAGGGGGAAACTAACTCATTTACTGGCACTCTTCTGAGAGGTATCCAGCTTCTCCAAATATCCTCGTTGATCTGGTCGAGCAAGCGCGCATACGACATCATCTTTCGGTTCAACGGCACCGCATCTTGTTATCCTGCAATCCCCTGACGGCTGCGGCGTGCTCTATCTGCGGCAGCACGGGCGATATATTGGGCGGGCTGCCCTTCAACATGGCGCTAGCGGCATAGGACGAGGGAGATGAGTCATGTCCAAGTCGGTGAGCTCCGATATGACCTCGAGCAGCTGCAACGATGCGTCGCGCTGAACAAGCGAACGAGCGAGTCAGGCGCACTGTGGGGGTTCCGTTTTCACGACGACATATGTCATGGCGAGCCGTAGACCGTTTGCCCATGGATGGTTCAACGATGTGCCTTGAGCGTGATGATAAGACAGCTTTGGGCAAAGTCTAGCCAGATGAGGGCGGACTGTGCGGGTCCAGTTCTACCTTGTTTAACTTGTTTAAGTTCAACGCAAAGAACGGCATCAACATCGAGATGAATCAGCTGCTTACAGATGTACACGTTTCTCCAATCCACTCGGAAGCCTGCATCTTCGACAGCCGAAGGCGATAGGACGAGGGGGTACGGACCAGGTCATTAGAAGTGACGCTCGATGGTAACACAATGGGTTTGAAGTCGTCTTTCGTATCTGCTAAAGCCTTGAGGGTCAGTCTGCGAAGCCAACCGGAGCGTGGAGATCCAAAGCACATACATGCGGACGGAGGGCGGCCGAGGGCGACCAGAACGTCGAGCCCTACAGGAGCAGTCTCTTTCGGGCGTTTAAACAATGCCGCTACGTCTGGCAATCCTAAATTACGGTGCCGGACTTTGGGCCACGTATTTCCTTTCGTCGACGATTCATTTTCCGTATCCAAGTGGTCAGCGGACGTCCGACAATAGCTGACAGTCACAATGGATCCAAGAAGATTGACTGATCATGATTGTGATCCCATGCGCGCATTGGAGCGAGTGGTCGGTCTATTGAATCGTGAAGTTACAAGGGGTCATGCATCATGAAGGCTGCCGACATGATTGACGAACTTTGTCAGCGTGGGTGGCTGTGGGCTCCGATGTTTCATTGTTATGTTCGGTGGACGGTCAGCTGCTTGAGGACTTGGCCAGTCTCTGCCGGGATGCTGTGCAAAATAAAATTATTTTGAGTTACCCCAGCGGAACTAGAGGAAAAGCCTGGTAGCCCTTACTTGAACTTCGCGCTGTGGCCTGTGCTGGGTATGCGTTGCTCCACCCATATGGGGCCATGCGACGACAGATTTCGAAGGCCCGAGCAAATCGCTTCCCATATCAGAGTTGGATGGAATGCCCGATCATCTCCATTGTCCTCTTACCCCGGCATTGTGTGCTTTTGTGCCTCAGTGGCCCAGGGTCGGCGAGAGTCAAATTGTTAGATGGCTGTGACTGGTGATATGTCCGCACCACCCCGCATGATAAGCCAACCTTCGGTGCAATTGGGTGCATAGAAGTGCCACGAATGGAACGCACTGGGACGCGCCGCTACTCTCACGTCGCGGGAGGAGTTGGGGATCGCCGGTTTTTCTGGGCTCCCACAGAGCCAGGATTCTTTTGGACGACATGACTTCCTATGGCTTCTTGCTTGAGCTTGTGGACGTCAAAGGAAGAAATTAGCCTCCGTTCAGTACGTTCAGTGCTGGCGTTGGCATTTAGGAACGCTTCGATGTCAGACGAATGTCCCAAGAAGTAACTGGAAGCTGTCAGCTGGCTGTCAGGAAGCCGAAAGGGACGCGATTTTGGGAGGAGCAATATGACGATGGCCCGATCAGAGAAGGCCAAAGCGCGGATGGAAAAGGGAATTAGGCTGGTTACCGTGGCATTTGCAAACATGTCTTGATGGCGTATTGTCTCGTCCATCAGAATATGAATGCCGTCAGCCTCTGTCCTTTCTTGTCGCCCCTGCAGACATGCGATCGAGTCAGCCTCGGGATCGTGGCCGCCCGATGCAGAAGTGCTTCCAAATCGCCCGAGGGGGGACCCACGTTCTGTTCCCAACTGGAACACACCAAACCTTCATTGTACGCGTCTTACCCGACGATCTTTGCCCTCCATAAATACACTCCCATGCCTCTTCCGCTTCCTCTACCTTTTCCATTCTTTCTCCAACCCCCTCCGTGGCACGGCGTTGCCCTCCCTCACCGAGCTGGAGCGATCCCTACAACGCTATCTTGTTGCTCCATACCTGTCGATCCTCCAATACCTCGTGAATATCTCGTGTGGAGTCGGCGCCGTGAGGCTTTTGTCAATCCTCTCCTTATTATAAACTCGGCCCAGGCGCCCAAACATGAACGCCGTTCCATCAGTGTTAGTACTTGCTCGCGATAAGGACTTTCGCAGCCACATTTCTCTCCCCGCCTCTGTCTACTCCACCATGGACGACCTGCCCGTATGTCGTGATCCCCTCCCGTATCCTACGGAGCGACGCTAATCATCCCTCTTTTGTCTTTCCTAGAATTACCCTTCCCGGTCAGCCCGCCGCGTTCCACGTCCGCCAAATCCCTTCGTTAGCTTGGAAGACGATGAAGATGTGGCATTCGACACTGCACCAGAGTACTCCTCCACCGTCGAGTCCACCAAGGCTCCTTTCCCAGATCACGACTTCATGAACTCCTCGTCTCCTTCCTACTCGACTGCTCCCCTTCGTGGCCCTTCTCCTGAAACTGACAGACGACTCCATATCCCTGATAACCAATCTTCGCCCGAGCCTTCACCCGATACCGACGATGAGCCCAGGACACCGGCTGATGATGCGCAAATCCACCTCCAGCTCGCTCGTGAGCTTCGCAAGACCCTCGGTTGCCCGTTCGACCCAAGCACGGGTACCGGTGCATTCGACGCCGCTCGGCTGGGTGACCTGGACGAGCAGCTGCTTCGCTTTCCCAAAGACTCCTTTTCGGACCTTTGTTGGGCCGAAGCCGTGCGGGACGACGACGTCGAGGTGCAGCACCGAGCTGAGGTTACTGTCCCGAAGCTACAACCTGCTCCGAAGAGGCGAATTAAGAGGAAGCCTGTGGCATCTGAGCTAGATATTGAAGTGGGTACTACCCAGTATTCCAACTCGCCTCCGTCGACCAGAATCGGGAGTCCGCTGGTGTTCAGCGACCTTACCACTCCACGGAGCGCGAGCATATCTCTCCGGAGCCCTGGAGGTGAGAGCGTCGGCCCACCGGCAAAGCACGCCAAAAGCATGAATCTCCCATACACCCGGCCCCTGTATGCCGAATCGTCGCCCGCGATGGTTGTTCGTTCTTCCGCGCGCAAGTCCGTGAGTTTGTTTTCATGTTCTAAACTTAATGTTCCTTGTGATCGGCACTAATGTTTTTCCTTTTTCTTTTTCGCTAGAGCCGAATCAGCAAGCCTCTCCCGGACGTCCCGCCGCTCCCCCGCGTGTCGTCTCCGCTTTCTCACTCTCGCTTGCCGTACGCGCACAACCATGCAGCACAGTCGACGGCGACGCTTGCGTCGCCATGGTACGGGACCGGCTTGAGCAACCCTCGCGACTCAGTGCACTTCTTTCCGGCGGTGCCGAGGCAGCGCTCATCTTCGACGGCCTCACGCTTCAAGCGAAAGAAGGCCAAGCCCATCGGCTCGCCCACGGAACCGGTCCCTCCCATGCCGCATACGGCTACGGGCACGACTTTTGCAAGCGTCGGATATGGCGTCGGATCCGGTGTGGGATACACGCCACCGCCGCCTCAGCCTGACCCGTCGAGCCCGACCGTGGCAACTTTCAAGAGCAAGAGAAGCACGCCGCTGCGGATCATCTCCAATGCGGTTGGCTCGCTCGGTCTCGCTGCTCGGCGGCGGACGAAGTCGACCCCTTCTCAGCGATAAACGCAACAGCGGATTTTTATTCCGCCCTTTTATGACTAATGTTTGAACGAGCGACTTCTGGACTTTGGACTGTGTCTGCTTGGGTCTCCGATAGTGCCTTTCTTTTAGCATTTCTACTTCACGCCTGCTGCTCATCAATCTCTGTTTTCTTTCCCCTGACATTTAGTCACTCCGCATTTGTTTGTTTGTGCTCGTCTTCACAGTTGATCATCTGTCCTTTCCCGTCTCGTTTCCCCTAGTAACCTCGTACAACTCCCTTGCTCACTCATTCACAGTGCTCATACCATCCACTCAACCTCCGCATACCCCTCATCGATCATCATCCGTCCTCGTCACCGTTATGACTGTATCCTATCCATCCGGCTTCCTGACCTTACACTCATTGCCACCCTTTCATACTGCTCTTTTCTTGACAGCACTTTTAGCTGGTATATATTAAACTACGGCAATATCCCCTCGTATTTAATCGCGCTTCATCTCTATGATTCGCTGCGTACGTACGCCATACGTAAAACGCTCTGTTGTACACCTACACCCTCACTTAATTATAATGTGTCGTACTACGCGCCGAGGCGCGATTGTTGCCTCCATCTTTACAACAATGTGGTGTGATGTGATACGGAACATTCTGGCGGCCGACGCAGGCGCTGGATCATGGTGGTTTGACAGATTTATGATGCCGTACTGAGGCTCTCATGATCAGAGTTGCACTCCTCTGCACTGAGCAATATTCAGGACGGACGCCGAGACCGAGTCGGAGCGGCGACGGTGGAATCGGGCGTCGATCGTTAGTGGGCATGTCAAAATATTTGCATGTGTCACGGTGATCAGATGTCCGCGTCAGGTGCCTTTGGGGGCGCATGGAGGCGCACAGGAACGGAGGCAAAGTTCACGCCGCCAAGTAACCGAAAAAGCGAGTTTGTAGAGGTCGCGATCGGTCTCGGCCAGTACCTTAGACTGGCATATATAGCAATAACAGCCGGGTGGATTATACTAAGTGTCCTGGTCACGGTCAAGTACTATGTCTGCGTCCGTATGTTCTTCGCATCTAACCATCCGTTCGCTGCGACTGGGCAACACCGTGACGCCACACTATAGCTGAGTTAATGTATACACGTGCACAAACCTATGGTATGTGCATTCCAAGTGAGCTCAGGTTGGGTTTAACCTCGCACACTCTAACTGCTTCTGGTGCTTCTGGCTTCGCTATCCTAGTGTTCGATTGCGAGTCTGCAGGCTTCTCTAGATCTCCTCGGAGCTTCAAGCTTCTTCAAGTTGGGCTTTAAGTTCTGCAGGCTTCTGAACGCAAATCACGGCCACATCACGATTTGCGAATCTGGGTCTTTGCTCGAGCTCGCCTTCGCGTTAGAACGCCGTCGAGCTTCGGGGGGCTACCGCTATGCGCTTCTCTCTCACTTGATGTCAACCTCCTCCTTGTATATCCGAAAAGTATCGTCAGCGATCGATGATCCGAGCTGTGGCTGAGAATTTTTCTCGACGCGCAACGGCGCAGATCCCCCAGTACAGGAACGCAAGCAAGAACGAAGTCACCACTGTTTCAAGTTCATATCACCGAGGAGCTCAGTTACAGGCTCTCCGAAGCATGGTAGTACTCAGTGGGCGCTTGAGTGCTTCGCGCAAGATTGATCGAGAGATAGCGCTTCTCTGCCTCCCCACCCGAGTCAGGCTTTATGCGAGAGCACATCGTATAGTACCATGATCTCCAGATCGGGCTTTGGCATTCCCCGAAGCGAGGGCGCGTGCGCCAGCATCGCGCCTTTGTCCACGCCGACCACAGTACGGGGGCCGCAGAAACGTCGGAAGCGAGCAGCGCTCGCGAGGAATGGCGGTGTTGCGCTGAGGATCCTAGATCGTCGATCATCCAGGCAAGGCTTTTCTGTGAGGAAGATCACCTGCTTGCGTTGATGAGAAGAAGGCTGAGTACAGTGCTCGGATTTATGCCGCTCGGAGACAATGACAATGACAATTTTGCGGGAGCTTGACGCAGCCACACCCGGAGTATGTACATCCTCGTGCTTCTGATTCATGTTCGGGGAGGAAGAATATTAAGTAGAAGTTCGCCAGGCTATCGCGTTTCAGGATGCCGCTGGGACTCAGCGCTCACCATGAGGGTAGTGGTTGGGTCGGATGACCACGTGGATTAATCTTTGCGCTTCGCGTCTCATATCCACAATATTGCGTTCCAATGAGGGATTAAAACACATTTAGACCTATTAATCAACAAATTATATCATAGCTGTGGATGAGTCCAATAGTGTGGTCAAGGCTGTTAAAGAACGATCGGTCCATGTCTCACGACAAGAAAGGCAGCCACTCGAGTTCCAACTTCAACCCTCTCAGCCCGAGAGCTCTTGCCCAGTCTCCTTCTCCAGCCCCGAAGCTGCAGTTTGATCCTCTGACGACCATGCTGATACAGCACCCGCGCTTGCGGCGTGCAGATATACACTTGCCCAGTCCCGAGAGACCGGCATGCGGAGCATCAGAGCTACCCACGGCGCCATCGTCAGGCGCGCCCGCGTCGACGATGACGATTCGCTTCAGCTGGGGTACATGTAGATTCCCCGCAGTCGAGCCCTTCAAAGCGGATAGAAGGTGCTCGCCTTGCGAAGCCCAGAGGCCTCTGAGCTCGAGCGAGAGAGCGCGTGGTACCATTGCGAGGAGGTCGCTCATTGCCTTCATAGATGGCCCGCCGTGGATGCACGCGGTGGAGGCGAACTGTACGGGGAGTTTGTTGGCAAAATAGAAAAGGAGGTTCTTGTCTAAGCTCTGGTGCGTACACCAGGTGAGCGAGTATGAGGCTGGAGTCGCAGGCCCCGAAAATGACGGACCCGAAGGATCCAGGAGATGGTCGTGCCAGGTAGAGAAGTTTACCCAGGTTGTGAAATATAGCTTTTGGCGCTTACCGAGGCTGAGCTGGGAGAAATGCGAAGACGCATTTGTAGGACTTGCAATGGGGAGACATGCGATTATACCCTCAAAGAGGTCCCATCTCGGTGGCTCTTCCTCGTAATCAAACGAGTCGTATGCCACCACCTCCACCCGCACCCTCTGTCGATCATAATGGAACATAGAAAGCAGGTGAAAACACGTCGCCGCCGAGCACTCCATCCTCAACCGCCTAAGCTCCGCGAGGTGGACATGTCGTTCTGGCCAGGAGACACCTAGGAGCTCCTCCTTGAAGTTGAGGATGCTCAGCTCCTGTAGCGCGCTCATGTGCGTCAGAGCGTCTAGCATATTGGCGGCAGAGGGTTCTAAGAGGTGTTCCACGATGCTGTGTAGCTCTAAGCGCGTCAATTGCCCCAAGAATGGCTTAAGATCCTTCCAGGACACTGGTGGGGATCGCAAAAGCCGTAAATGGCGGAGTCGTGGTGCACCCTTAGGGCCCTGGAGTAGCGGGCCCGCCAAGAGGCACAGTGGCTGATCAACTACGGTGAGAGATTCGAGCAAGGGTGCTGGGCCGAGGCCTAGGCCTCGGAGGACGGGAAGGAGCTCGCCGGCGGCTGGGTGGTCGTATGCGTCTGCAGCAGATGTGTATACGAGTTCCACTGCGCGGTGAAGGTTCGCGCAAAGCGCGTCATATGCGGCGTTGTCACGTGTGCTTTGGAGATCGATATGAAGCCGCAGAGGGTGCGCACTTCCCATCGACGTGTGCAGCCCGACAGGCCACCTTTCCCAGTGCCCCAAGCAGCAGGCGCTCAGGGGGAGGTGGCTCCAGAGCGTGGGAGTGGACAGAGCAGTGGCGCGCCAACTTTGGCAGACCTGAGCCACGTGGACCCATCGCGGGCAGCAAACGCTTTGGCATGCCTCGCATTTCTCCGCCTCCGAGTTCCTTCCCTGCTGTACGCTGTGCGGATGGAGAGCGCGGAAGCGACTGACGACACCCGACGTTCCAGGGGCAGACGACCAATCGCGGCCATCGTGAGATTCGACACATGCTTGGAAGACGAGGACTAGGACGTCGTATGGAAGTTTAGGGAGTGCGTGTGATGGTGGTACGAAGATAGAATGAGTAACAGGTGAGTCTAATTCGTCTTTGGGAGTCGTCAGGTTTGAGAGTGTCGCGGAACCAGGATGAGAGTGAAGAAACAGGCATGCTGAGAATAGCGGCACCCAACAAAGGCCTACTAGGGCTATGAGGATTGCACAATTTGGCTTCCTAAGTAAAGGTGAGTGTCAGCAAATGCGGAGGACCGAACCATGCGGACCGCAGAGACGCCCGGCTGTCAATGGGAACGAGTTGGAAGCATCCGAAGCTGAAGCTAAGTTTGCTATCGTACAACAATGGGGCTACTCGACAAGCGCGCGTCTACCCGCAGCAGTCATATGATAAGGTATATTGGGCTGGACTTGACTTACTTACTTGGTGGTAATTCAAGATGACCTTTCTACGCCTTTGAGTATGAGATGGTCTTCCAAGTACTTGGCCCGGGCGTACTGTACGACTAAGAGTCTACGGATGTAGTCACTCGACGCGTTGGTGGCAAGCGCTTGCTGGCGCGTGAGAACGGACGCCATGGGATTGCGTCCGACACTGTCTGACACACGCCAAATGTTTCGTCCGCGCACCATCACTGTTATGGAGTCAGGTGAATAGGTTAAGAATAGCCTACGAGCCCGACTTGAAACAATGAACGCAGGTACTAGTGCTAGTCAAGGGCTCGGCGCTTGCTCGTGGGCTCCGTTTGTCATTGGAGAAGAGAAGCGCTGAGGATTTCCCGTCGTTGATATAAGTGTCTCGATTGATTCGAAACTTCCACAGGACACCCCGCGCGCATTTCTTCGTCTTCTTAGCCCAAATGTCTGAAACCCAAGTCGACACCAACGTAGGGACTGAGGGACAGATTCATGACCGGGACAAGATCAAGAATCATCTGAGTATGTATCCCATGGAGCTATGCCTCACTTTCGTGGTGTAATATTGGAATTCGGAACTCCAGATGCCACAATTCCGGTCGCTCAGAAGGCTCTGCAAACAGCCAGGGACTATGTAAACAGGATTGGTGCGTATCTCACGGTTAAAACACTATTTCTCCTTTGATAATGATCCTATATAGCCAAAACTCCGCCGAACCAGTGTAATACCACTGCCATGAAGATCGTGAATGCTGGAAATCCCGTTATAACGGTCGTTCATGACATTACAGACATGTATGAAGTTGTTTCGGTCAGTAGCATCTTCTGTTGTACTCGCTGAATCATTGGTTAACATGATCGACCATATTAGAGTGCATCGATGTCATACGCCGTGCGTGTGACTGCTTATAGCTGCAGTTGGATTAGGCTCTAAAATAACCACTCTTATTCTAGTCAATCATGAAGGTCGAGATAGAGAGAAGTGATCCGTCAAACCTGCAAATCGCCACCATATGCTATAAGATGGTATGTAGATACGAGTTGCCTGAGTGTGGGTGAGATAATCTCAGGGTTTCGCTCAGTCTTCCGTTGTGTTCTTTTTGCGCCATCTAAGCCAGGACAAGGCAGCTCGCCAGCTCGGTGACAACATGAATGAGCGCCTTGAGGCGTTGTTACAAGGTTTGAAGAAGACAATGAAAGAGTTTGGTGTGTGTAGTTGATGCTGGGTAACGAGCTGACTAGCTGACCATCCTGACCAAATGTAGGCCAATATGCAGAGTAAGCCTGTCCATTGAACGAGCCGAAGTATCATTTACCAGCAGCTTGAAATTCAAGGCTATGCTATAGCAAGAAGTCCATCTGTGAGGGGATTGATCTCAAAGCGCTCACCACTTCTGACTAATATGAGATAGTGGCTACTCTCCGGGGCGATGAACTATCTAAAGAGCTCAGGAAACTCTGGGAGCGTTTCGAGGCTCATGAAACAGAGTTTATCGAATTCTTCTCCATCGAACTCCCTAACAGCGACGATCGCATTGATATAGATGGAATTTTGCAATTGATGGGCCAGTCTACTGCTCGAGAGAGGAAAGTTACGGATTTTATCCATAAGAACGGTGGCGTCGAGGCTATCGCACGCGTCAGCCAAATTTATGCTTATGCAGCATCGTGTTTCTGAATTTCTCTCCACAGGACCCCAAGAAATACAACGAGTTGTCAACTATTGTTGGAGAAAAGATCGACAGAAGTCTGTTGCAACTAGAGCTGACCCGTTTACTTGACGATAACAAGTGAGACAAACCAACCATAAAACGTATAATGACACTTATATGATATTTCGAAAGGAAATACTTCAATTTCAAGATTGATGACGCAAAGGAGCAGATCAAAACAGAGTTGCAGGACTCTCGAGACGTTATAATAAAACATGTGAGTGCGAAGTTCCGCATAGCTACTGTTCTTACTTCTGTGGATAGCTTGATGCTGGACCGCATGAGCTGATCAAGGATCCCGATCTGCGGAATATATGGGCAGGTACATATCTAATGCACTTCGTTGACGGAACATACATAAAAGTTGATGCCTCATCGCGCGAAATCTCTTCTGTAGAAAATGTATTTTTCTTCATTCCAACTCAGTTTTAGGATCATGGTTTGACGATAGTTTAGCATTGGCGTTCATCTGTTGAGACTAGGGCGTTCATGGACGGTATGAACGCTCCGAATCGCTTTGCTTTAAGCTAACCCATTATTTTGAAGGTGTTCACGACCATTTTGAACCGCTTATGAAAGAAAAACTTCGCACGGATGCGTCCCATCCGGATCACTGGACGCTGCCGTTCTTATCCAAGTCAATGTGTGCGTCTGTGATTGTCAGCTTCAACCTAAAGGGATCTTAATCACTAAAAAAACACTAGATTATCCCGCCATAGCAGACGCCATTGACGATGATGGAAGCGGATATATCTCCGTCAGTGAATGTAACGATTTCATGAAACGTCGGCCTGAGGGATGGAGGTTTGTTCTTTCACCGTCTGACTTGTCGCAAGTGGAACGCTGACGGAATCATAGTACACCCAAGTGGCTTTCTTTGTGAGTCGCTCAATGAAGCTGCTGCGGTCTCAATTGATCACGATTTGTAGTTGGGCCATGGTGTGGCTTATGAACAATGAAACGTACGGTGATGAAAGGTCTCTCCTTAGCTCTCAGCAGCTGAAGTTATGGACAGATACGTTTACAAGGTGGAAGATCTCATAAATGGCATCAATAAAGCAGCGCGACGGGCAAAGGAAGAAAACAAGGAAGCAATGTCGGACTATCTAAAGAACTTAAACTGCATCAAGCCAATGATTCTTGAATCAATCAACTGGGGTATCACGGAGAACTTGGCTAACTTCATAGACTACAACGAGCTTAGTTCTATTCAAGATGAGTACATGGATCTTGAGGAGTCCCGAATCAGAGACCAGCTCGCCAAAGTAGACTACGAATTGGATAGCATAGACTTGCTCCCGAGTATCACGGGACAAGATCGAATTGAATTAGTGAGTAACTGATCCGATCCATGACAGTATGCACTCTCATCGCCTTGCAGACCATCATGCCACTTCTGTATTTGTTGTTGAAGTGCCAGCTTGATGAAGTTAGAAGAGCTTCGGAGAACATCTTGGACGACCCACGGGACACCTTCGACAGCTTTTCTGAAAGCATTACTACAATTTTTTTTGCCTTCGACTGTCGGCTGGATGAACTGGTCCGCGGCTGGAAGCAGGCTCGAATGGATGTGTCCGTTCACGTCACGGCCTTTGCTGGTGGGATGTTCGATCAATGGAGCCAAGCGGTGTGTTCAACAACATAACTGTAATCGTCTATATATGATCTTACTCCATCTTCCAGCGTAGAAACCCTCCTACAAAACAGTTGAAGCACCTGCGCAGCATATGGGCTGGCCGTGATGATGATGATGACGATGATGACGATGACGATTTTGTTCCTGACGAAGATCCTGAAGAAGATCCTGACGAGTCCACGGTAAGCGACATAAAGAACGATGATCGTTATCTGTCTCTTGATACTCTTATACAGTCTAATAGCCGCCTTATCCTCATGGAGCGGAAATTGACAAAGCTGGATGCACTACTGACGCTGGTGGCTCAGAAACTTAATATTGACGTCACGGAGGTTGCCGAAAACAACGGCCAGGATATCCAAGATAATTCAGATACAGAGATAGCTCGGGGTGCGAACGGCGACGGAAAACAAAGCGAGGAACTTGAAGTTAAGATGAGAGAACGGCTAAATTCAAACACTGATAATCAAGACAATGACCACACAATGTAAGCGATAGCCCAGAAGTGGAATCAAAGCTCACAGTGCTAACCTGTTATGTCCGAGCAGGGAAGCTAACGGCGACGCCGGGTCAGATATTGGCGATAACTTGAATGACGATAGCGTGAGAAGAGAGGATAATGGATACGAGTCAGACATGAACGGTGGTCAGCAAGGCGTAGAGGAGCCTAACGAGATGCAAGCCGATCAGGGCGACGAAGATCCAGACTCTGAAGGAGGCAGGGATCGCGATGAGGATAGGGAGTTTGATGACTGAAGTTTGATGCCAGGTCCGGAGTAAAGCAAGGGTGCAGCTCAAGCTTTTTGGCGTAGGACAAAGGATGGCCAGGAATCCATAGTAAAACCAAGGCGAAATAGACTAGGAGACGTAAGCGTGTTGTCCGAGTCGCCCCAAACCTAAACAGACAATGAATATGAACTTAACGAGGTCCGTAAAACGCTGCATCCCGTAAAATTTGGGTTACTCCAACTGCGGGAACTCCAACCCGAGGAGCCTAACGAGAACTCGAATACAGCGAACGTTCTAAAGACACGATGTTTTGCATACTGGAGAATATTAAGAGTAACCGGGATCAGCTGCCGAGAGTTCTGCAACGTCCATATGAGCATAGTAGGGCTGTTCAAGTGGTGGAACGGAAACTTGGTGACAACTAAATTACCAACCGGGAATGGTGGACTAGAGCAGTTCCATAAGGAGCTCACCAAGAAGCTGCGGTATAAGGTCAGAAAGGTTCGACAAGGGCTTACAAATGCAAGCGACTTGGGGTTCGCGTCACTGTGCAGAGAGATAGAACAGCCACTATGGACTGAAACCAATGTTTTAGCTCGTGATCTGTAGATACAGTACTCGAGTACAAGTCGACATTCTTATGTGATTTGTGCCGTCAGTGTCAAGTTCTAACAGCTAATCATAGTTGTACAACTATACTTTTCTCAACGATGTCTTTTTCCTTGACTTGTGTCCACCGGTGTGGTACTTGACGTCAGGGGACGTGATATGACGGAGGAGATACCTCAGCAATCCGCTCTGATACGCATTTTCGCGCGGGAAATACTTCTCCTCCGCCTTCGTGTACGTGCTGAGGGCAACCTCCGAGTTGAACCGCTGAACAGACTTGCCAGTTCTCTGAATATCGACGAGGTCGACGAGGTTCACAAATGTGAGGCGAATGCTCTTTCCCACATGTCTAATTAGGATTGCTACCGACTGGATGTGGAATAGTGTGCTCACTTCGCGGCATTTCTCCACAGTATCCGGGATAGGGTCTAGCTCCAAAGCCGCGCAAAGTGACTGCCATGCTGCAAGTTCATTCTCGTCCTCTCCATACATGACATTAAACTGCTGCGTGAGCGCGTCCTGAAACAGCTTTCGCGCTTCCCTTCGCTTTTCCCTTCGCTTGGGATTATCCTTGTCATCCCATTTCATGAAGCTGCAGAGACGCTCGAATTCGCGGGGTGCAGAGCTGCTAGGTTTGTAGTCGAAACCCTTATGGGTGTATTTGCAAAAGAAGTCGTCCAGAGGGGAGCCCTTGAAGCGGCTCTTTACGACCTTCTTTCGCTTGGAGCCGGAGCCAGTCCCCTGCACATTAATAGTGTGAGTCGGCCCGCGTTGGGCGCAGACAAGCGCACACTCACAGAATTGGCATTGGTACTCGCCCTATTCGTACTCATCTTGCATTCACCTCCAAGTCGAAGATTGCCAGTCTCAGCAAGCGGGTTACAGATGGAGAGTTTCAAGGATGACATTGATAGCAGACGCAAGCTCCTCTGCCTGTGAGGGGGCTGGATACAACGAGTAGAGCTGGGCTGTTCCAAGCTGTAAGTGCTTCGCACAGAAGAGATGCTGAAACGACGTAGATGAGATGTCGCCAAGTCCAGGACACTGCAGACTGGTGACCGAACGAACGTGGGCGTGATTGCGGATGGATAGATCATTGATTGAGAAAACTGAGTGAAATGTGGCTTAGGCAAGGGGTACTTGGGCTTAGGCTTCGCTGGGAACGCCGCGGCGGCATGCTTGTGGCATGCTGACCTTTTTCCGCATGTTTGCGGGTGGCGTGTGAACGTCCTCTTTGGTTATCTGCTATGTTCAAGTACGCCACTGAGCGTCTTAGTAAACTGACCTTCGTCAAGCCCTTGTAGCACTCGGGTACGTCTTCTCAGCCCTTTAAAATGAAACCAGGCCTTCGATTCGCATGCCAAATGTTGAAGGATTGGGACAGAAACGCTGCTCGGTGACTGTCGTCAAAACTAGGATACCCGTGACACTTTTGCCGCGGAGGATGTTGCATAACCGCATTTATAGAAAGACATACTGGGCAATTTGCATGGCTGGGCTTGACTTGACTCGTTAGTGAATTGTTGAATTGGAACAAGGACCACGAAGGCAATAGTAAATGCCAACTAAGAAGAAAGGACTAAGTCGACGACGGGGTAACTAACAGCCATCGCATCGCACGAATTTGCTCTGAGCTTACATTGTTGTTGTAAGGCTCGCACATGCACGTATATTGGCCAACATATTGTGTAAGGTGAGAATGTGTGATACCGTCAATTACCACCTCTATGCGAGGGTATGTACAGTTCCTAATTACCACTGAAGTGTATATAAATATGTCCAAAAACCCAAGAAACACTACAATGCGGTATCCAAACAAACGAGCGCGCAAAGTGACCATCAGAAACTTGGAGAGACCCTTACTTAACTCTAAGTTTCCTCAGGGAGAATGTCTCCACCCTACGAGTATTCCCTCGTATAGCTTAGGCTAGTCAGCGTGATTCGTCAAGCGTGCGATTAGGTCTGGAAGCCCGAGCTCGCCTTCGATCTGAGAAGAGCCGAAGGTCAGCATATATTCAGCTTCTCAGCAAAGCAGAGCAGAAGTCTTAAAGGAAATACGACGAGACTAATGCGAAAGGGGCAGCGAAGAAAGATCAAGTTTCTGCTCCCGCTCGCAGGTCATCGAGGTCTCTTAGGGAAGACACCAAAAACATCATGACAAAGAAGCCTGCGGAGCTCGCGGAAGACAACAAGTCAACGATCAACCACAAATGACGGAGCCAGATCGTTCCTCCGGATGCTAGGCACGGGCGGGCGCTTTCCCCAGAAAAGGTATAGCGCAATTCATCCGCTCGGGTTGATGGCGACTTGATAACCGCCGCCCGCAGTCTCCAATCCCGCACTGCAGTGCCCTACGACTGCTCGCACATACGACGCACCCTCAGGGCGGGACATGCGCGGGTACATTGCCGATGTGCAACGCTAGGTCCACCCGGGCAGGCGGACCTTCCGGTCGATTGCTCACCGCATGACCGTGGAGCAAAGAAAAAAAGTGGACAGGAAACAGAACGGACGGATGAATGCGTACCTGTGCACGGAGACTTCCCTCTTCGTGGGCAGCGGCGGAGGCGAATAGAGCATCAATCTCTTCGAGAGATACGTTTGCGGTCTCTGGAACAGCATTCGTCACCCAAAGATAAGCGCCGAAGCAAGCGACAGAGAATACGCCAAACGTTCCCCTGAAAATGCCGTATGATGTCAGCGACCATGAAAGCGACCTCGTGGGCAAGTTTGCATATCGCGAACTCACGCAGGTGATATGGCCATCATGGCGGGAGTAACAAGACCAATGAGGACTGTGTGGCATTATTCTCGTTAGAATCGGGTATAGCCAGAATGAAAATAGGTGATACTTCATAGTGCGGCGCACGGAAATGAACGAGAATAGGTCACTCACAGTTGTTGAGCCAGTTCGAGGCCGTCGCAAGTGCGACGCCTCTGCTCCGCACCGAAGACGGTAATACCTCGCTCGGCAGCACCCAGCCAATCGGGCCAAAGCTCACGCCATACGCTGCGGTGAAGACATATACGGCCCTGGAGGGATACTATCAAGAGACCGACATATACAGAGAGAGTTGACTCACAATACGGCTATCCACGCAGTGCTGGGATAGAGTCCCCATTGTCCTTCAAACTCGTGCACCTGGTCACCAAGTCAGCCGAACGAACGTCAAAGAATGTGTGACAGTCCAAACGCACCAAGAGAGCGATAAGGAGATGAGCCATGCCCATGACTAAAGCACCACCTACACGTTCCATTAACAAACGTCCTCAAGAGATGATGTGATGCATGTGTGCGTACCTCGTAACAGTGGTTTCCGTCCTTGCGAAGACGAATGGAGTCAGCTTATCAAAGATAACAGCGCATATATACGCATATAATGAGTCCTTACCCCAATGATCAAGCCCAAGGATGACGGGTAGCACCGCCAAAAACTGGACGATTCCGATCCCACCCGCTACAACCAGCGTCGGGGTATCTATCCCCACTTCTGGCTCGAGACCTGCGATAGAGCGAGAGATTTGGTTGATAGCGCCTTGCCCGCCGAGTCCGATTTCTCGAAGAAGGGATGGTCCGTAGTACAGGAACGCGTTGATACCGCTCCATTCTGCCAAAGCTCGAGTGAGTTTAACGATGAGGCCAAGTCGTTGAGTGGGTGCTTACGCTGGAAGAACATGACAGCGACACCGATAAGCGTGCGATCGCGGTACTTCGGCCCTAAAAGCGCAGCCCACGCTCCCCAACTGCCGCCCTTCTGGGTCGCAGGCATAGGCCCATGTATCGCCTCGGCGCTGCTGACGTCAAGAGCCTCCTGGCGAGCAGCGAGCGTGGTCCCAATGCGCATTTCCATCAACTCGAGCTAGCGGATATCAGAGGTCTTGGGCGCATATACTCTAGGGAGGGTACTCACTTCGATTAGATTCTCAAGGAGCTCAACACTTTCATCATCATCACCCCTCTGGGTCCCTGTTCCTCTGATGCGGTGCAGCACTGCACGAGCTTCGTCAATTCGGCCTCGAAGGACGAGAAGGCGGGGTGATTGTGGAAGGATTCCTGATCCCAGACCGAGTACGAGTCCTGGTACGAGCTGGAGGGCGAGTGGTATGCGCCAGGATAGTGAAGAAGGTACTAGTAGACAGCATTAGATGGACGTAGCGAATGGGCTGTTTGGATGGCTCACCCGCTCGGGTCAAAAACCCTATCCAAAAGCCAAGTACGACGCCAAGTACGATTGCGAACTGCTCCAGTGCGACAAGGGAACCTCTCAATTCCGGAGGCGCCAGCTCTGAGATGTAAAGGGGAGAAAGCATGCTGAGAATCATGATGATTCCAAGCAACTGGGTGAGAACTTGAGAAAACGTAAAGCGAGAGCTGGCAAGATTACCTCAGCGCGCCGACGCCAAATCCACCGATTGCACGTCCAAGAATGAGGAAGGATGTTGACGATGCAGCGCACTGGAAAGCCGAGCCGAGGCTGAAAATCACTGAGAGGCGCATATATCCAGGTCAATGTGTATTCAAGCTGCTGAAATATGGATGAGCGTACTCGAAGAGAACATCATGGCCCGGGTTCTCGAGGTACGGTCGGCAATCACTCCAGCAGCCAACGCGCCGAACAAAGCGCCCAGCTCGAGTACAGCGGCTGTACGTCGTGTCATATTAGCCATCACATCGGGGCCAGAATATACATGTCTACTCACTCATGATGCCCACCCAGATTGGATTGAGTGGGAACTGCTTCTGAAACGTCGGCATGACAAGGACATTTGCAATGACGCCTTGGTCATAGCCGAATGCCACACCACCGATACTGGCAAGTATCGCGCACGACGCGGTGTATCTGTTTGCGAGGATGCCTTTGAGCCCTTGTGGACCGTATGAGTAGGAATAGCCGGGGGAACGACCCGGATGGAGGACGAGAGCGCGTGTGGTGGGTGTGTTTGAGGGTATTGGAGCATAGCCATCCCGAGCCTACGCGTACGAGTCAGACATTTCTTTTTCGTTTTACTGGATTATAAAGATCGACCTACCATGAAGACGCGAGTAGAACAGAAGACTATGGGTGGTTACAAGCAAGTAAGTAGCGGCCGGGAGACGGTTGTAGCTCAGAGTCAAACGTCTGAGATAGTAACTATACGGTCCGAGGCCGTGACAAAGGCCAGGCTCTGGGCTTATGAGGCTGCCGCCGTGGACGTCGGCAAGCACGGGCCGGCGGAGGTTCGGACGTTAAGGCACGTTCGCAATCAATTCGCACCCCTCAACCGGGACGCGATCGAGGACGCGGAAGCACGCGTGGCAGACAACCTTTGCAGCAACTCCATTCCTTGGACCCAAGGCATAGTCCGCAAATAGTCAAATTCTAGCTCGAAAAGCCGCGATGAGCCTTCTACTTACTCGGAGAATAATCCCATCGGTATGTTGCATGCGGAGGGGGTGTACTGTGAGCAGATCAGCCTGAAAGTAAGTCGTAAACTTTCTGAAATAACGAAGGGGGGTGATAAACAACCAACAGATCCAAGCGGCCCGTATTGGAGTTCGAGGGGTTGAGGTCTTTACTGTTTGCGTGGTATATACTGTGGAGTGTACGCCAGTATAAAGATGCGTGGACACCCTTCAGCATCCTCTTCATCTACCTCTCCCCTCACACCAACCATCCCCCGAAAATGGATCACAACTCGGATATCACAGACTGGGAATTCGCCCTAGAGTCAATTCAGCAACCCATTGATATGGAGCTCGACTCGGGGCAGTATTCCTCTCTTGCAGCACCATCTCCCGTACATGATCGCGCTGATGTCCTGGAGCCATTCCAGCTTCCGACACCCCCGCAGAGCACCAGCCCACCTGCTAGGGCGTTTCTCCATCAGATAGCCTGTTTACGGGACTACCCAGCGTCTCCGTCCTCGACAACTGTGGATGAGCTCAACGAAAACCTTATCTCCGTCTCGTCAGCGTTCTTCCCCAATGCCCAGATCCATATCCTCCCGCCCGATCTCCTCCTCCTCTCTTCTGATGCCGTCTACTTCTACCTCGGCCGAAACGTTCTATCTGATTCATCCGCCAACGCTTTCAATGGTCTCCTCTCTAAACCACAGAGCAAGTCCGCACATAATATGAACGTAGTTTTCGTCCCGGAGCATTCTGCCGTCCTCAACATCGTCTTGCATACGGTATATGGTGTATCGTGCGCTCATTATGCACCCGCATTTGAGTCTCTATCGTCTGCAGTGACAGCGCTCGCCAAGTACGGCTTCTTACCGAGTCGCTTCATCGCTCCCGCCACCCCATTGTACATCCTCCTTTTATCACAGGCACCCCTATACCCGATCGACCTCTATACCTTGGCTGCTACACATGACATGTACGACCTCGCCGTGCCAACATCGTCGCATCTCCTTTCCTTCTCTGTCGATTCGGTCAGCGATGACTTGGCGGAGCGCTTAGGGGCCAAGTATCTCAGGCGTTTGTTCTTCTTACATCTGGGTCGCGTGGATGCGCTGAAGCGCATCTTGTTGCCGCCTCCCCGTCCGCACGCCCCGACCTCAGCTTGCAGTTTCGACGACCAGAAAAGTCTTACGCGGGCATGGGCGCTTGCAGCAGCATATCTCGTCTGGAACGCTAAGCCAGGTAAGACACTGCACCGTTTGAACCCGCTCGCCGCTCACAACCTACTGTAGATATGTCGGTGAGTACAATGGTGTCGACACTGTCGCCGCTTGGAAAACTGCTGTCGTGTGACATCTGCCAGGAAGGTTTACGATCACATATAAGAAATGCGATCGTCCAGTGGTCCGTCACTAAAGTGAGCTTCCTCTGTTATGCAATGAATCTTGGGCTAACAGCTATTGCAGAGGACGATTTGATAGTCACTCCGATTATGTGTACCTCGTCTCCGCTTCCCTTGGCCCAATACCCTGCATATGTGATACACGTTACACATTTACTTACCATTACCTATGTACACTCGCATAAAACACGCATCGATTGATTATTTGCAGCATATGAGGCTCGGAAGCGTTACGACGTGAAACCACTGGTGAACCTTGCAATCTTTACATCATCCCTTTTCATTTTATCGTGCATAGGACTTTCTGTAAGCTCATTGGTCTGACTTCACTTACCCCAAAAGAACTGATGGACGAACATCGGGAACATGTTGCTCGCTTCGTGGCGCTTCTCACAGACGCGCCCGCAACGTTTCTCAGCTCACTTTAATTCTGTACATCACACTCCTTGCTCTATCATATATGTTAGCAGGCGTTCGCAGTCACGCTCTGTTCATAATCGAAGGCTATGCCCCCCGGTGCCGGGTATTATCGTACGGGACAATCTGTTGGAGTGGATGCCTCTGGGCCCTTCTGTGGCAGCCTGACAGCGTGGGTGGACTCAGTTGAGGACGAGAGAGCGTGGTGGCGCGTGTATTTGAGGGTATTGGAGCACAGCCTTCCCGGCCGCTACCGGCGAGTAACGGGACATCGCGTCAGGGGCGGTAACTTAAACATTCGGCACGCAAGACTGCCACTGACATGATTGAGGCTGATGCAGAGCACCAGCGAGTAGACTCATGACCAATATGCGCTTCTGCGTGCCCTAATGCCCCACCACGAACGAGCGAGCAGTTTAGAAGCTGCGAAGAACTCTACGTAGTTATCCGCAAGCCAGCGAGCGTCTGGGCTTGTCTGGGGCAGTAGCTGGAAGATCCGGGGCGGCGACAGTCCCCGACCCCAGCGACTGTTACGATCTCCGTTGGGTCGTAATACAATAACCTGAGCAGGCGCACGTACCTAATATCAAGAACGACTACCTTCTGATATAGGGTCTGGAGACTACAGACTGCCGAGAGCGCCCCGAGCAGTCCAGTGGGGCCACGAGGGCCCGTGGAACTGAAGAAATCGCAGGGACCAGGGGTGTCTCTGGGTTGGGTCGTGTTGACCTCTATTTTAAACCACCACTTTGAGACGAGGCAGATCATTCCACTACGGCGCACCACCTGCGATTCTCCGGGGCTCATCCAATGTTCAGCCCACACCTCGAGGATCTGCAAAGTCCGCTTTCAGCGAAACCAGCGAATGGAGTCGCTCCAAGACATGATGTTGTCCCTCTCACTCGATTTCTTGCGTAGTCTCCGTGGGGTATAAAGACATTGTATCATTGACATGTACGCCCTCCAATTCATCCTCGCTCTCCCACATTACCATGGATTACAACTCGGGCACTACAGACTGGGATTTTTATATGCAGTTCGTCCAGGAGCCCCCGGAGCTGTCGGAGGAGTTTGCACCTTCCGCGAGAACGTGCCCTGAGTACACCAAGGCCTTCGTCCCCTCACAAATACCGACGCCTCCGCCGAGCGACACAGAGACATCTCCCGACCCTACAACCCCTTTCCAGGACTCTTTCACAGCGGCACAGACATCGACACCAGAATCAGATCCACCCGATGAAACTTCACTCACCACCGTCTCGAGAACATTCCGACCAGATTCTCGCATCCATACCTACTATCCTGATCTCGTCCTCCTCTCCTCTGACTCAATCCACTTCTACATCAGCTACAACGTTTTATACAGCTTATCCTCCAATGCCTTCAACGGTCTCCTCCCTATGTCCCAAAACCAGCCAATCCGCGATGCAGCCGTAATCAACGTCCCCGAGCACTCCGATGTCCTCAATGTCGTCTTGCATACGGTATACGGCGTATCGTGCTCCCAGTATGCCCCCGCATTTGAGTCTTTGTCGGCTGCGGTGGGCGCGTTGGACAAGTACGGTTACTCGTTGAGTCAGCTTGTCGCTCCCTCTACTCCGTTGTACACCCTCCTGTTATCGCATGCGCCCCTATACCCGATCGAGGTCTATACCTTGGCCTCACGGCACGACATCTTCGATCTCGCCGTACCCACATCCGCCCATCTCCTCTCCTTCTCTCTCCCATCCCTCAGCGAGGACGCGGCCACACGCATGGGGCCGAAGTACCTCAAGCGTCTCTTCTTCCTTCACCTAGGCCGCACGGACGCGCTGAAGCGTGTCTTGCTCTCGCCTCCCCATCCGCATCCCCCGACGTCGAATTGCAGCTTTGACAACCAAAAGGGGTTAACGCGGGCGTGGGCGCTCGCATCCGCGTATCTCGTCTGGGACGCGAGGCCAGGTAAGAAACCATACCCTCGTTCACCCGATTGTTGCTCACGGTCCGCTACATAGATATGTCGGTGAGCATGATAGAGTCGACACTGTCTTCGCTCGGAAAGAATCTGCAATGCGACACCTGCGAGGATGGTTTACAAGCTCGGATAAAAAACGTGGTCGGCCAATGGTGCGTTGTTAAAGTAAGTCTTATCTTACATGCGATTTTCCATACCTGATTGCTCTCGCAGAGGACCATTTGATAATCACCCAGTCCCTCTATATCTTATTTTTATTTCCTTGCATGGCATCCCCGAAAGCACGAAACGGGGGTCTCAGCTATTCCGCATCGCTCACACAGTCGCAAGACGCTCATGAGTTTATCATACGTTTCGCTTCATGCCACTACCTCACTCAATCTCGCGCATTTCTTCTTCTTTTTCTTTCATATGCACTTCTAGGACTCTCAATTATTCCATACATCTACCAAGTTGTTAAGCATAATACATCTTACCACACAGGCGAAAGTCCCGATACCCTGACTATCCATCGACATACGACTCTAAAAACTGAATATTAACAAAAACAACTCAATATTATAAATCTAAAATAAATATAACTAAACTCGGAATTGAGACGTTATGAGTATTCACAGCGGGAATAATCCGATAAGTTCTCGGAACTTATGGTGGAAATATTGAAGACGTATTTTAATTTTGTTCTGCAGGAAAAGAAAGACTTATTTGGTACTTAGCGAGGAGATATATTGAATGAATCATTTTTTATAACTAAATTGCCCGTGTCAATTGTAAAGCGCCAAAACTTATTCAAAATGTGTCCCTGGTAAGTCCCAAAATAAGTCTCGCCGTCCTGGCAAAACTTAATTAAAATGCATCCGCAATATTTCCACAATAAGTTCTGAGAACTTATTGGGCTACTCCCCCTGTGTATTGAAATCTAAGAGACGGATGATACATGGGCCATAGCTTGATTTGGGAGCAATGAGCATCCTGACACAGTTGAAGCCAAAGGATAGTGTATAATTCCATGCCATTGTCGAGGTACATGCAAAAATGTACCCAGCTGATGAGAGATAAGCTTGCAGTCCCATCGCTGAGGCGGCAACTCACCGCAAGTGGTATTATTAAAGCTCACAGCTACAGACAGCCTCTCTCACGAACGTGTCGCACTGTTTCCACCTGCGTCTCTCGAATGAAGATTGTTCCCGGTGGCATGACAGCGCACCGTGGCTTGAAATTGGCTGGTTTCTTTTCTTTTCTTTTTCTTTTTCTCACTCTTACGCTCTGAGCGTAAGTGGCAACTTGCTGGAACTCCGCGCGTCGCTCTGCATTAATATTCATGGAGCCTGGAACGTTGAAGTGCTACAATAAGGCCTGCATAGTGACTGGGAGAGCGACCTCAGACGCTCGTGCTTCTCCTTCTCCGACCAGTGGCTAAGAAACGCGCGTGGATATGCACCTTTAGTGTGCAGACGACTCCTCCACGCAAACTTGACGCAAACTTTGCAATTTATTGCAGACCCCTTTGTGGAAAACACGGCCCGCCATGGCCGGTCAAGATCCGGAGTAGTCCGTGAGTCCATCATGCATCAATGCATCACGTTCAGCACCCATCCTTTCTCACTATCATTGGGTTCTCTCGTTCACGTACATACAGTCGTCCTAAGGCGTAGCATCTGAAGGTCTCGTCAAGTTCTCGTCGATGAAGTGAAGACCGCGGGTATAAGCATGGGCCCCAGTTATCGTCCCTGTAAGCAGACGAATGCTCGCAGATGTTGACACCAGTACTTTATCTTTCTCTCAAATTTTACGTGTTTTTCAGGAGTCGCGACTGATGACCCTGACTATGCAGCAGCGACGGACCTGCCCGAAGAAAGCAGTACTGTACTTGAAGCACAGGTCAAGCTGCTGTCGTGGGATGCGGTCCTTTCGTCGGTGCTGGAGCATGGGCGCGACCTCAGTTCGTGTGCAGCGTTGTCGCTGACACGACTGCAACCATCAATCAGATCGGGATTAACTTGGTGTGCTATTTTTAACAGCACTGTTTTGTGCCAGGCTCGTGAGGGTATTTAGTTGTATGTCGGTTGACATCGAAAGGACACCACGCCAGCCAGCGCCTCGTCCTCGTCTAACTGTGTAGTATCAGTTCCAAGGTAAGTTCGCAGGTATCAGTTCCGAGTCCCTTCACCTTTTCATTTTTCTTCTAGCCTATCAGTGAAATGACGTCATCGCCGTTTTCTGAGCTACCAACGGAGCTTGTGCTCAGGATCCTTCACTTTGCAGCCAGGCCCGACTTTACCTCTCTCAACCTCGACGGCTCGCCATCCCCATACGCTACGGGCGCTATGCTGTGCCTGATTTCGAAAACCTTTCGGAGAGTCGTTGTGCCTGTTCTCTGGCATACACTCGTGATCTCCTCTTACGCCCGCATGAGCGGACTTAATGAAGCTATGAAGATCCAACGCGCCTTCGCAGTGCAGGGCTCTCCCTTCTATGTTAACCTTCCTGCACACGCCAAGCATATATGTGTTTCTTTACCTGATTGGAAGGGCAAAACCACCCCTCCAAAGCTCGACTACGCCGTGATTGCTCCCCTCATCTTCTCCGCTCGGTCACTCGCGCTCAACATCAATGCTCTCAGCTATTTTCATGGCTGCTTTGCCGTCCCTAACGTCAACTTCCGAACGACGGCTTTGACTCTCATAGCACCTCCCGAGCACTCCATCTTCCACATGCAGCTTCTTTCACAGTTTGTCGCGCCCGCATTCCTCAACTCGCTGAGGTCTTTCAATCTGTGCATTGACCATGCCTCTGATTGCGCATCGGCGACCTCTTCCACCTACACGCCAGCTTCCGAGGGGGCGAAGGATTCTGTGGAGAAAAAAATACCTTCTTCCGAGGCTGAATGGTCCAGCCTAGTGAACGAGCTCTTTGAAAATCCGATCCTTGCGTTCCCGTCATTGCTCGATGCACTGACAAAGATACAAGTTGTGCGCATAGCGTCACGCTTCTGCGCCTCGGAGAGTGCAGATGAGGCAAGCGGGCTGTTGTGGCAGTTGGATTCGGACGGGTTGGGTCGGGATATTGTCACCATCGGCAAACGGGTTTTCTCCCGGACATTCGCGTCCACCCGTGTTTCTCTCGCCTCGTCGACGGGCCGATATATTGATTGGACGGCTGTATGGGCAGATTTGTAGTTTATCTCTTCTTCACTGTGAACTCGGTACAGAAAACACCAAGTTGATCGCGTTGACCTCGTATTCTCCCATTGTTGCCACGGGAAACGCTAGATCCAAGAGCTTCATACGTTCATAAGGCATATCGTCTATCTCAAAAGGTATATTCTATGTATGGGACCGATCAGCCTCATCATCGGCATCACCTCCCCTGCCATCTTCGTCTTCGTTACTGTCTTGACCCTCTGTCCAATACTTCTCTCCGTAAGAGAGGAAGAGTTCCTCGCCGGCTTTGATATCTCTCTCTGCGATGTTGGGTTTTGAGCAGTGACGACAGAGCTAAGCCCACGAAGCAATCAAATCTAAAGGATATGAAACTCACGTGCAAAAAGGGCAATGCGAGGGTCCCCGTTTACCACCATGGCTAAAGCCAAAGTGAGCCTACATGGTTCGCAAGCATGCACGAACATATACTTACGCCTCACATCCACGTTCTGGCCATCATCGTCGGCGTGATTTAGGAATCTCGTGAAGTTCCCGACGCGATGTGCATCTATGGATTCCCCATCCTCGGCGGTAGTACCATTGACGTCAAACTCAAATAGATAGTTGAGGCCCGTATGATTGCGGACAGCCCTACAAAGTTAGTTCACAAGGTGAAAAGGTTTAGTACAACGGGACGGAGCAACGACGCACTCGTCTCGGTCGGCCTCAGATGTGAACATGCGAACACCGGTGTAATCTGGCGAGAACCAAATTTATAACATTGGTCAGATGCGAACTGGCCAGCGACAAACACATTTCGCACCTCCGAGGTACTCGTGTCTGCGGATACGCTGTCTGGCGAAGGCACCCAGGCCCCACGTGCCACGTTTTATTTCGATATCCTATGATTCGCTTTCCTTTGTCGAAATCGCATTCGAGGGCGATGCAAGTTCGTACCTTTCCTTCTCCCCTCTGCACTACCGTGTTGCGACAAGGCCGACTCGTCGCACCTCTGTTCGCGGGCAAAACGACAAGTCCTAGTTAGACACGGAGACGGCATTGAAGCTTTGGCCAGATTCTACTTGCTTTGCATCGCATCGCCCGCATATCCCGGGCATGCACTCTCTCGATGCTTTGAAGCATGCGCATTTGCTAGTTCGGCAAGAGTTCTTTCCCCGCGGACATTTACATCCCTTGCGTTGGCGCCAGCCTGAGCGAGCTTTGATTCAGCAAAAAGATATATGTCTGCAACGCGTTATCTTACACTGTACCCCGCATGAGCAGCTCAGCTGGCAGTGCAGCTTGGCCTTTGCGCAGCTGCAGGTTTCCTCTGTGCATGGTCCGCTATGCGCACACGGCTGGGATCTGTCAAAACATCATCAGTGGCTGTGAAGATAGCTGGGAAACAGGGATATGTCGCACGGTTTGTACTCAAATCGGTCTTTGAACTCTCCCTTTTGATGCTTGCGCTTCCTTGTGTTGATCATGTCATCCTCGTTTTCGATGCCGTCGTCTCTGAATACGTCCAGCCGTTGTGCATAGATCTGTATGCAGTAAAATCAATCGTCTCCCCGTCTTTCAATATAAGAAAGGCTCACCTCCCGGCACGGCAGGTCTGTCAGAAGAACGAGATCGCAGGGCAAGCTGTCGGGGAACTGCTTAAGTATCGCTTCACAGTGGGCCTGCAGGTCGTCGGGTTGATCTGGATTGATTGTTTCGTACGCGATCTGAGTCCTCGTCAGCTCAGTGTCAGGCAACATCCGCCAGACATACTATGTCCTCGACTAGTCGGAAACACTGGTCTCCGCACGGTCTTCCGGGTAGCTGAAGCAGTTGCTGGCTGGTGAGCTTCGGCCGTCTGATAGGTATTATACCCGGGTACGGATAGTCTGGATTATTGCAGTCAGAAAAGGGCGGGACAATTTCCTAGGGTTTGATGTGCTCACAGTGTTCATGGCACAACAGGCCAGCACAATTTGGATTAGGGCATTGTACACTCAACACGGACTTGTGCCGTGCCACTTCGTCTTCTTCACCGGGCGCGAACGATTCTGGGAGGACGTGTTCGTGCGGCTGCTCACGGAAAGAACCTGGCCAATATAATTGGTCTCTGTCGACATGTCATCGTTTGAGTAGTAGCTATTACGGAAGCAATCAGTCAGGAAAACATACCGCTGAGAGATGTCATGCAGCAAACCGGTGTTGTTGAACAAAGGGTTCCGTAGCTCCTTATCAAAGACCTTCAAGTTATCGATCTCGTTGATTGTGAGCCCGTACTGAGATACCAGTCTCCTGGCAGCCTCGATCTGAATCATTTCATCTGTGAGGTGGCGCGTGTGATAGATAACCGGTGAGAACACACAAGTTGGGTGGAAAAAAAGTGGCGTACGATCGGGATCAAAATCCCCCTCCCAAGCCCAGGTCTCCCAGTTTTTGTCATTGAGTACCTTACGGATGGGAAAGTCCTTTTGGTCCGCATAGGGAATAAAGCGCAAAGTCGTCTTGTCAGCTTCTAACATGCGAATGCTTCTTGAGGACGGTGTACATGATTCGTAGGGCGGGTGCGGCTCTATCGCAGTGACATTGATAACCTCGCATCTAACAGTTCGCGAGCGTTCCTGCCCCGAGGACGAAATACGTGTGACTCGCACTTTCGGAGAATCGTCGTCCGCGTCGTCGTCCATGTCTGAACCAGAGTCCAAGTGTGCCCACGTTGGCCCGCGCTCCAGAGCGGCGAGGAGATCACTCATCTCTTCAGCCTCGCCTTCGGTGAGCGGTCTGGGCTCCGACGGTACGAGGGAGCGCAAAGTCGCGCGCGACGCGACTGGTTCCCAGGCGTAAAACTCGTCGCGGACCTGCTTGAGTACGTTCCTGGCCTTCATCTCCATGGTCTCTTCCACTGCGTCGTCCTCGTCGTCTTCATCGACATCGTACTGGCTGGCGGTCGTGTCAGAGGCATAGCCTGAGTGAGCTGGGTTCGCGACGCGAGGAATATGCCCTGAACGCGAGAAGACGCGTGATTCGGTGCGGTCGATGAATGTGAGCGTTGGCGGTGGGGTGGCAGTTCCGGGAGAGCCTGGAGTGGCGCTAGTGGACGGAGGAACGGCGCTCGAGAACGATCTTGAGCCTTCGGAGAAGTCGTCGATATCCATCGCCGATGGTGATACGATGAATGATGTACAAAGAGGCAGAGAGGAAACCTATTTGTCCGAGTGCTCAGCGATTGTGTGTTGCCTCGAGGCGCTGTTCGAAGGCACGCGACAGAACATGTGGCAGAGCCAGCCCAGGTGGAGATGTGCAGCTTCCTTCGTGGGGCTAGCACGATCATTTGTGAGCTTCTGGATGTATCGCGTGTCCACGGCGTTTGGAGGGTATTGGCCTGCAAATTTAGATCATCGAGCGGGTGGCTTGAACGTTAACTTTCTTGCCAAACGGCGAATAGAGCGCTCGAAACATCATCGTATTTGGATAGGGATACTTTGGACAATTGGCGGGAGTAGACTACGGATGATGCGGAGGGTGGAGTTGAGACAGATCACCCAGCGCTGAGTGGACTCGCTGAACGTCCGTGGTGATGAACACAGATATTGTCGCCTGTATCCCGAGAATCTGAGCATACCCACACTGAATTTACAAGCCTTTATACTCACCTGCTGCCCCTCTCAAAATGGTGTAGGTAGTACTTCGAAAGTTGAGCTGGGTCCAGTTGAACGACTCAAATGGATGTATGCGCGGAAAAGAGCAAGGGTAAGCACTTCGGGAGCGGGAGCCGGCGCTATAGCCACGCTATTGGATCCGAGGCTGGGGAACCATATCCTCACCCTCATCTCATTCGAACTCTCGACGCGTCTATACTCACTCAAGCTTGTTCTCTCCTCTTCTGAGCTCCCCTTCAATCGCCATAAAGCCATCTTAGTCTCCGGGAAGCTGTAAACTACACCCAAGGACAGGTTAGGCATCGATCAACCCATTCCTTGACGCGCACTCTACGCCCCAGATCCCCTACATTCTCGCACAAGCCCCTCAGCCGTACCTATCTACGCCGCCGTATGCTCCTTCAACACTCTCTATTGCTCTTGATGATTCGCTAACTCATCGCCTAGGCACCTCGTTACCACGGCGTGATGTCATTCTCGTTCTCCTTCAACCCCCCCTTTGGCAGCTCTGCCGCCTCTGCATCCACACCCAACTTGACCTCCCCTGCCGCCCCCGCGAACACTCCAGCACCATCATCAACGCCAGCAGTGCCTCCTGGAACGGAGCTGTTCATGAGCGTAGTTGCTCAGGCGGGATTTGTTGTCAATGGAACGAGCGCCAGTTTCGAGGTGCGTGCTTGCTCTCATGACTTTTTTGTTCATCATCATCTTACCTATTTCCCGTCACCTTTGCCTCATAAACGGCACTAATCCAACGGATGTTCGCACCATAGGAGCTTCGGGTAGCAGACTATCTCAAAGCTTATGGCGCTATCGGCCGGCCTCCGCAGCCCGTTCCTCAGGAACCCGCTGCTGCCACTGCCCGCTCAGCCCTCGGCCTTCCTCCTCTCTTCACCCCTGTTCCTGTACCATTATCTGCATCTGTAACGCCATCCAATTCTGGAGGGCTCGGTCAAGCTGCACCGACCTCACCCAGCGCAGAAGCGCAGATACAAAACCTGGCCCAACTGCCCGTAGCGCAAGCGTTCGCCCCTGTCCCTGTATCGACGACGGGCACGCTAGGAGAGTCGTTTCAACATATTTCGGCACAGGGGCAATATTCCTTCTTCTCTCCCGAGGTGCGTCTATGGTACATCCCGCCCTCTGATCAGGCTCGACTGACCTCTACTCCTCAAAGGAACTCCGCTGCCACGCGTACGCGACTGGAAACAAGTCGGCGCCTCCAGGGCTGGCTATATCAACGACCGCCACTACATCGCTGCTTTCGCCGCTCCCAGTCAGCGCTTCCCCTGGGCCCGGTATCCTGCCAACGGCAGCTTCGTCTGAGCCCGCGTTCAAGTTCGCGAATGACGCCCCACGAACTGCGTTCGCAACGAGCAGTACGGCGTCTGGCACCCCGGATTATATGATGAGTATATGCGCGGGGCAGAATTATGACAAGCATAGCTTCGAGGTAAGCTTCCTGCCCTGCCCCCTCCCTACCCTCCCTTGCTCGAATTCTCGAAAACCGGCTAATGCGGGGCGCATATAATCCAGGAACTCCGAGTCGCGTACCTCCTCGCTGGGCGCGAGCTCAGCTCTTTGGAGCTCGGCAGCACGATTGTCGCTCCGGGGATGCCGATCCCGCCCATGCAGCCCGTGGCGCCAACACCTACGCAGGGTTCGTCGATCTTTGGCGGCGGGTCCGGTGGGACGGGCGGCGCTGCGGCCACATTTGGAGGAACGACCACGGGAGGGGGCCTCTTTGGACGTCCAAGAGGGGACACGTTCTCGCTGACCGGGGCCTAAATGCCCGGGCTGTGGTGGTAATGGGTCGCCCCATATGCTCGCCAGCGGATATGAAGGAGTAGGGGGGAAGGCAGGTGGTGCCATCAAGATATCGACGACTAACTTGACAGGATGAACTTCGGGGAATTCTCAGGGGTGTGGATTTAGTGGGCGATATGCGTCCGCGGGCGAGGGCGTTGAAGGTGATGGTTGTGCGACGGCGTCCCGACGATGGTGATCAGCCTGTCAAGGCAGCTGATCAACAGCTTTCAACGTCTCGGAGCCCTTGTCTCATAGCGACATGAGGACTTGCATTTATCTTTGATGAGATGATAGGGTCTTGGGTGGCCTTGTTGGTGTCAAAGTCAAGAAACAGGGGGTTGGTTGTTTCCATTGGTTCGTGACGTTGATATATTTTGTTCATAGCTTTAGCCAATATGTCGTTATATCCGTTGTTGTCTATCCCTACTCTTTTGTATCTTTGGATAATAACTATGTGTCTTGTGGAAATGACCAGGCCGCGCAATCGAGGTTGGTCAATATTGCCGCAGATTTACGTTTTGGCTACACACTGGATCCGAAGCGAACCGGGGTGCTCGCGGGAGGTATTTATAACCGTGGGAACTGCTCCTGTGTGCCGGATTTATGTCCGCTCAAGCCACAGCACGACAACACCACGGTCGTCGGCCACCACTTCGTTCAATCGACATCTTTTTCAAACATAAATTCGTGTGCTTTGATCAAGAACTCGATCATTTCCCATGCGAATACTTCGACGGCTAACAAGACTCCTCGCGGTTCCGCCGCTTGCCGGCGGTCATAACGATAGGCTGATTCTTTGCTGAGTCGCTCGTTCTCGTCTGATAGTTCTCTACCGTTTTTACTATGACCCTGCTTCTCTTGGAAGGTGTTTATCCAATAATACGGACCCGCCGCTACAGAAACATGGGTGCGTTCTAGCGTATCTTCCCACCAGGAAGCTTCGCCTACCTGCAACTTTTGCCTTCCGCAGTCTTTGAGGGCACAAAACATCCCTTGTTCAGGGTCGTGGACGAGTGTTGGAAAGCGCAGGGAGAGCCGTTCTCGACCAGTGGTTGTGTGAATTTTAAGCATCTCGACCAGTTCCCAAGTCTTGCAGGTGAGGCCTGAGGCCTGATCATCGCACTACCGATCAAACCACAACCAGTGTGGATCCTCCCGCAGGCTCGAAACGGCTCGCGGGCTTCTGACAGGATCTGATGTGAGCCACGGTGCGAGCGCTCGGACAGTGAAGGCTTCTATGTGAGTCCTGATGAGCTTCTCTTGGCGAAGATAACCTTTCAGACATTGTTTACATTATTGACTACTCTAATTATCCGACCCACGCGACACTCTTGTTTCATGCTTTCATTACCGTCTGGCTCCATTCTACCGCGAAGGACTGGTATAAGCTCATACACAGCCTTTCAGGAGAACGTATAGAGGCACACATTAATTGAACGTTCGATTTGGGAGCCCACAATAGCGGCCTTCGAGTTCATTGACGAGGAATGGCAACCAAACCGCTTTTGATGTCTACGTGATGGCGCCAATAAAACTCAAGCTTGCGGTCGCTGAAGGATTGAAGATGCGTGCCGCCCTTATTTTTGCCGGCCAACGCACACCCGTCGAGAAGGCCCGGACAAGTGGATGACACGAAAGGAGACTGATAGACGCACGTAACCGACGGTTATGATACGCGACGGTCCTGACTACGGACCATAATTCATTCGAATAAGATTGGTCGATGGCCCCTGGCGGTGAGATGCGAGTGAGATTCAGGAAGAAGCCGCTAGACATAAAAGAACGGGGACAAAACCTGGCCTGAGCATATTCTCCTGCACAATTCCCGGCGCCTCCACTATCACCACCCCTTCCGTCCGTTCCAGCTCGCTTTGGATATCCTCTTCCTCTTCTCCCAGCCCGTTATATGATGAAGAACCAGCAGTCAGCGCCTTCACGGTTGTCGGGCATCCTGAAGCATCTCCGGGGATCGGATACTCCCTCACCTACGCTGACAAATGGGCAGACTCGTGCAGACAAGATGCGTATCATGGCGGAGCGTTTCAGCCCCCGTTTGCCCACCCATCCATACCCACCTCCCTATGCGTTCCCATCAACATCTTCTTCACGGCTAGACGCCGCCCAGAGTCCGCTGGGGCCAGGAGCGGTCGTGCTTCTCACCGGTTCTACGGGCGCCCTGGGCTCCTACCTTCTTTCTTCGCTCGCAGAGAACCCGGACGTGTCGCGCGTCTACGCGCTGAACAGGGGCAGTGACCGATCAAGCCTACTGGAGCGACAGCGTTCGACTCTAGATTGCCGTGGCTTGGACTGCAGCATCCTCGGCGAGGGAAAGGTTGTCCTGCTCGAGGCAGATGTCAGCGTGGAAGGTTTCTGTCTGGATGAGGGAGTTTACAAGGAAATGCACGAGACGGTGACCCACATCATCCACAACGGTGCGTTCCTTTGCCTTTTGCGCGTTTGAGTCCTTTGGCGTTTTCGGCAACGCGACATTTGAGCATATCAGCGCGTAGTATTGATTGAGATGTCTGATTGCTTGGCTTGCAGCCTGGCCTGTCAACTTCAACTACACCCTTGACGGCTTCGAGAGCAGCATCCGTGGCCATCAGCATCTGATCGAGTTCGCGCTGTCATCGCCGCTTCCTCTGCCACCTCGCTTCGTGTTCACGAGTGCCATCGGAGTTCTGCAGAGTAAGCGCTTATTTTGCGCCACAATCCGCTTTAGAACACACCGTTGACGTTTCCTGTTCTTCAGATGTTCGCTCGAAGTCGCCGATACTCGAACGCCGCGTCGAAGCGGAGACGGCAGTCGGAGCCGGATACGTGGAGTCCAAGTGGGTCGCGGAAGAGATGCTGCATGACGCCGCGTCAAGATGCGACGCGTTTGACGCGCTGGTCGTACGCATCGGCCAGCTGTGCGGATCGCGCCGGGCAATACGAGGCGTATGGAACGAGCGGGAATGGATCCCGGCGATGGTGCAGAGCGCACCGGCTGTCGGCTGCCTGCCTACGGACGATAAGGTCGGTCGTGAAACTGCCATTGTATGCCAAGAAGCTTACATCTGTGAACAGACTGTTGCATGGATCCCAATCGACGACGGCAGCGAAATTCTGGCTGACCTCACCCTCTCAGCCCCTGTACCACACACCACCGAGACGCCGGTCCGGACAGTACATCTCATTCACGCCGATCCGGCACCGTGGTCCTCCATTGCACCCGCACTGTCAGATGAACTCGCTCTTCCTCTCGTCCCGTACGAGCAGTGGCTCGCTGCCCTCGAATCACTATCCGCACGCTGCAAAGCAACATCGTCAGAAGCCACCTCTTTCGGGAGCCTCGAGATGGCAACCTTGCCGGGCGCCGAGAAACACGCTCGGTTGCGCGCTCTCCGCCTGCTTCCCTTCTACCAGGGCCTGGCTGGATGGGGTGGAGGCGACGCGATGGGTTTCCCGACGCTGGACTGCTCGGAGCTGCGGAGGTTGTCACCGCGCGTGGGGGGAGATGGTAAAGGGATACCGAGGCTTCAGGACGCTGACGCCAGGGGGTGGATGGGATATTGGCGCAGCATTGGACTGTTTGACTGAGTCTAGGCGAGATAGATGGTCTTGAGGATACCGGGCTTGGGATGGATTACATTGGATATATACCCCCCTTATTTACAATTTAGACCTTACCATTATACGTCAATTATTGGGAATATAGACGACTGGGACAGTTACGGAGTGTACAACAATTGGGACGAGTCATTGGTGAAAGCATAGGCGGCGACCGAATGTTCGGCATACCCCGGGCCTTTCGCCAGAGCCTCCAACCCCAAGCGCTCTCGCGTGGACTCTTGCGTTCATCCATCATGCCAGTTATGGCCATTAGGCATCCTTATTGTTTTTCCCCAGGTGACCGACACGATGGGTTGCTGGTCCAATGTTCTTGTACGTCTTTTTGACGAAGCTTATCGGCCAAATTTACTAGAACTAAACCAGATTAGATCTGCATGGGGAGCAATCACAGCGATCGTGGCATCTATAGCAAGAAAGGAACCAGGAGGTATGACACGGACATCACTTCCGGTATATGACAATCTTAACGTGCCAAATAGCAAATGCGTGCACCGAGTGCATAGAGATGGGTGTGTCACATGAGAGTCTTCGACGGAAGGACTTGATAGTGGATACGGCCAAATATCCGAGCCAGGGAATATCCTCGCGTTTGTCCTCCGAAATTGGGTTCACTTCAGCAGATTATCGGTCGTCTTTACTAAGTTATCTCCGTGGCAAGCATCCTCTTCGATTGGACGATCTTCGCTTGTTGTCGAGCGCGAGCCGACATGGTCACCTTGCGAATCACTGCAGCTAATACCTCTAAAAGCACAGTCTTATTGATCTCTGTTTCGTCCTATGTAATTGGAGTATGGTTAGATACCTTGGCACTATCACCCATCCGACCCTTCTCTGAAAGTCGTCGGTACCCTCGACTCATGGCTCAATCTTATATAAGGCTTCTTGATTGTTGATAGCATGAACAAAATGCTACAGAATTTGTCATTGTACATATAGGAGAAATTACGACATGCCAAACAGAAACTACTTTTTTTATGTATGACCAAGTAAAACTACCACGCAAAGATCTCGGAAGCGAGATGGACTTCCTCGCACTTGGCAACACCACTAAGAATGTCCAACTGCGCCGCAGCGGCAGCATTCGAGCAGTCAGTAACCAGTTCGAGCGGCCCGCAGGCTATGAAAAGATGGTGAATTAGCTTGCGTGCATAATGCAAATGAGCGTAAAAAGACTTACTGCCAAGAGCGACACGTCCTGTCCACTCCTCAGTGCGCTTCTGGATGAGTGCACGCACTTGCGGGCGACCCTGGCCGATCTCGATGCGCGACGGGGCTTTCTCGTCTTTTGTGCTGGATTTCTCATCATCGCTACCGTCAGCCTTTGATATGTCCGCGGGCTCAGCAGTCACGAATACGCGAACAGAAACTGCGTCCTCAGAGACGCCGGCGATTGCAGCGAGAATGTCACTCTCGAACCACTTGAGCGCATCTGACCAATATTTATATCAGGTTTGGTCACGACACTACCGAATTAAAGAGAAGGACATACCAAGAGTACGAACGGCCCAAACGAGCTCAACGCGCGCGCATCGCGAGCGACGTCCCCCCTCGCCACGCAAGCACGAGACCAAGTCGAGGAAAACAGGAAGAACATGCGAGATGCCGCTGCCGCCCGCGAACAGCATCGCGCTATCATATGCCCGCAGATCCTCGCAATCGCCAAGCGGACCGTCAACGAACACGTTCAGCGTAAGCGACCCGCCGGCCGCCTTGTTCGCGAGCGCCTTGGTGAGACCGTCGCGCGGCTGGACGATAAACTTCATCTCGTGCTCGTCTCCTGCCCCCGGGAGCGACGCCACGGAGAACGGATGGGACTCGAGAGGGTGCACGGTGAAGAAGCGGAGGAAGACGTGCTGGCCTGCGCCCCAGCGCATGCGCGTGCGGATGGACATGAGCACGGCGCCGGTCGAGGACAGGCTGACTTCGGCTTTGTGTAGAGTGAGGTTGCGGTAGATGAGCCAGCCCACGCGGAGGAGGAAGCCCCACGCGAAGATGGCGAATGTTGCGTACATGTAATTTCTATGGCGATGTTTAGTGGGGATTGCGAGGGAGCAATATGACGGATCATGCTTACGGTGAGTTCAATTCGGGGTAGACGTGCCACCAGAGTGTGCCCAAGTACGCTGAAAACCATGTTAGACCATGACCTGGTGTAGCACGCTCCCCCTAAAACGTACCGATGACCGCAGACATATGTAGAACCCAAAACCCTTCGTAAGCCTTCGTGCGGAAGACAGGCAGGCTCGCGACGCAAAGCCAGATGAGTGGCACCAACGCTGCAAACCCGGATATGTAGATATGGCTGTTCAACCCCAGCTCCCTAAAGGTTATGTTAACATCGGCGCGCAACAGCGGGGATGAACCTCACCTCTGGCCACGGATAGACATGGATATGGTGTGCACGAGGCTCATGTAAAAGTGGAGGCCAGAAACGCCTTGGTGGAGGACTTGAAGCTTCTGATACGGCGTTCCTGCAAAGGGTTGAACAACCACATCTTCTTCAGGTAACACTAGCGATGACTTACCCGTCAGGGTTCCAATGAGATTGCGCTTCTGGGCAAGCATGAACAGGAAGGGAAGCATCGCCATCGCAAGGTACTCGCTCCGCAGGCCAAGAGGTGCACTACCGTCTGATCCGATACATCAGCACCATTCGCAGAAACCGACTCTGACGGAGAAAGGAGACATACAGAAAGGAGGCCGGTAGTAGTACGTGATGCCGAAACAGTATGCCGTGCAATAAAGGAAGCCAACGCCCAGCAACAGCGTCTGGGCGAAGGTCCCGCTAGTCCAGACGGGTGCGACGAAACGTTGAAGCGACCAAGGAAGGCGAACATAGTTGGCCCAACGAACGATCGCGTACATCTTCGCTTGCAGTGAACCCGTCTTTCCCGGGGATGTGGTCGAGAGCCTGTGCTCGATGCTTAGTCGACCTTTTTGCTATACGAGCGTTGTACTGCGCTCACCGATGATACTGAACGAGTTTTTGGAAGACGTTCATGGCAATTGCGAGACCGAGGGCGGCAACGAGGAAGTAAAATCCATAGTACCCATACTTGATATTCGATGCCCATGGATCGGGGTGAGAGTTCTGATATGCTGTCACCTCTGCATCTGTCGGGACGTAGGTACCATGATAATAGCATCCTCCAACGTCGACGTCGCAGGAGCCGTCGCCTCCTGGACCCATATCCATGTCGACTATCCCTGCAGCTGACATATTTTCGAAGGTAGAAGCGACACTGTTCGACTCCTATGACAGAGGAGAGACTGGATAGGGAGGAGGCAGAGGAGGATGGAACTATATTTCCCGCGTAGCGCTTTCTATGCGTGCCGACTAGCGGCCCGATACTGACAAAATGTATGTAAGCTGTCTAAACTGGGCCAAAGGAGATCACGATTCTCTGGTGGGTTTCGGAGGGTCTTCGCCACATCTCGTTCAGCAGGACAAAGACGGATGTTGAGACCAGGAACGAGGGAGCACGCACTCCAGGTCCACGCCACGTCGCTATGTGCCAAGATCCGTCTGGCGCCACGGTATCCCAAGAAAGAACTGAAGCAAAGTAAGCGAGACACCGTGCCGTGGCGATGGTCCGAAGAGAAACAACGACGCTCAGGAATCACACCCCCAAGCCACATGCAAGAGCACACTGTAACAAGGATGCCCCGTAAGATGAGAAGCCCAAGTGCCCTGGTGTCTGATCTCGAAACCTCGAAGAGGAGAAATGCCAACTGACCCAAACCTCCAACTCAGCCGAAGGTAAGGTTTGTGTATCACATGTCGCCGTAATATATCATGCGTTACAAGCCGCCCTGATCGCACACTGACGAACGAAATGGTTGCAGGGGAAGGACCAGAACAGTGGAACGAGTTCACATGTCACGAATGAGATCAGCAAATCGGCAAAACCGGAACGGTGGATTGGCACGCCAGGAGTAAACGCAAAGAGAAACAAAAGCATCCGCAGTTGCATACCCTATACTGCCCAGGACTTCTAGGGTACGCTTATCCAGCAGATGTAGAACGAGACAAGAGCGCGAAGATGAAGGATAGGAGTGCAAGAGAAAGACTCGTGGAGAACGTCGCCAAGACCACGCAACGCCAAGATGGCGCGCGAAAAGAGGGCTGCATGCGAACTTGACGGATTTGGCAACGATGAGACTGCGGCGACGTGGCGAGGGGCGTTGCGCAATCTCGTCAACGATGGCGTACTGTAAATACCGAGCATACCGGGCTTAGCAAGGAGACAGGTGTTGAGGGTACCGGAAGCGACATCGCCATCGACAACGAGGAATGGTCCTGCCCAGAAAGCCTGAAGACGAGAAACGGTGACAGTGTGACACTCAACGACGGACCGGAGCTTTGTTGAGGCGTGGGAACTAGCCAGAGGCAAGGGCGAGAACCTAATGGTGGTACCGAGGTACTCGCCGTCGACGAGTAGCTGGTGCTGAATGGGAGCAGCGACGGACCTGCGTAGTAGTAGAAGCAAGTCGACATAGTTGGGGTAAGGTGTCCGCCATGGCGCAACGGCAAGGGTGGTACAGGGCGCCCACAAGCCATGATGGTTGCTGACTGACTTCGTGTTCCAAGGACTGTTCGAGGGTGACGGAAATTACTCCAGGCATGACCATGTCGAACTGAAGAGGTAGCCGTTGATGACCAGCGGTATCGCCTTTGATATGAAGAGGATGACGGTCGTGCGTCGTTGAGGGAAGGATAAGCCACCGTTGAGTATATCACGATGAAGCAACAAGGGGCTCGAGGCAGATTGAGACGGTGCAAGAAGCCGTAGCAGATGCGAAGAAGAGCGTTAGGAGGGTTGTTGGGGGGAAGAAAGGAAAGCGATGATTGATGGAGGGAGTCTTATATCGCAGGAGAGAAATAGCGTGCGCAAATTTGCCTCACTGCGCTGTAATTGCCTCACTTAGTCACATAAGTCACATAAGTCACACAATTCACAGTGAGTCGTCACACCAGTGACAATCTTGTCTTTGTCCTACTCTTGCCCGAGAAATTCGGAGAGACGAGAAAGAGCCGACGACATTCTTTACATGTATGTTCTCGAGTTCCCGATCCACACACCTTTAATTGATGATTATGAAGGTGGTTCACACACGTCAATGGCGAACATGTTAACAGATGGACCCACGCTGTGACCTTTTTACGTCGTGTTTCGGACATTTGGTCATCCATGGTGGTAAAGACCGTGACCACCGCGGCCTTCAAGAGCCAATTCGAGAAAGACTTGGTCTGACCTCGCTGACGTCTGATCAAGATCTCGCTCTGTCAGCATCAAGTTGAAACACTCAATCAAGTATGTCCGACGAGTAATACAATGCTCCCGACTAGTAGGCCTGCCTCAGCCGAGTTGCATGATGCGAGGAAAAAATGAGTACTAGTGCTTGGGTGGATGAAAGGAGGTGTTTCCAAGGTACACGGCTTGTAATCCTCGCCGAGCATCCGCGTGGCCCTCACTCTTGCGAGAATGCTCCGCTTCCTCGGAAAGTCCTTGATGAGTCCTGCACCGGTTGTGATAAATAATCAAGGGTATCTTTCCCTACTCACTTGTTACCTCTCGACGTCTGAAACGTGTAGATGGATCACCAGGGCAAGGAAAACTCGTCTGCGACTGTGTGTGCCAGTGCATTGGACACGGAGCGTGCTCCTTCCCTTGCTACCGACAAGGACGGTCAAGCATCGGCCAAGAAGCTTGAAGCAACACGAAATGCCTTCACCCACCGCTCTCGTTGGTCCCTATTTATCGGGTACGCTCATTGCCTTTGACGCCAAGTCGTCGCATCTGACCGCAACTCCAGGCTTGGCCTCGTGGCTTACGCCAACTCACTGGATATATCGACAACGGATACATTTCTCACATTCGCGACGTCTAGTCTAGGAGCCCATAGCCTGCTCAGCGCAGTTACGGTCGCTCAGCTCATTGTAGGTAAGAATGACTGCATCTTCTGAGCTATGGAATGCTAGGATACTGAACTGGTCCTAGTTGCGGTTGGCCAGCCCGTCATCGCCAAGGTTGCCGATGTATCCTCTCGAGGCATCGCACTGTTTGCGGCATGTATGTTGTTAGACGACTCAAACACGATTCCAACCCAAGTGATTAATTCACCGCAGTGTTTTTTTATGTTATAGGTGCTGTCTTATATTCAGTTTTCGGCGCCCATATTCTGATCAGTCACTCTAGGTTATGTTATTATAGCTACTGCCCCAAATATCGGCGCTCTGGCAGGAGGGACTTTGATCAATGCCATGTACGTTTTCTATCCATTCTACTCCTCGGTCAAAGCTTACCATCGCTACCAACAGAGGGCTTGCGTGAGCTAATTACAACCGCGTGTCGCTTGACCATTGCGTTCTTACCTGTGTTCGTTAGAAACTTTGCCGTGCTCCTACAGATTATTATCGCCGACATCACGTCGCTCAAGTGGCGTGGTTTTGTGAGCTCGCTCACGGCCGCGCCAACTATTATCAACTCATTCGTTGGCTCCAACGTAACGACGGCTGTTATCGAACATTCGAGTTGGAGATGGGGCTGTACGATGCTCGTGTTTCTCTGAGAAGGCTAAAACTCACTGTATATCTCGCAGACGGCATGTTCGCCATCATCACTCCCGCCGCTACCATTCCCCTCCTTTTGACTCTGTTTTGGGCAGAGCGGCGGGCGAAGAAGCTCGTCCGTCAAAACGAGGACGTTATCCCGCAAGCACATAGTAGCACTTCATCGCCAAAGACGTCGTGGTTGGAAAGGTGGAAGGACGTGGTACACGTCGGCCAGCAGATCGACGTTATTGGACTCGTTTTGTTCGGCGCTGCTATTTCCCTGATCCTGTTGCCGCTCACTTTGAACCAGACGTCAGCTGAGAGATGGAGAAGCGGTGTGCACGTTCTCCTCCGTTGCATAAATATCTATTGATCAACGTTGAACCTCTATAGGCGATATCATCACGATGTTGGTGTTGGGTGTCGTGTGTCTGATTGCATTCGCCTGGTGGGACATCCGCAAGGCGTCATGGCCCTTGATCCCCAAGCGGTGCATAACGAACAGGAGCGTGGTCTGTGCAGCACTCATCGGCTTCTTTGATTTCGTGGGTTCATCAAGTCTTCGGACATGAGACACAATCTGACTCTTGTCTAAGCTAACACTCTCGCTGACGTCGACCTATCTATACTCGTTCATCCTCATCGCCAAACCATGGTAAGTTTATTTCAGAGCAAGGGTACCTCCTCTTCACACGTGTCACAGGTCTCTTATAGATGCCACTTACTTCATGAAAACACGTCTACTATCCCTGTCCGTGTTCCTGGTCCTCGCTGGATTGTTCATGAGGGTTGTGCGCCGCTATAAGGTATCCCTCCACTGCGCGCGAACACCCATCCCGTGGTCTGACGATCGATTTCCAACGTAGCTCATGATGATCGCCGGAGTAGTCATTCGTCTCGTGTGAGCACCTAAGTTACTTCCTCAATAACTCTCCAACTGACCGTAACATCGGTGCAACCAGCGGCCTCGGAATGATGATCCGCTTCGGAAAGTCTAATGGCTCCGACGTCGGGCTCGTTTGGACACAGATCCTCCAGGGCATGGGCCCAGGACTATTCGCCACCTCATCTCAAGTCGCAGCACAGGCCTCCGTTTCCCACAAAAACGTCGCAATGGTCACCGCGGTCGTGCTGCTCCTGGGCAATGTAGGAGGTGCCGTTGGGTCTGCAATGGGTACGTCGACACCACAATTCGTGTGGCTGTCATTAGCTAATTTTGGGGGCAGCCGGAGCGATATGGAGCAACACTATTCCCGCGAATCTCGAGAAATACCTCCCCAATCTCAGCGACGCGGAGCGGGAGAGGCTGTATGCGAGCATCACGAGCGTCATGAAGTACCCGCGAGGAAACCCTATCCGCGAGGGCGTCATTCTCGGTATGCTCATCAGTTGATCTACATTTACCGATTTTTATACTTACTAGTACACTCCTAGCGTACGACGATACCATGAAACAGTTAATCATCATCGCAACAGTATTGAGCGCCGTACCGCTGTTCCTGGCTATCGTCATGCCAGAATGGGAGCTCGACGATCAGCAGAACGCCGTGGAGAATGTACAGGCGGAGGTCACAGACCACGAGGGGGAACTGGAAAAGAGCAGCGTCGTAGATTCGAAGGCATAGATTCGCAAACGGACACCGCCCATGATACATCTTAAACAGCGACACATTTACTCAGCTCCCCCTCCCACAACGTAGTACGCGTTTGCCGGGATCTGTGTGTTATGATTCTTTCCAGCTCTCACTCTTTCTCGCACACTTGTGAAACGTTACCAGGGTAATCCACTGAAACCCGGTTGATATTCATCCAAATTTCTTGCATCCTGGATGATCGATATCAACCTCTCCCAACGACCTTGAATCACACATCATGTAATGACTTGGCATAGCACGCAAGCAACGACGTCCAATACAATGTCCTGCAACGTTACAATAATCAGGTCTTAGTCGCAGCTTTCCCCATCCACTCTCGCACACACACTCTGACGCTCCAATAATCGCTGAATAACACCACAAAGTACCACAAAGTACACACATGCAACTACACCCAGAAATAAAGAACAAGAAAAAACAACAAGAAAAACAACACGGTCCTTTCCATCCATCCCAAGATCCCCAAAGTCACCCACGTACACCGTACTGATCCAGGGACACACAGCCCGAGCTCACTCATACCGCATAATAAAAATCTTGCCGTCCCGCACAGACACAATCACCGCCCCCTGGCTCTGGTCGATATTGATCGTCTCCACCGCGTCCAGATCGAGCTCCGCCGGCGTCGCGAGCGTCCGCACCTCCGCAGGCCCGCGCCCGCCCGCGTCGACCGCCGGGAAGGTGACGAACCGCAGCACCTTGGGCACATGCTGTCTCCGCACGTCGTGGATCCGGTCCAGCGGCCAACCGTCGTCCCCGTCCCCATCCTCGTCGTCCCCGTCCCCATCCTCGTCGTCGTCGTCGACATCATCGACGTCATCATCGTGCACGTCAGCCACGTCCAGATGATTCACCCCCTCGTCCCCATCATGGTTCAGCGGAGGTATAATCGGCGGATGCGGCAGCGGCGGGGGCAGCACCGCCTCGGGGAAATGCGGAATATCCGCGAGCCGCGCAGCGTCCACGCCAAACAGGCCGCCCGGCTCACCCGCATACTCGACCCACACCGCGTGTCCAAAGTCGACAGCGACGAGCGGGCGCGGACGCAGATCGTCGTCGTCCCCGTCGTCCCCATCGCCGCCCACGCCGTCTTCGCCGACGCGGTCGAGCACGCAGACGACCTCGAACGGCGTGGAGACGTACCACAGCCGGAGCATATCGTCGTCCTCATCTCCTTCTTCTTCCTCGCCGTACTCATCGCCATCCAGCCCGTCTTCCCGGGCCCCGTTCACCCCAGCCACCCTGCCCTGCACAAGCATCTCGCCACTCCCAACATCCATCGCGCGCTCTTTCCCCTTCCGCCGCCTCCGCCGCGCGCGCTCGTCAACATCAAGCGGGTCCGGCAAATCCGGCACAAGCGGCACCCGGAAATAATGCTGCGCGAGCACAAATCTCGTCCGGTGGTTCTCGGGATTATGCGCCGCGAGGAGCACCACCGTGCAGCTCAGACGCGGGACGCCCGGCAGCGTCGGCCACCACTGGCGCACAAAGTGTGCCGACTCGGGGTACCACGGCGGGAACGGGTAGGGGTTCACCTGCAGCGGCGGCAGATCTTGTCCGGGTGCAGCGGCGTCGCCGTTTCCGTTTAGATGGTGTGGATTGTGGCTGAACAGGTCTGCGGTGGCACCGGGGGTGGGCATCTGGTGGAGGATGAGTGTGGACGGCGGCGGGTAGGGGCTCTCGGCGACGATGAGCTGGCTGTTTGGCGTCTCCGACGTGGGCGTGAGTGTGCCCGAGATGATGCTAGGCCCCGCAAACGGCGTCGACAGCTCCGATGCCTGGCTGTCGCCAGAGTGCGGAGGTGGAACGGGGGACGAGCGAGGCGGGTCGGGACGCTCGTCACTGATCTCGAGCTCCCCCTTGGACGAGCCAGCGACGGCGTCTGCCCTCTCTTTTCCCTTCCGGCTGAGACCTGCTGTACTTGCGAACGCTCCCGCTTCATCCATCAACGTGCTGTGACATATCTTCCCATCCCTGAGCTCGGGCTCTTCCTCACTCATCGAATCCTCCCGCGTCACCCCATCAACCTCGCGCTCCTCTGCCTCGTCGTCCGTGTCCATACCCACATCCGTCGGGGTCTGCGGGACAACAGGAATAGGCGAGTGCACTCGCGGCGGCGTCCTAGGCCCCACTCCCGATGTCGAAGTCGAAGTCGATGCCGCATTCGCCATCCCACCACTCCCACTCTCACCATCCACCCCACCCTGCAACGCACCCTCGCCAGCCACCGACATCGCCACCGTCCCAGGCACATCCACATCCACATCCACACTCACAACCGGCACCCCCTCCGGCCCCTCCACCACCCCCCATATCCTCACACTCGCCACCAACCCCTGCCCCAGCTGCACCTCCTCATTCAACACCTCCCCGCCCATCCCCTCCGGCCCGCCCGCCGCAACGACGCGCGCCCTAATCGCCGCCTGCAGCCGCCCGAGCATCGCAGACGTCAGCTGCGTCGTGATGCCCGTGCCCGCCGGCCCGGGGAGCGACACGACGCCCGAGTGCGGGTCCGCGGCGTCCGGTCCGATGGGCACGAGCGTCGAGCCGGGCGGGACGAGGTTCATCACGGACGCCGGGGGCGGGGTTAACATGTCGTTTGATGGTAACGTCGATAATGACAACGAGGATGGCTGTATCTGGGGGTGAGCGGGGGTGTTGCCCTCCTCGGAGACAGATCGGTATGGGGGAGGAGGAGAGGGCGAGGGAGACGGAGGGCGCGGAGTGGGGAACGTGAAGTTGCGCTTGAGCGAGCGCGCGGGCGGGACGCGCGCGCAGACGATGGGGAAGATGTCACCCTCGATCGTGCGTTCGCTTGGAGGCTCTGCGTGAGCCGTTGTCTGAGCCTCTGCCGAGGCATCTATAGGATCTTCTGGGTCGATAGCCGACATAGGCACGGCGCTCGTCGGCTTCATGGTCACGCGTGACGCGCCGCGGGGGCGGGTGAAACCTGTAAGAAGAGAGATCGGGTAGAAGTGCTGGTGCGCAGAGTTGGCTTCTTCTGCGTGGATGACGATTTGTTCGTCGTACAGGATGCAGGACCAGTTTGAGGAGACGTCCTGTTGAGTGCAGTAAATGTCCGCAATGACGAAGAGAACGTTAGACATGAAAGCAAGCATATATCGGGCCAAGCAAGCTCAATACGTATTCAGGGTGCACTCACGCATTCGATGCCAGTATCGATGAAAACGTATTCCTCCTTTGCCCAATCTGGCAAAACGTAGAGTCCTGTAGAAGGATGTATTAGAGAAATCGTGCTGAACCAGGCGCTTGAGAACAAACCTATGGTAGGAGGAGTGCTCGCAAACCATACAAATGCACTAAGCAATCTACGAGGAGGATCGAGCAAGAAGACATTCATCACGACGCCCGCCGTATGGAATGCAGTGAGTGCCCGGAACACGGGCCGGGGCAAGTCGTGAGGGTGCACGGGTACGGTTTTCGCAGGTTCAGCTTCCGGTGTAGGAAGTGCAGTAAAGCGCGGTGAGGTGACAGTTGTAGGGGACATGCTTTGTGATATGGGTGGCCCAGGGACGTTGTGTTGGGAGGCGGCGGTGGGGAGGTGGAGTTCGCCCGACTCTTGGTCGGTGAACGCATACTCGGGTGGGAAGCAGAGCTTCATGAGGACAAACTGCATCGTCCGATCGTCTTCCCATCTGCATAAGGATGTGAAAAGGTCTAAGTGGGTGAATGCGACAGCGAACAAGAGCGGATAACGCACGAAACTTTGAGGAGCCGCGCCATGGTAAAGTACACGGCACGCTCCTCGAACTCGACTCTGCACTTCCACAGCTCCCACCTCTCCCGCCCTGAGCCGTGTTCTGGAGGCATGCCGGGGGCCGATCTGATGGTGCGGGGGTCCCAGTCTGCGAGCGGGATATCACGCGCGACATCCCAGCAGACAACCCTACCACTCCTGGTCGCACAGAGGGTGTAGCTGCTTGTAATGGGGCTGAGCCAGTCGATCTCTTCGTCGGGCGGGGACGAGATGATGGTGTACCACGGGCGGACGCCCTTGCCGTCGAGCGTGGGCTCCGAGGTGGCGGGGCGGGGTGCACGGACGCGCCATGCTGCGTCAAATGCCTGTGCCTTGTGAACGGCCTGGATAAGGGCGGGTGTGCTGATGGTGTTGAATGAGTTGAAGCCCTTGAGTGGGAGTGGGCGTGCACGGTTGAGGAGGTCCTGTGCCTGTGCGCGATAGACAGGGCGGGTGAGGGTGTGCTGCCGGAGAGACTTGCATGTCTGCGCAGCAACACGTCAATGATGCTGGCTGCAGCGTGGAATTATTGAGTACACACCGCCTGGAGGGCAAGGACATCATATAAAGAAAGATAGCAAGAAACATGGAGGATGAGGTCGTAGGGCAGTTCGTCGAGGCCCATCGTAGTCATCGCGGCAGGACAAAAGACTGCTTCACTGAGCCGCGCACTCGAACCCGCCCGACTCGCACGTGCACAGATCAGATAATCCCACTCGCCAACTTCATCCTTCTTCCATCATACAGGGCGTCATATTTACCCTGCAGCTCACTCATCTTCCTGATATGAAAAATACAGGCGAACCCTGAGGCCTGAAGTTCTAGTTCCACCGCAAATTCACTTCAGATCTGCGCCTCTCAATTGAAATCAATTTTATTAGATCATACTGCTCTAATGTCCATCGATGAATATTATACGCCCTTCCAATGCTACGCTCTCAACACCAAGATCACGACTCCCCGCAGGCCCACAGCGTCGGCCAGTCCACGACAGGCACTAGATTGCTCGAATAGTCCGATCCCAGCTCCATCCGCACCCTTGCGCTGAACCCGCTCTCATGCCTCGCCCATTTCTTGCTTCCCATCTGCTCAACCCCACCTGCCGTCTCTTCAAAACACCATTCGTACGCTTCAGCAGAACCAGCATCGGCGACGCCATCATCTCCACATCGGTACCTGGGCTGGTCGTACGTGCTCCCATCCACGCTCGCGACGCTCAGCCGTCTCAGCAGCGGCAGCGCGTCCCACGGAACACTGCCCAGACCGCCCACGAGCTCATGCTGCACCATCATCTTCGTAAACCTGGGCCCAAGCCCCTCGTCAGCCTCGATCCTGACCGAGCCGCGCAGCGCAAGCCGCTCGAGCCCGCCGAGGAACGCACACCCCTCCGCGGTGCTCGTCAACGGGCGCCACCGCGTGAAGCTCCCCGCGAGCGTAAGTGCCCTAGTGCGGTTGACGCCCGACCACGCATGAAGCGTAGCCTCGGAGAGAGAATGGTACAATACGTGAATAGCGCCCCACGAGAGCGCGAGATCGCTCACGCCGAGAACGACAGGCCCGAGCAGCTCGTAGTCGAGCGTCGGCTCTTCCAGAAGCGACTCTACGTCCACCTGCGCCGGAGGCGGCGGTATCGAGAACGACTGCCTGCCAAAATCACCCCCGCCGCTGCTGCTGCCAGTATGCATGGGCGGAGCAGCCTCTGGGGCAGCTGGTGGTGCCTCCCACGCCTCCGCGACATACAGCCTGCGCACGAGTGCTGCATATTCTACGTGCAAGTGTGGCGCGCGGGCAGCGAAGACGAAGCGCTGCATGCGCAAGGCGCGCATGAACGCGTGCAGGGCGCGCGAGGTGCGCAGGATGACGGTGTGCAGCAGCACGGGGAGCACCTCGTGCCGCAGTGCGCGGGAGACGCGGCAGAGCACGAGCGCGTCGGCGTACGGGCTGCGTCGGGTGGTAAGAGCAAAGTCTGGTGTTGCGGCTGTGCGGAAGATTTCGAGCGCGAGCTCGGTGGTGAGCTTGGTGAATGGGAATGATGGGGGCATGGACATGGCGTGGCGAGTAGACGCGGTGACGGTGACAGCAGATAAGGTCTTCAGGTGAGGCATTTATTACGGCTGTTGACAACGCTAAGGACGGTGACGTTATATCTTAGCGCTGAAGTGAACTTTGTCAAGCGACTAAGGGAACACGGCCTTCTGAGAGAAGAATTGTGGGCGTAGACCTCCGCGTCGCGTACTTTAAAGCTTCTGCACGGAGGCACTGCACCCGATATGAACGGGCTCATGGGCCGAGATGTTCTCGGCAGCTGCAGTCGCAATTGTTCAGAGACAACAGTCGGAGTTGGAGGCTGCACGAAGCGATGACCGCACAACGCCATTCGAGGGAACGAGGTCTCTTAGTTGAGCAAGTAAAAGAAGTTTGCGAATAGCTGGCCGAACGAGAGGCGTTGACCTAGTAAATGGGGGAATAGCGAGACAAAAAGGACGGGAGCTTTGGATCCCCGGCTGCCTTCAGGCTTTCATTCCTCTCCACGCATGCCCCAGGGGCATCAGATCGGCCTTGGGAACATTGGAAGTTTATCAACTGAGTTTTCGGCGAGCGAGCGACTGACTGATATGCTTGAGGCTTGATCGGGGCAACGGAACACGGACAGCTTACCACGATGCGGGGGTGGAATGGAACATTGTCGCAATGGTTTTGTTCACAGACGGAGCTGCTGATTGAGCGCTTGCTATATTCGATGCTCTTTTTGTCTTTGTTCCTGACGATCCCACGCCTTGATTTGACAGACAATGAGCTGGGGACGTGGTGCGCACGAGACAGCTGGCCGCTATGCAAACCCAGTCACTACCACGTCGCAGCGAATGGGCTGGTTAGCGGTACATAGATAGTACAGCCTTGAACGAGAACGTGCCCCCAGTATTTGGCTCCGAGAGTAGCGGAGTTTGAGGTCTAGGCAGCTGGAACGTGTCGGGTTAGCCACGAACGTGAAGTTGAGGAGATTAAGTATACGGCACTTGAAGGCAAGTTACTTACATGTCTGTGCCTGTTATGCATATATGGTACTCGCAAATGCTAACCGAGACTAGGGTCCAGCATCCGAACATCACTACCATGGTTCAAAAGGAAGATTAATGAATCCTGGTTAAGCGGAAAACGATGATATACGTACCAATCTGGGCGCAGCTTCAAGGGGAACATCGCCCGTTCACTTCGTCTCGCCTGTCTTGACTCAGCCTTTTGATTTGGTGTTCTTGGGCGGTGCCAAGGGGGTTTCTGGGTAGGGTTCCCTGTGCGCTGTACCTTTGACTGAAAGGCTGGCTCGTTCATGTGCCCGCATGTGAGAGAGTAACGTTAACGTGCTCGCCTCCTTCGAGGAACGATAGGCCATATATAGTACCAGTGAAGGTCTGCAAGAGACGAAGAGCTAAAGAAACGCGAGAGGGGCGCGCGGGCCGCACACGTCACGTAACGTGGGAAACTTTCGAGTTCGCCGACGCGTCCATGGAGCTCAACCCCGAGCGCTACGTTGGGCCACGTTCCATCGCCACTCGTTGATACGTCGTGCGCATATAACTGCCTCACGACGCAAAAAGGACTATGTTTCAACATCCCAAGTCAACCACGTCCACGCTATAAGCGCTGAAAGACCCGAGGAAGACCAACTTGAAGCACATGGCCTCCATTCAAGATAACACCGTCCCGAAATAATATTCAGCATCCCCGCATGGATCATCCACGCCGTACTAAATATACGCACCCACCTTTCCCCAGCCGACTAGGCTTATATAGCCCATCTGCGTTTCCGCCTTGATCTCTTCTCTAGCACGTACCCTGGACGTCCAGCGTCGCAGCCATGTTCGCCCTCCGCGCGAGCGTTCTCGCCGCCTTCGCCCTCGCCGCAGCAGCCTGCGAGGACCATCTGCACAGTCGGGACACCGCGCACGCGCACACTCACGAGCACGTCCACAAGCGCGAGTACCCGCAGGTTCCTCTGACACCGCCGTACCGGCCCCTCGTCTGGAGCGACTTCAACGTTATCCATACAACCGATACGCACGGTTGGCTGCTGGGGCATCAAAAGGCGAGCTTCCCGGAGCCGGACTACAGGTTAATAGCCTTTTGCGTCTAGCCAGTCTCAATTCGCTCACAGATCTATGTTACAGCGGCGACTTGGGTGACTTTGCCAGTTTTGTCACGCACATGAAGCAGATCGCTCTCGTACGTCTTGCAGACCTCGTATGGCGTGTTGAAGCACTATAACGCGGCTTGGCTCCAGGAAAAAGATGTCGACTTGCTGCTCGTCGACTCGGGTGACTTGCATGATGGTGAGTCCATGTATGCACACACATGAAACACCTGTGGGCTAACGGCATATCAAGGAACCGGCCTGTCAGATGGATACCCTGCTGGCAGCGTCGACGGACACGAGGTGAGTTTACCCGGATTTACGCAACAGCTTGACTCGGGAACTCATTCATTCTCCAGACCAACACATTCCTAGAGCGCCTGCCATACGATTTGATGACGGTTGGAAAGTAGGCCGCCTCCCGTCCCCAAAGATCGTTCAATCTCATACAAAGTTACTCTAGCCACGAACTGTACGAGTATGCGGATGCCTATGACACGTACATCAACCTTGCTCCGCACTTGAACGGACGCTATCTCGCGTCTAACGTGAACATCACCATCCTGAACGAGGACGGGGAAGCTGTCAGCTTGCCTATGGGAAGTGCGTGCTTTCTCCCTCGACGCTCCGTTGGATACGTTGATAACCCTCTGCTCTTTAGACAGATCCGTCAAGTTCACTACCAGAAAGCAAGTTGTTACTGAAGTTTAAGGTTTCCCACTGATCTGACATGTCCATCCTCCTTCAGAGGCCGCAACATCATGTCGCTCGGCGTCATTTATGACTTCACGGGCAATTCGGCAAATACGACAGTACAGTTTGCCTCAGACATGGTGAAGGAGCAATGGGTACGCTCTGGTGAACTCGAGCACTTCACGACTCTGACATGCTTCTTGTTCAGTTTGCCGATGCTATTGCTGACGAGCCTGATCTCTTCCTTTTGGTCGGGTGTGTCGAGACTTGCTTTTCGGCTTTGCGGGATGTGCTGATTGCCGTATAGGCACATGCCTGTTTCCTATGACCATTGTGAGCGTGTAACCAACATGTGTTGTCCTCTTACTCAAACTTGGATTTTAATTCCAGGGCCAGATGTGTTCGACGCCATTCGCGTAGTACATCCGCTTACCCCCATTTTGATCTTCGGAGGTGAGTGTTACGCCTACTTTGAGACAAAGGATGAGTTCTGACATTTCAATGTAGGACATACCCACATTCGTGATTGTCGTCAGTACGATGGGAGGTCCATGGCATTGGAGAGCGGCCGCTACATGGAAACCATTGGTAAATGTCTCTGTTGCGTGTATCATGCTTGCGCTCATCAATCTGTCAGGCTGGATGAGTGAGTAAACGTCGTTTTCAGTGGCTGACCTTCAGGGCCTGACCAAGCATCTTGAAGGTGCCGACCTCGACGCTGCGAAGGATAACTCAGACAACATCACGTTTACTAGACGTTATTTGGACCAGAATCGCGTTACATACGAGGTCAGAAGTATGCGTCTTCGAGCACAACATAAATACTGACAGCTTTCAATAGTACCATACCCAGCAAAGCAACGCGACGTTTGACACCGAAGCGGGTCAAAACATCACGCAAGGACTGCTAGACCTCGCAATTGCGTACGATCTCGACTACCTATACGGAACAGCACCGCAGGACTACTCTCTGAGCGGGTACGTATGCATATCCCATAATTCCATTGCTCAAAACCTAACTCCATTACAGAGCACCCTACCCCTCCAACGACTCTATCCTGACCCTCTTCATCGCCGAAGCCGCCCCGGTCGCTCTCGCCATTAACAACAGCCGCGCATCGATCCCGAACATCATGATCACGAACTCGGGCTCGCAGCGCTTCGATCTGTTCAAAGGGCCGTTCACGAAGAACGACCAGCTCACGTCATCGCCGTTCCTGGACCAGTTCCTGTACATCCCCAATCTCAACTTCAGCATCGCGAACCAGGTCCTGCCCGCGCTCAACCAGGCGGGCGCGGACGAGCGCAGGCGCAAGCGCGATGCGTTCGAGCGCGAGATGCGGAGGAGCGATGATATCAGGGCGGTGTATAATGAATGGCTCCGAGAGATGAATGAGCGTGCGGGGATGGAGAAGCGCGCGGAGTCGGCGGGCAATTTGACGCTGGGCTACGTCACGCAGGACGTAAGTGGCCCATCAACTTCTGTGTGTCTTGCGGCGGACATTGGATATGCTAACCTCCGAAGCACAGTACTGCCCGGGCGCTGGCGACGACACGATGCACATCGCCATCCCGTACTACGATACCCCGGACTTCATCGGCAGCAACGCGCCGAACGTGAGCGATGACACGCCCATCGACCTCGTCTTCGTGGACTTCATCGAGGACCAGCTGCTCGGCATCCTCAACGGCCTGCAGTCGGCGCAGACCTATACCGAGAGCGATGTTTTGCCATATAGCGATATCCTATCGAACGAGATCTTGGGTTTGTACGCCCAGGCGGAATGGAACTAAGATTTGGTGATCGTACTTCTGTGATTTCTTGTCAGATTTTCTCCAATCTATATGATATTGCTCAGTCTTGACCTATCTAAACCTTGAGAACCGCGTTGATGACGTGTGTTCACGGATGATCGATTGATCATGTATATGCCGCAAAACACCGTAGTTCTGGAACCTCGTATCTTTAAAGTGGGGCTATCGGGGGTCTTCGCTGGTTGACTTTCCTCTCCCCTGTATAGCAGTAAGTTCTCATATAATTTAATCCTTGACAAGCAAAAAGAAGCGTTTCACTTATAGGCATGCGCAAGGATGCGACCTTTCATCTTTCAAGTAAGCGGATCGCACCTTGCTGAATAAAGCAGATTCTCGAACTTTCTCACTCACTCTCAACGATCCTCTAACAGTCTAGATTGAGGCCATGTGTGTAACAACCAACCCTAACTTACTCAATACCTACATATTCCAGGTTCTGTGGTTGTTGGCTTCCGGGATGCGCGAGACGGTAGGCTTGCGAAAGATGAGGAGTGACTGAACACCTCCGTCTGCAGTGACAACAACAACGTCCGGAATACCCTCGAGGGTTCTCTATCTCTCTCATCTACACGTCGGCGTCACGGTGGCATACCGTGAACTCGTATAAAATGCGGACGTCCAGTCGCACTTTTTGGCCAGCCCGGTCCTTCATTGTGGCGCGCGATAACCTTTCCGCAATGTCCTTTGGGTCAAACGAGGGCTCGCCTGACTGGGACACCATCCTTAGCGCCCTGTCAGACTATGTGGACGTTGATAACATTCTAACGCCTACTCAGGTGCCGACGCCACCTCCCAGCACTGAGGTGTCCTCACCGCCGCTTCTGCCATACCAGCTGCTGGACCTCGTCGTTGAAACGTCGCCACCGGCGAGCAATCTTGTTGCTGAGGACGATGTCATCATATCCGTTTCAACAGCTTTCTTTCCCGGCTCTGGACTTCATTCGTGCCCTCCGGACCTTGTCATTCTCTCTTCGGATTCCATCCATTTTTTCGTCCATGTTTCTACTCTACTCGATGCATCCTCTAACGCGTTTGATGGCCTTCTCCCGCCATCTCCCGGGAACAGGGGTAGAGTGGGACCTTCACTGACGGTGACAGAACCATCTGATGTCTTGAACGTCGTTCTCCATGCGGTTTACGATAGGTCGTGCTCTCATTATGGCCACTCGTTTGAGTGCCTCTCTGCTGCAGTGGCGGCGATGAGAACCTACGGTTTGTCCTTTCAGCGGTATATTTCCCCATCGACTCCATTGTTCTCCATTCTATTATCGCATGCTCCGCTGCGTCCGATTGAGCTGTACGCTCTCGCGGCAGAGCACGACCTTGACGATCTCGCTGTTCCAACCTCTTCCCATCTTCTCTCCTTTCATCTTCCGTCTATTAGCGAGGGAATGGTAGACCGTATTGGATCCAGGTATCTTAAACGGCTATTCTTCTTGCACCTCGGGCGCACGGAGGCTCTGAAACGTATTCTCTTGCAACCTCTGCAGATGCATACGCCTACAGCTTCGTGCAGTATCCACGATCAAAGGCAGGTCGCACGAGCGTGGGCGTTCTCATGTGCACAGCTGGCATGGGAAGCAAGGCCAGGTAGGTATAAGCATGTGTTGGCCAGCGCATAAATATCTGACATGGGCATTCTTCCAGATCTATCAATATGGTCGATTGAATCAGCTTTGGGACCATTGGAGGTACAGTTGACGTGTGACCAGTGTCGCGACCGCCTTAAAGAGCACGTGGAAATTGTTAAAGCGCAGTGGTCTGCGGTCAAGGTGAGTGTATGGCTTTCTACTAGCCCCTACTCTGACCACTGCTGCAGAGAACGATCTAGTTCTTATTCTCACAAGGAAGATATCGAGGGTTTTCAGAGAAGTGTTTTCTTTAGATCCAAGCCTTTTTGTTTTATGTCTCGATAAGTTTCTGTTGACCCTTGTCTATCATGCTTCTCAGTATCGGATGCAATGATTCTTCTCTACTCAGGTGCTTTGAAGAATATTTTGAGAGCCATTTTCTGTACATATTGCGACGTCGGATACGAATTTTCCATTCCCCAACCAAAAACTTACCTTGGAAAGAACTTGAATGCTGTCATGTCCTCATCAGAGCCATCTACTGCTTGTCAGGGGATGTGTGTCTGCTTCTTTCTATGACGCGACCAGTCGAAGCGTCTTTTAGTAGGCAATTGGAGTTGAATTATTCGAGATCTGGCGTAAGATATGATAACAAGGCAGAACATCAACTCCTGAGCTGCTTCTGACCAATCATCCGACTCCGAGAATGCTCAATGCCCGATTTGCATTATTTTGTCGAAGACATGTATGGCTCCCTCAGTTTGTATATTCGAGATACTATCATGTACATGACCTTCTGAATCTGAATCTAATGGTATCAACCTTCCAGCAATATCATCGCATAATATGGGGTATGCAAGCAAATACAAGGCCAACCGAAGCACGATTCTTCGACGAAGCACTTCTGAGTCGCCTACTAAAACCCCGAGATATGATCATTTCCAATGCATACGCGGGGTTAGGACGCTGGTGCCTGCTGGCGCCCACCCTGAAAGTATTGCCGGAATGTCAGCGGTTTGCGGATCGAAGCGATGGCCATGGGACGCCTCCGTATCTCTCCGTCACGATCATCATCAACCACGACTCTATATTTGTCCACATTGTCACACGGTACGGGGTCGTGTTTGTGCTAAGGAAGTTTCTCGTCTCCTGTTTAGCTCTCGTATGTGGAGCCCTTCTACCACAGAACTCAAATAACGTACACCCCGCGAGTACGCCTTCGTATCGACTCTGCGCCAGCTGAGCGCACGCGCCAATGGGCAAGCTCTCAAGTCCACAAGCGTTGGAGAAGTGAGTGGAGCCTCCTCCACCAAGGTAAATATATGTCGAATGTCGAGGTACGACCCGTCGGTGGCCCCACAGCATTCGTGCGTGCCTTTTCGCCCCTTCGTCTCGGGCAGTGCCACTTCAGATGCTCATATACCCGCCTACATTCCTACATTCTACGACACTTCTCTCTGCTCCTCCGACTTCATCATCATCGTCTTATACATCTCCACATGGACACCTATGCAGAGCCACTCGCCTGGAGCTATGCCTCCGAGGCCGCCCCAGAACCCTTGTCCTTTATCCAGATCCCCGGTTCAAATCACGTTGAAACGGATCCGTCACAACTTCTGACGCCCCCCTGCAGCGCTCTATCCTCCAATTCTTCGCCTCTTCTAACACATGATAAACACACGTTCACACCATCCGTCCCAGACATTTTGTCCAGTGCAACGGACGAAGGCGTCGTTGTCTCCGTCTCAACAACATTCTTCCCTGGCTCCGACATCCTCACAATCCATCCCGACGTCATCATTCTGTCCTCTGACTCCGTGTTCTTCTACGTTCACTCTAGCGTTCTGCTTCGCGTATCTCATAATGCATTTAACGGCTTAATCTACGTATCCTCTAACCAAGGTTGTGGCGCCGTAGAACCCGTGATACCGGTTACAGAACATTCCTCTGTTCTCAACATCGTTCTACATGGCATCTACGGCATCTCATGTTCTCATTACGCGCCCTCGTTCGAGTCTTTATCGTCTGCCATTGCCGCGTTTCCAAAGTATGGCCTGTCTGCGGAGAAGCTTGTTGCCAGTTCAATGCCCTTGTACACCCTCCTGATGTCGCACGCGCCCTTACACCCGCTCGAGGTGTACGCGCTGGCCGCCAAATACAACGCTCACGACCTAGCCGTCTCCGCGTCATCCCATCTTCTGTCCTTCCCTCTCGCGTCCATCAGCGACGATGTGGCAGCAAAAATAGGGCCGAAGTATCTCAAGCGATTGTTCTTCCTACATCTAGGCCGCCTGGACGCGCTGAAGCGTTTACTCCTGTCACCTCCGCACCCGCACCCGCCAACTGAGAACTGCAGCTTTGAGGACCAGAAGCGGGTCACGAGGGCTTGGGCGCTGGCGTCGGCGCACCTCGTATGGGACACCCGACCAGGTACGTGTTGACTAGTTGTGCCGCGGGCTACGAGTAATCCTGTTCCCTTCTCATAGATTTGTCCACGAGCTCGATACAGTCAGCGTTAGGTCCCTTGGAAGAGCAGCTCTCTTGCAACATGTGCCGAAGAACTCTTCGGGATAGGTTGAACCACATTATTGTTCAGTGGTCCATCATTAAAGTGGGTTTACTCTCAATACGTGTCCGCGTTAGTTCATGCGTTGATTCATCTTCCAGAGAACAATCTGAAATTTCGTCCAAACGATCTATAGTTGCTATGCAGCATTTCACCTGATATTTGTCCTGATCTATACACACGAGGATTCTTCGCATATCACGCGCACGCACTGTACTTGATTGAGCACTCATTCTCGTCGCTCTGAATCGGTACATGTACATACATGTATTCCCGGTGTCGGTTCATCGTTCCATGTACGCACGTCATCTTCCAGGCCTTTTGATTCATGAAATGCTCCCGAAAATGTGCACATTCAACAGGGCTCATCACGAAGTGTCTCGGCTTGTTTATTGAAATAGCCGACTCCATAAAACGTGTACAACTTAGCTACGGATAGGGAAACGTGATCACGAATTATCAGATAATGACAATGAGGCAGCTCCGAGGTCATGACACCGTGAGGTTGCATTCGGTACAATACGGGAAGGCAACATGTTCCGCATACGAGGGATGTTGCCTATTTTCTATGTTTAGCACCTTCTTACCTTGAATAGATTGTCTCCATTTTTCCGTTTTGTCAGGCACCGGATTAGACTTCAAGGCACCAACCTTGGACGATTGCATCCAACACCCCCTTTTCAATGGCACACAACTATTGGAGTCCGACCACTGCACGCGTCATGCAAAGATGTTATTCAAACTGAAGAAGCCACTCCAAAAATTTGTCGTGATCTATACATTCACCTTCAAAATCTGATATAAATATGCAAACTTGACTTCTGGGTCATCCCCTTGGCAAACAAACAAGTTCCCTGGTATATACATCATGGTAGTGGAACAGCCACTGAACTTTACGTCACTAGATCACGGATGAAATGTAACGGCGTTCTCTCTCGTTGGCTAGCAATAGCCTATGCGAGGGCGTCTGAGACCAAGAAGCGACATATCCGTATTTGAAGGTGGCGGAATGAATAACCCATTGCAGATACTATAGATGCACCGGCCAATAGTGCAACGGCGGGGAAACCTAAAGAAAGTACACAAGAAACGAAACTAGATGGCAAGGCACGCTTAACGTGTAAAGGATACTCGATATGTTCTCCAATCAAGTTTAGGTCACCTTTGCAGGATGTGATTGCCCTTGCATGCCGCAATGCGGCCAAGAGAAATCTCAAGCCTCCCCGTGTCTCGTTCCCGGCGGTACTCCTTTACGGACGCTTACCTCAGGCTTGGTCGACTGCGTGCTCTCGAACTGTGTCAGAAATCTCTTTCCCACAGAGGGCAAGGCTAAACCGTTAAAGGAAGCATACCGTGTGTTTCTGCCGGGTGCGTGTCGTCTTGAACGATGTATGTGGCACCACTTACATTTTTATTCTGAACGTATTCTGGCCTATCTTACGCAGCGGAGGAAATCCCTCCCCGAAGCACTACAATCCGATCTCGAGACCTATGTAGGTTGTGTCTCATTCTCTTCAACTGCTTGAGTATCGAGACATCGTCCAAACAGCGGTGTTTCAAGGATCGATATTTCTGTTATGTCATGACCCGTGGCTACTTAATACCATTATGAAGATGCCGCGTGGATACCAAGGGTGACCCGCACTCATGGCAACATTATTGGCTGCTGCTCCAAGCCAGAACCACCGACCTCATGTTCTATCTCATCTCCCAATAGTAATGCGGACTAAAATCCTCCCGCAAGCCGTCCTCGGGCGGAACTTCTACCCAATCAGCATCTTCGATGGCGCATCGAACCGCAGAAGTGAACGAATAGGCTGGTTAGAATCTCTCACGTTCAATTGCGAATTTGTCTTCGGTACTGAAACGCCGCTGAGTTAATAAGCGTCATCACAGGCTGATGCTTCTGCATCTGGTGGTGGCGTTGCATCCATGGCGGACACGATCTTGGAGCATTGGAAAGACGCTTATCCTTCTCCGCTTCCAAGTCCGTGAAATATGATGGTCGAAGACATCGCTGAGCTTCTCAACTCCGCTATGGCGGACCCCGGGCCCGCGAGCTTGCGGTGATCGTGGTCACACTGTACTTACTTACCGTCTTGCCTCCTGCACCTCACGCATATGTTTTGTGCTGATAATAGTTATCACAATTTCCAAAAGTACCAGGGCGGACACATCCAAAACAGTCACCAGTGCGCCGTTCAGAGCCTCTATGACCAAGCCTGGGGAATAGGAAGACGCTACTTACACATAGCCTGAGCATCCAAGAATGCTGCCAAAACCGTCGAGCTTGGGATTCAAGACCGAGAGGTACTCCTGAAGTCTAGCCTCGTCGGTTAGGCTGGCCACGGAAAGCACTGCAATCAGAAGCATGTCAGCTCTGTAGCATGCGACAGTTCAAGAAAGAGCATATGGCTTGAAAATCCTCTCAGAAACGGCGCCAGCCGCGGACGGGTAAAAGTTGAATGCCTCGATAGACGCCGCCTGTTCGACGAGGTCCTTTCCCTGAAAGTCGCTCGGGTAGAGGTCTGCCGTGCCTGCGTTGGCGTACTTGACCGCCAGGCAGCGAGCAATGGCGCGAGACTCATGCAGCACAAAGCTGTTATCGTCCTTACGAGTAGAGAATAGAGCTTGTCGCATGCAAAGTGGGAGAAAATCACTCACAATGTAAGGGATTTGGCCGCAGGGCTGCTTCTTGACATACTCAGGTAGCTTGTGTTCGCCTTTGGTGAAGTAGACTACAACAAGCTCACGGGGAAGGTTGAGCTCCTTGCAGACCATCGCGACGGTCCGGGTGCAGGGAGATACGGGGTTCCCGTAAAGCTTCAAGACCATGTTGACCAGGAGAACTAGAGAAAGGTGGAGTTGAGACGTAGAACGCGACAGAAAGAGCTGAGCTAGCTGTTGGTTGGAAACGCCGAGGCCCTTTTATACTCTCAAGCACCTGCATGAGTACGCAATCATTATCTCGTGCGCTGGACACCTATTACTCATCCCTGTACTGAACGCCGGGCAAGCAGTAGATCCTGAACAAGCGCTAAGGAGGATCGCGGGCATCTAGGGCAGATAAAAGGGAGACAAAGGCCGATCTCCGGTTTCGCTGGGAGCTAGTGCTAGGAAGTCTCACGCTATGATTGGCTAGCTGACTGGCTAGAGATAGACGCCTACTGATATCGATATATCACCGCCGCTTCTGCCATATCAGCTACTGGACCTCGCCGTTGAACGTTGAAACGTCGCCGCTGGCGAGCAATCTTGTTGCTGAGGACGATGTCATCGTATCCGTTTCAACAACTTTCTTTCCCGGCTCTGGGCTTCATTCGCGCCCTCCAGACCTTGTCCTTCTCTCTTCGGATTCCATCCATTTTTTCGTCCATGTTTCTACTCTACTCGATGCATCCTCTAACGCGTTTGATGGCCTTCTCCCACCATCTCCCTGCAACAGGGGCAGAGTGGGACCTTCACTGACGGTGACAGAACCATCTGATGTCTTGAACGTCGTTCTCCGTGCAGTTTACGCCAGGTCGTGCTCTCATTATGGCCACTCGTTTGAGTGCCTCTCTGCTGCAGTGGCGGCGATGAGAACCTACGGTGTCCTTTCAGCGGTATATTTCCCCATCGACTCCATTGTTCTCCATTCTATTAGCACATGCTCCGCTGCGTCCGATTGAGCTCTACGCTCTCGCGGCCGAGCACGACCTTGACGATCTCGCTGTACCAACCTCTTCCCATCTTCTCTCCTTTCATCTTCCGTCTATTAGCGAGGGAATGGTAGACCGTATTGGATCTGTGTATCTCAAACGGCTATTCTTCTTGCACCTCGGGCGCACGGAGGCTCTGAAACGTATTCTCTTGCAACCTCTGCAGATGCATACGCCTACAGCTTCGTGCAGTATCCACAATCAAAGGCAGGTCGCACGAGCGTGGGCGTTCGCATCTGCACAGCTTGCATGGGAAGCAAGGCCAGGTAGGTATCGTCACGCTTCGGACAGTGCATAAGTACTGTACCTAATATGGATATTCTTCCAGATCTGTCCATACGGTTTATTGAGTCGGCTTTGGGACCATTGGAAGTGCAGCTGACGTGCGACCAGTGTCGCGACCGCCTTAAAGCGCACATGGAAACCGTCAAAATCCAGTGGTCTGCGGTCAAGGTAAGTTTCTGGGCATTTGCGAACTCCTAATGTTCTGATCTCTGCTGCAGAGAACAATCTAGGCCTTCTGTGTTCTTCGAAAGTAGTTCTTGATAGTTTTCAGGCACGCTATTCCTTGATTGAAAATGCATTGTTTATGTTTTTATACAGTGTGTAGGACTTCAATATTCTCATGAAAGCTAGACCTTCATTGTAGCACAGCAGATGTATTAGATTTGCCTATTGTGTACATGTCAGAGATGGCGATCTCCTTGTCTCTCTGATTCTCTGTGAGGTTAATGCCCCACGGATAAAGGTTAAATTATAGTAAAGTTAAAATAAGACGATAATAACGGTTAAGCTTGCTCCACGGTGCTGGGATATTTCTTCTGTAACTAGTCACGGTAGGCAAGCACTTTATTCGTTCTTTTGCATGTTTTACGATTTCCGATCCGAATCTACCACGCCCCATCCAGAAGCATGTTGAATGTTGTGGCGCCATGCCTCACAGGCATCACCGGCCCGGGTCTGCCGCATATCAGCCCATGTGTCTAAACGCCATACAATCATGTACATGAAAGTCTGATCCATGGCCAGCGGTATTCATCGAATATTCATCATTATCCTCCGCAATGCAAACAAAATACAAGGCCAACCATGACACAACTCTTCGACGCAACAATTCCGAATCGCTTCTTAAAACCCTGATTTATGATCACATGCTCACACGTGGGTGTAGTGGCCTTCTAAAAACTGCGCAATGATGCAAGCGGTTTGATACGTTTCTTCGCAGCGTTGGGGCCACGTCCTATCTCTCCGTGATGCTTCCCAAAGGCCGAGTACATGAATGGGCCGATCACCTATTCTCACTTGCTTTGGCACACGGCATTGGCACATGTTCAGCGCATGCGATGTCAGGAAGTTTCTCTCGTGGAGCCCCAGCACGATCCCGCAAATGCTCATTCGTATCAATTCTGCACTAGCAGAGCGCAGTTTTTATGACAAGTTACCATCAAGACCACAAGCGTTGGAGAACGGAGCGGGGCCCTCCTCTGCAAGGGAAGTATACAGTAGGCTGCTCCAAAACATTCGCATATGACTTTCCGTCTCCTTTCTCGGGCAGTGCCACCTCAGGTACTCATATAGCCGTCTACATGCCTTCATTCCAGCACACCTCTATCTGTCTCTCCTACTTTGTCACCGTCTTCTAGCCATGGACGCGTATACACAGCCACTCGACTGGAGCCGTGTCTCCCAGCTCGCCGTAGATCCCATGTCTTTCCTCCAGATCCCCAGCCTTGATCACGCCGACGCGCCTCCGCTACAGCTTCTAACACCTCCCTGCAGCGCCGTCTCCCCTATTCCGTCTCCCCCAACACCCACGGTAACGGACGGTGATACTATTGTCCCCGTATCGACGACATTCTTCCCTGGAGCCAACATCATTGCATCCCCTCCCGACATCATCCTCTTGTCCTCTGACTCCGTGTTCTTCTATGTTCATTCTAGCGTTTTGCTCGGCGCGTCATATAATGGTTTCAAAGGCCTTGTATCTTCATCCCAAAACCGAAATTGCGGCCCTACAGAACCCGTGATGCCGGTGGCAGAGCATTCCTCTGTTCTCAACATCATTCTGCACAGCATCTACGACATGTCGTGTTCTCACTACGCACCCTCATTCGAGTCTTTATCGTCTGCCGCCGCCGCCTTTCCAAAGTACGGCCTGTCTGCGAAGAAGCTTGTTGCCCAATCAACACCCTTATACAACCTCCTGGTTTCGCACGCGCCCTTATACCCGCTCGAGGTGTACGCGCTGGCTGCCAAACATGACATCCTCGACCTCGCCATCCCCACGTCATCCCATCTTCTGTCCTTCCCTCTCGCGTCCATTAGCGACGACATGGCAGAAAACATAGGGCCGAGGTATCTCAAGCGGCTGTTTTTCCTGCATCTCGGCCGTTTGGATGCCCTGAGGCGTCTACTCGTACCGCCTCCGCACCCACACGCGCAGACGGAGACCTGCAGTTTTGAGGACCAGAAGCGGGTCACGAGTGCCTGGGCGCTCGCGTCATCGTACCTCGCGTGGGACGCCCGACCAGGTACGTGCCGAGTCAAGCCGGCGGCGGCCGCGATTAATTTTGTGCCCGTGTCATAGATCTGTCCACGAGTACGATGCAATCTGCGCTCGGTCCCTTGGAAAATCAGCTTTCTTGCAATCTGTGCCGAGTAGCTCTTCGGGAAAAGCTGAACCACATTACTGTTCAGTGGTCCATCATTAAAGTGAGTTTATGGTCGGCGTTTGTCCGCGTCAGTTCATGCGTTGATTCATCTTCCAGAGAACGATCTAAATTTCCGTTCAGATGATCTATACCTGCTACGCGACTTTTCTGATCTGATACATTGATTCATCCCTCCCACTAGTCATGCTCGTCACACGCACGTGGAATCTTCGCATATCACTCACACGCACTATATTTCATCAAACGTTTATCTCTCGTCATTGTACAGACGTACATGTAAAGGCATTTACAGTGTCACTTCATCATCGTATATATGCACGCCATTTACCAGGACTTCACCTCATCGAATGCTTCGGCATCATTTATCGAAATAGTCGACTCCATAAAACGTGTGCAACATAGTTACGGATAGGATTGAACGTGATCAAGATTTATCGGATAACGATAATGAGGCAGCTCCGAGGACATGTCACGAGGCTGCATACGGTGGAGTACTCGAGTTCCGCTTAGTCCCGCGTACAATTGGCGCTGTGTATCTCCTGTGTTCAGAGTTTTCTTACCTTGAGTAGACTGACTCTATCTTTCCATTATGTCGCCAGATCAGACGTCAAGTCAACAGCCTTAGGATATGCAGAGTGCGACGTGGCCTTTAACAGCAGATGATCGCATCGGACGTCTGCTTTTCAATGGTACACAACGAATGGCATCCCACCACCGCACGCGTCACGAAAAGAGGCTTTTACAACCTAAGAGGCCCCCAAATCTTGTCGTGATCTACTACTTATTTCTGGAAGACCTAATATAAATCTGCGGACCTGACTTCTTCACCCCCCGGCGAACAAACAAATTCACTGGTACCGATAGTTTCAACGTGGGATAGCCACTGAACTTTACGCCAATAGATCACGGATGAAATTCGAAGAAATGTGATTGGTTATCTCTAATTGGCTAGCAAGAGCTTATGTGGGACCAATAAGCGACAAATCCACAGCGGTGGCGGAATGCCAAGTAACTTATTGCAGGCACTATAGATACATTGGCCAATAGGGAAACATTCGATTCTCAACTGGTACTCACCTCAATGCCCACCTGCTAAACACGTTGCAATATTTGTCCCCACAAAGCCGATACTGTCGCGCAGGCATTCTTGTACACACCCGAGCAGCTCCATTACATGGGACTGGGCTGCAGAAACCCAGGTGGCCACAGCGTCTGTCAGGGTCCTGCGCATCATATCCGAGGCCGCCGGGAAAGCGTTGTATTTTAAGTCTTGACATTGCTGGCGCGACGTATCATTATCGAGAATGTCTCATTCACGAAGGCACTCCTTCACGAGCACTTACCCATAGACGCCGCCTCTGTTGGCTTCCAGTGCGTGATTTCAACCTGCGTCATCAATCTCTTCCCCACAGAGGACAAGGCTAAACTGCTGAAGGAAGTGTAGCGTGTGCTTCAGTCGGGTGGCCGTGACGCCTTGGATGATGTATATGGTACCGCCTAGATTTATCTCCTGGACTTATTCTAGTATATCTCGCGTACTGGATTAATGCGAAGAAACCCTTCCTGAAGCTCTACACTCAAACCTCAAGACTTGTGTATGTTATGTCTCGGGTTTTCTTCGACCGCAAGAGTATCGAGACATTGCGGCTGGCATTTCTGTTATGGCATGACCTGTGGCTAAGTTGGCACAATTGCGAAGATGCCGTGTTCGCGGATACCAAAGGTGACGTCGACACATACACTCAGGGTGATTCTATTGGCTGCTGTGGCAATCCAGACTCACACCGACCTCATGCTCTATCCCATCTTCCTCCAATTAGTCATACAGACTGACATCCTCCCGCAAGCCGTCCTCGAATGGAACTTCTAGCCAATCGGCATCTTCGATGGCATATCGAATTGCAGAAGTGAACGAACAGCCTGGCCAGAATCTCTCACGCTACGATCAGAATTTGTCCTTCAGTACTTCAAGCTTCAGTGCTGAAGCGCCACTGATTCCATAACAGGCTGATACCGTACCTCCGCGTCCAGTGGTGGCGTTGTGTCCATGACAGTCACAGTCCTGGAGCATTGGAGATACGCTTAAACATTTCTGCTTTCAAGTCAGCACAATATGTCCGTCGAAGACGTCGCTGAGCTTCTCAAATCCGCTCCAGCGGACCCCCGGGCCGCGATTTTGCGGCTATCGGTGTAAGACGAGATGATCGTGCTGCGAGTACTTTTCAAACTTTGCACCCTGCACCTCGCGTTTGTGCTGAGACACAGAGACCATGGTTCCCGAAAATACCAGGGCGAACGCGTCCGACGCAGCCGCCAATGCGCCGTTCAAAGATTTCATGATGACCTCTCCACGTTTCTCGAAAAGTGCAAGGAGATCACCAAGGTCACGTTCTACTGCGACGACTCGGGTGGACGCATTCCCTTAAGCTGAACGTGGTATGATTCTACAGTTACTAGCCAATGACAGGGAAGCCTAATTGGGTATTTCTATTCCTATAGATACCATTATTATCTCAGCCCACACGGTATGGTGATTTCAGAAGGGTTGACCGTGGCCGGGGATCCAAATGTTTGGCTTGCGACGTTTGCAGTCGATGGATCACTGACAAATCAGGGCGAGGCGTAGCTTCTGTACTGCATCGGATATGACAGAACGTATGCAACGATGCGCGTAATCCTTAATGCATGTCATGACATGGAAGCCATCACCTTCCGAACTGCGTAATACTTGGGTTCTGGAGAGCATAAACAGCCACTCAGCAGAAGGCGATGTTTAAATAAGGTGTTGATTGAGTTTGTAGAAATCCCTGATGTGATATGCACCCGAAGCCTCACAAAGCCCTAAGACTGGGGAATGTGGAGACGCCACTTACGCATAGCCTGCCATACAATGAGCCGAAGATAATGTATAAGTTACTCCGATTGAGTTTAAGATTGCTTAGAACCGTTACCACAAACACTGTTTAGTTGCCCACACTGATACCGAACTTGAGAGAAAGTGATAGATTAGATTCGGTGCAATGCGCGCTAAATAACTAGCTGTGGCGTTATATCAGTGTCAGTGTAAATATGGTCAAAAACAGTGTACGGGCAGTTATGGGGTGCACAATTAGAGTTAACCCGGTACTTGCGTGGTAATCTTGAGCCTATCGTAGCTTCAACACAGCACGCCGCCTTGATGGAAAGGAGCATGGGCAAACCAAAGAATGCCGAGGTCCTGAAGTTTGAGTTTTCAAGCTAAACTGCATTTGGCACGTACTATATCTTCAAACGAAACGGCCCTTATGTTGTAGCTTTGGTTCCGTAAAATCCACAATTATCCTGTGAATTTGGAATATCTCAAGGTGAGTTTGAGGAATGCTGTACATGTTATGTAATATGGATTAGCCACCAATCATGTAGCGTTAAACACCATCCTTGGTTCAAGGTGGACAGATACCCCTGAAGCCTATCCTCATCAGTAGGCTCACCACGGAAGGCATTATCGGAGGCAGGTCAGACTTGTGGCATGCGACAGTTCGAGAAAGAACACACGGCTTGAAGACTCTCTCAGAAACGGTGTCGTACATGGACGGGTAAAAGCTGAATGCTTCGATAGACGCCTGTTCGACGAGAGTTCTTCTCTGGATGTTGCTTGTATATAGGGTTTCCATGTCTGTGTTCTCATGCTTGACCGCCAGGTAGCGAGCAATGACGCGAGACTGAAGGAGCATGAAGCCGTCGCCATCCCTACGAGTATAGCGTCGGGGATTTCAGACACGGAAATAGCAACAAAGGACTCAAAGTATAAAGGATCTGGACGAAGGCCTGTTTCTTGACGTACTCTGGTAGCTTGTGTACGCCTTTGGTGAATTCGACCACAACGAGCTCATAAGGAAGGTTGAGCTCTTTGCAAACCGTCGCAACGTTACGGGAACAAGGGGATGCCGGGTTGCTGTAAAGCTTCAAGGCCATGTTTGTTGAGGAAACTAGAGAAATCTGTGATTGAAATGTAAAACGCGTTTGAAAGTGCTGAGCGGCTGTTGACCAACATGGCCTAGTACTCTCAAGCACATCAGGAATTTCACACATGTATTAGCCCGTATTAGCCGCGCGCAGCCGCTCGCCAATGCAGTCAAAGACATATCACGGCAAATACAATTCTGCATTTATCTAAGTAGGTTCCCGTATTGCTCGTCAGCAATGTGTATTAGCACTGGACCTGTGTGTATTGGCTGGTGCATTTACTCTTCGATAATTCGGGTCCTCAAGCTGGGGTGTATTAGAAAACGACGTGGGATGTATTGATCACCGGTATCTAATACATCGACAAATGCAACCAGATTCGAGTAAATGTATAAATACAGGGGAAAGCGCATCAATTAAACGTGAATTCATGACGAATGTTGATGCAGCTGCGATTATTGCGAGTGTAGAAGTGTATCATGCAAGAAAATAAGGCGCGACAATCAAGTTCCGGGCATCGACGAAGAAAGCGAGAGCTGAACGAGACGAGGCGGGAGGAGTTTATACTGGAACCAAAGTATTAGACAGAGTATCGATAGCAGACTAGGGGACTTACGATTGATCTCCCGGAAGGCGCGCTCGTCGAGCTTGGGCTCAAAGTGCTGCTTGGCCTGACTGACGCTCGAGTTCTTGAGCCTGCGAGGGACGACGATGTACTTCGACGACATCGCCAGCGCCTCGGCAAGCCGCTCGTTTGGGCATCGATTGATGAGGTACGCATAGTTGAACGTCGCGTCCTCGTTGTGATCCTTCGAGAATGGAAGGATCGACCCCTCATCATCGAGCTCCTCCTCCTCCTCGTCCACCTCGTCCTCCTCGTCCTCCTCTATCGCCCTGTCCTTCTCAGCGTCCTGCTCCTTCGCCTTCCCGCGTTCCTCGCGTTCTTTCTTGGTGCGGGCCTTCTCTTGCTTCTTGACGGCGTCGAAGCTCTTCTTGGCCTTGTTGACACTGGACAGGGTCGGAGGGACGACGACATTGACACGGCCGAGGGCTTTGTCAATGTCGCCGAAGGAGGCGTTGCGAACCAAGATGAGGGCACGGGAACACTAGCATACATCGCGTGAATGATATGTCCCAAAGAGTGAGAATTACTTACGGTGGCGGCAGCTAGAACACACGCAGCGATAGGCGCATAGATTGCCTGATCCTGAGAGTCCTTCCGCTTCAGAACGAATTCTGGGACGTGCACTCGGCCTTGGATTGCGAGCTGGTGGGAGGCGAGAACAATCTGGAAGAACTCGCCGAGCAGCATACCGGCAGGCCGCCCCGCACTATTCTTGCCCGAGTTGAGAAACTGGTCCTCCCAAATCTGTCCCTCCGCGAACTCCTTCTGATCCTCGTAAGTAAACTTGGCATGCTGCGCGAGGGACGCGATGAGGGCTGCAATGGCCGTAGATCCAAAAGCGCTCCGCCACTCCACCAGCTTCTTCTTCGTCTATTTCAGATAGTCAGCTCTAAAGACATGTAGAGTATTGCTGGGGTACATACCAGGCCGAAAACTGCACCAGTGAGCGTTTCGTTTTGAGGGAGAGGCTTGCCATAAACTGCATGCCATGCCTTCTTGATGGCGTCCATGATGTCGGAGTCAGAATTGTTCCAGACCGTATCGCTGTCGCCGAAATAGTGGACAATAGTCGGAAGGAACTCGTTGCCCCAGCGTCCGTTGTCGCAGGCACCAGGGGGGAGATCAGAAAGCACCCACACCCGGCGTTTACCGCCCAAGTTGCCAGAGCCTTCACCAGTGGAGTCGCAAGGAGTGACACGGGGCCGCTTGGTAGCACGCTGGACAGGTGCGGAAACCTGGGCATTCATCTGAAGACGGGATGAGAGCAAATCGCCAGTGAGAATGAGACGTACGTCTTTGGTGGTGCGATGGGTCGAGGCCTCCTCATCCTCGCCATCGTTGTTCTCCTCGCCCTCGCCGTTCTCCTCGCCATCATCGTTCTCCATCTGGCTGCCAGCCTCTTCACCCTCGGCCATGAGCTCGTCCTCTGCACCATCGTCCCTATCCTCGCCGGATGTGTACTGGTCCTGGTCCTGGTCCATGGGTTCTTCGACACCTCCGTCTTCACCTCCTTCCGCGTAATAGATGGGTGTCGGAGGGTCCGAGAAACTCGGCAGCACCTGCGCCTCGGTATAGTTGGGGTCGAGATCAGAGTCCGCACTCGGAAGCTCAAACTGCGAGTGCAGAGTCAACAAAGCTTGATCAGGACAGGTAAATTACTTACTTCTGTGCTGCTGCCCTCGTCTAGGTCGAGAGCAGCTGCTTTCCGCTTGAGCTGTCGAGACACAGTTGGTGGGGATATGGGCAAGGGCAGAGTCGTGTCGTCAGTAGTATTGACCATAATGATAGCCTTGTTATCCAAGTGTCAGCACGCGAAAAAAAATCCAGAAATTTTACGAATGCTCACCTGTCTAGTTTCCGAAGTAATGGCACTCCGTTCTCTTGCCACAGTGATGGCATCATCCTCGGTGTGAATACCAGCGCCCGGTGTATCGTCATCTTGCTCGTTCTGCACAATGTTGATGGGTGCTCTTGACTTGGTGCTGCTGACCTTGCTGCGAACAGTGCTTGGTGCAGTGCTCACGGTCCTTCGGCCTGCCATGGATCCGGAAGCAGACGTGGATGACGAAGTCTTTCGTCCCTCTTGAGCAACGCCATTGGTCCAGCTGGCGACGCGCTTGAGGAACTGGACCTGGGTGCCGGGCTGGGGACTGGTGTAGAAGATGGCAAGGTCACGATAGTAGAGGGTAAGTTCGGTGAGCTGAAGCATGGTGATGGATACAGAAGCAGAAGAATACTCACACATCATTAGCATTGACCGGGACTTTACCATTCATGGTATCTTGCTGATGGCGCGGCGCAGTGATGACGTTCCCATCAAGTTGTTGACGCGCTCCGTCGATGTCCTTACGTGTTGACGATTTCTCCCTCCTCAGCATCACGGTCTTGGTCGCTGGCTGTGCATCTGTCAAATGCAGGTCAATAGGTGCTTCAGACTCAACACGTGGATGTAACTGACCTTGAGCAGACTTCTTAGAGCTTGCAGGATTGGTGAGTCCTTTGGTCGAAGTAGACTTGGGCTTTGAGGTTTGAGATGACGTCTTCGTACTGGCTTGAGCTGACGTGTCCTGCTTCGCAGCAGGACGTGGCACCTTCTTCGGCATTGGCTTGAGCTGCGACGCTTGACGTTGGCGTTGCTGCTCTTCGTGCTCAACTGTTGCAAGGCGCTGGATGGTTGACGGCATCCGGGCTTCGTTGGCATCCTTCTGAGCATCACGGTCGGCCTTGGACGGCCGTTTCTTGGCGGCTGTGGTGACTTGGACAGCACTGGGTGCAGGAGCGGACACTGGTTTGGTGATACGGGTGCGAAGGGCACGGTCTGAAGGCTGAACGGGCTTGGAAGACATCGTACGTGGAGGCTACGGTGGTGGTAGTTGGAAAATGAACCAAGGAAACTGAACACGTAAGTGGTGTCATGTTCAACTTGACACGGTGTTTTCGAACTGAATACAAACAAACAAGCCTCATCCGTCGCGTAGACCTTTGCGCTTTTTCAACCGCCAATCCGTACCGGTCAGATCCAGCCAATATGCCCTCCCAGCACAGCCAGCACCGGAAGTCGAAGGCAAAGAAGTCAAAATCCTCCAAAACGAAGAATGCTCACCAACGCTATGGATGCCCAGTCGACGGCTGCGAACGTGTCTGCCGCAACGCGTCAGGACTTACGCAGCACTTCCACAGTCAGCATGCTGGCGACATTCAAGACTACTACCACCACCAGCCCGCCCCTCCGAGCCCTGCTCTTCCCTACTCACCTCCAAGCCGCTCACCTTCCCCAGTCGACTTCTCCCTTGAGATGCTTCGCTCGCCTTCCCCTCCCTTGGCCTCCCCATCACCTCAAGACACCACCTCTCGCAACAGTCCGGATATTGGCGAAGACCCTACGGTTGGAGATGCAGTCAATGTCGGGAAGCTCACGCGATATTTCCATAAATATCTTACTGGTACGTACATCAGCACATTGGCTTGCATTGGCTCTGACACCGTTTCAGGCCGAAAATGCGATCCCGACAGCAACTTCCTCCCTCCCGGCTCTCCACCCAATTCTCTAACCCCCAACAATGTTGACGACTGGCACCCGTTCGACTCGCGGCTGGCTTTTGAGACAGCCAACTTTATGTTCCGGCAGGTCCAGATGTCGGCCACTTACATCGACATCCTCTGCCAACTCTGGGCCCTATCCCTCATAAAACACGGTGACGACCCACCATTTCGGGACCACACACACGTCTACGACACCATTGATGCCTCAAAGCTGGGAGAAATCCCATGGTGTTGTTATATCGTACGTTTGCATAGTTTAGAGTACGCCGAGGTAGTATTCCTTCCGATAGCTTATGTAAGCGGGCGTCTCGTCAACGCGCGTCGCCGCCGTAGTCTTTTCCCTCAGTCTTCGTGTTCGACACTCGGGACTGAGGTATGTTACCACACTCGTTATTTCCATATCATAGCTAACTGTAGTTTAGTTTATTCTTATCTTATTCAGGTTAGCTACAACAATATAGTCTTCGTGTTCGACACTCGGGACTGAGTTTATTCTTATCTTATTCAGTCAACTCACCACCCGCTCGTAACCTCACAAAAGGTTATGAGCCCCGCCGCTCATTACAAGACCCATTCGCTTTTTTCGATCTCTTCGATAATCATCTCCAACCATGGTCGGCAGCCCTACGTCTGCCTCAGCCCACCTCCCGGCTGCATCAGCCTCTAATCCGGCGCCATCGATATCGCAAGCCGGCGGATCCGCCCAGCCGGCCCCGGTTTCGTTTTCGAGTACAACCTCGTCATCCAGTCGTCCGACCCACGCATCCAGCCGCCTATACGACATAGAGCAGCTCAAGAACGATGGCAGTAACTTCCGGCCCTGGAAGCACCGTATCGAGACGGTCCTCAAGCTTCGAAAGCTCTACGGGATCGTCAAGGGCGACGAGAAGAGGCCGCCGGACTCGCTTCCGCAGTCTGTGGAGGAGTGGATCACCCGAGATGAGGAAGCGCGAGCGCAGATCACGCTCACACTCGCCGACGAGCCGCTCAACAGTGTCTTGCTTGAAGAGACGTCCTACGGCGTTTTCAAGACCCTGTGCGACCGCCACGAGGGATCAGGTCAGCAGACCATCGCACAGCTCATCGGCGAGCTGTTCCGCAGCACGCTCGCGGAGGATTCACCCATGCAGGCCCAGCTCACGGAGATGAGAGCGAAGGCGCAGCATATCCGCAACCTCGGCCAGGCCCTCGACGATTCGCTCGTTGCGGTGGCCATGCTCATTTCCCTTCCCGCTTCCTATTCGACACTCCGCACCATCCTCATGGCACGGGACGAGAAGCTCACGACGACGTCAGTCGCCTCGCAAGTCCTCATCGAGGAGAAGTCGCGCGCAACAACGCAGCAAGCGCTCGCGGCGACAACTGCTCCTCAACCATCGAAGGGTGCCGGCAAGCCGAAGAGGGACAAGAGGGCAGAGAAGTGTAACTACTGCAAGAAGAAGGGACACTACGAGCGCGAATGCAAGAAGAAGAAGGCCGACGAGGAGTCGAAGGAGAAAGGCGGCAAGTCCACGTCGCCAGGCGACGGGTCGTCACACGAGAAGGACAAGACGAGGGAACATAGCGCCCGACTCGCGCACGCCGAGCACGACGCCGACGCCGAACCGCTTCAGCTCTTCATGGCAGAGCTTTGGGCGGGGTCTGCCCTTGGTTCGTCGCCCGGCAACCCCTCGGGCAAGTGGATTGTCGATTCCGGTGCGTCGTCGCACATGTCGTGCAGACGCGACTGGTTCTCGACGTTCAGTGCCCTCGTGGCACCGCAGCGCATCGTCATCGGCGACGGTCGTGCGATTGAAGCAACGGGCATTGGCCGGGTTGAGCTCAACGTCCATTTTAACTCGACTACACGCCGAACTATCCTGCGCGACGTCTTCTATGTCCCCATGCTCAATGCCAACCTTTTCTCTGTTCCGCAAATCGTTCGCCACGGCCTTGATGTCACGTTCGACAGCGGCCTGTGCAGCATTCGCGACCGAGGCGCACTCGTTGCTGCTGCACACCGCGAGCAGTCCCTCTACATTCTACGCAGTTCGCCCATCACATCCGAAGCAGCCTATTTCATTGCTCCCCACATCTCCGACTCTGACGCTGAGGCTCACTATGCTGCCAGCGCTGTTCAGCCACCAGCATCACGTGCAGATCTCGACACCTGGCATCGTCGGCTCGCCCACATCAGCTACGATTGGGTTCTCCGCCTTTACAAGAAGCAGATGGTGGAGGGCATGGAGATCTCGAACCCGGGTGAAGCACATGAGACACCATGCAAGCCATGCCTAGCTGGCAAGCAGCACCGGAATGTGATCTCGAAGGAGTCTCAAGTCGCCGAGCACCGAGTCCTCGGGCGCACTTACTCCGACCTCTGTGGACCAATGCGAACAGCCACGCGTCACGGACACAAGTACTTCATCACCTTCATTGATGGGTACTCACACCATGTCACTGTCAAGCTTCTCAAATCGAAGGATGAGGCCCTTGGAGCCACCAAGGCCTACTTCGAGCGTGTTGAAGCGATGACTGGCCAGCGACCCGACCGTTTCCGGACTGATGGTGGAGGCGAGTACGTCTCAGCCGCGTTTGATGCGTACCTCAAGTCGAAGGGTGTCCTGCATGAGAAGACCAATGCATACACGCCACAGGAGAACGGCAAATCCGAGCGGATGAACCGTACCCTAGTTGAGGGTGCACGTACCATCAAGGACGATGCTGGACTGCCCGATACGTACTGGGGGTACGCAGTTCTCCATGTCGCCTATGTCCTGAACCGTGTCGGGACACGGGCACTCAAGCATGACATCACTCCGCTAGAAGCGTTCACAGGGAACAAGCCATCCATTGCGCATCTCCGCGTTTTTGGGTGCACTGCGCACGTCCATGTCCCCGACCAGCACCGCACGAAACTTGATGCTAAGTCAAGTGTGTGCACGTTCCTGGGATATGCTGAAGATCGCAAGGCGTACATCTGCCTAGATCGCAAGACGAAGCGCATCCTCGTCTCACGCGATGTCATTTTCGACGAGAGCGCCACTGCACAGCCACCCCCTGTTGAGGCTGACACCGGTACTCCAAGTAGCACTAGTCCGCAGCGTCTTGTCATTGAGTCGCTGCCAACGATGCCGGCAAGTCCACCTCCAACGCTACCAGCGCCTCTGCCACTTCCCACGCCTTTGTCATCCGTGCCCACTGCTGAGGTCAAACCTGACCAAGATGCAGCCTCGGCTCCAGCTGCACCTTCGGAGAAGCGCCGAAATCGCAGAGGCACACGTCCGGCTGGACCACCAGCACCGTACCCACCTGCCGAGCTTCGCCGAGGTACTCGAGTTCGACATGCACCCACTCGGGATGACGATCCTCGCTACTTTGTCAACTCATATGACAAGAGCACCATCCCGGCCAGGCCTGTTCAAGTTCCAGCTACCCCTGCCATAAAACCTGAACCAGAGTCAGCCGAGACAGTGGGCGATGCACAGGGGGAGCGATCCGAATCCGAGTACGAGGACGCTCAGGAGCATGCGTACAAAGCATCAACTTCGCTTGATGATGAGCCGCAGACGTATGAGGAGGCGATGAACCGGGATGACACGCCACAGTGGGATGCAGCAACACAGCTCGAGTACGACACCATCAAGGTGAACGGTGTTTTCGAAGAAGT